CCCCCCCAACCAAAAAAAAAAAAACACTAGGGGATGATAAAAACACTAGGGGATGATAAAAACACTAGGGGATGATAAAAACACTAGGGGATGATAAAAACACTAGGGGATGATAAAAAAAAAGCTATAAAATTAATGCCTCGCTAGCGTCCTTATGACACCGGACGGTTGCCCCGGGGACAAAAATGTTTTTGACGCAAGTCTTACGGCGAGGCAGGTGGGCGTCGAGGGGTTTTGCACAAGAAGACGGTCTGTAGGCAGGACTGAACAGTGACGACGCGGTTCGGCCGATTGTGTCCATGAGGCCGCCCGCGGGGTACATGATCTCGTCTGCAGAGTACTTTTTTCGCCGATCGACGGACCCCACCAAAAGGCGGGAGGTCCTGCGTTTCCGCTTGCCGCGGTGCCAACGACGACGCTCCCTTTTGCTCTTTGCATTGACCGCATGCAACACAGTACATGCGCCAAAAAAAATCCCCTCCCCCTCATGGAAGACCAGGTGAATTTTACTTGTTGATGTCGTGTCTCTTGAAGTCTTTAGCCTTTTTCTTCTCTGCTTTTCTTATTCGGTCCTTCTTCATGCCCAGTTCGTTCGGGCCTTCCGGTTTGGGTGCCCGAACGCGGAGTTGGGATTTCCTGCAGATGATGTCACCATGACGCGCTTTCAAATCATTCGCTCCACAGCCTAACCACTATGCACCGAACAAAGGCCATTTCGCGTGACTGTATGGGTCAATTGAATCCTAAGCCACAAGAGCTAAAAAGGGAGATAAACGAGAAAAGTAAGAAAAAGAAGAAGACAAAAATAGGAAAAAAAACTGTCACGAAAGCGAACAAAACAATGATTTAACTTCTTCTCATTATCGTCATATTGAATGGTGGTGGTGATGGTATCTGCAGGTATCTAGGTTGACGGCAAAATGGTTCCCACTCCGGTTCTCAGGCCGTGGTACTCACGATCCCCGCCCCTGTTTCCCCCAACTCCCAGTTTCACTCAATGCATTTGATCGTCGCATCGTTGCCCATCAAGTATGCGGTGGTTATGTGAGAGAAGTTTAGATGGCCTCCTTGTTAGCCTTGCCAGCAGCTTCGTGCTTGTGCTGGTCGACCTTGTCGGACACGGCACCGAGAGCACCAGAGGCGCGAGAGCTCAAGCTGCCGTCACCGACGTTACCCTTGGCCTGTTCTGTACAGGTTGTTAGTATTACGTGAATGTCAATGGCCGGCTTATGGTAGAACTGACCCTTGTTGGCCTCCTTGCTGGCCTCGGCAGCATTGCCCTGGATGGTCTCCGAGACGTAGTTGACGGCGTTCTTTGCAGAGTTGACGGCCTGGCCGATGATGCCCTCATTTGGCTTGTCGACGTTTGGAGCAGACATTGTGATTGTTTGGTTGTGCTGAAAAAGTGTTGGTAGTGTTGTGTGGTTGATCAGTGGATGACTGAAGTTGTAGTTGATGTTGATGATGGTGGAAGGAAGAGCTGGGCTGGACACGGGCAGATCGATGGCTTTAAGTACTTCTTCGACCTGACCGGCAGGCGTGATCGTGTCCCATGGATGTAAGTGTAGTAACGGGCGCCTTGGCAAGCGCTCCTTCCCTAACGGAGGCATTTCACAGAATGACGTAGTGCTCCTTTTTCTCCCATCCCGAGCTTTGCCATAGCGAGAATCGAGATCTGAGGGGCGATCTGCACACGGACTGTGCGCCTACCGCCGCGAGGTCTGGGCCTTGCGATCGTCGATTAGGGCGTGTGTCCTTTGTCGACGCAATTGGTCCTGACGCGGCTGTGGAGCCTGAATACACGCCAGTGGTCAACTGGTCATTGGCCGTCATGTGAACGAACCCATGGTCTCTTTGGTTCGCTAGTGGCTCCAGCAGCCATGTCCAGCCTCATCGACGTCATACTGCCTCTGGCTGTGCTACTGCTGGAGTGCGGCGACGTAACTGGCTCCGTGCCAGAAGAAACAAATGCTCGTCGCCGAAAAAGGGATACTTTGGTGCAATTGGACATCGGCTAACCAAAGATCGTTAGCATCTTCCATGTGCCTGCGTGCAGCACCACACGGTACGTCATAGAACCTCACATGCCTCCTTATGCGTGCAACAAAGGTCCGGGTTTGTCGTCTAGACGTCGGGTAAAGCCGTGAGTTTGAATGGTTGCCACAATAAGCAATTGAGCTAGAGAGCCGAGGAAGGGGCACAAATCATGGTTTTAGATCCACTCAAGGCACAGTACGTGCGGTTATGCGTCCGTGGAGAAATACATTGGCTGCCTACACTATACCATCCCAAAAAGACACCGTCGTGGACTGTGCCAACTTTTTTGCAACGCTGCGTGCAGCTGTGGCGTAACTGCTGTGGAAAAAGACACCATTCTGATGTCCTCTGCAAGCCCAAAAGACCGTCCGTGAGGCTAAGCAGGCATGCTTTCATCCCCACAATGCATTGCCACTCCGGGTCCAGCTGATACACTGCGAATCCACATTTCAAATTCTGTTGCCTGGAGTGAACAGCGTTCATGATGGTTATGGGGCAAACAGTTCCAGGCCAGACGTTGTGCAGTACACCGAGATGGACCGCCCAATTCTGTTGTACGAAGAAATGTGAACAAAAATTTAAAATCAAAGACAGGACGCTCAAAATTTAGCAGGATTCGTGAAATCCGCCGAAGCCAACAAGTAAGCAAATAACAATAGTCAGAGAAAAAGGGGCAAGACCCGCATGTGCATACGCTATGAAAGCCGACCAATTAGGGCGCCCGCATGACCGCCGAGCCTGGATTGAGAGCCCCAGTGAGCACTCTCGAAAGGCGACGCCGACTACGACTACGTGTAGATACTCTACTTGCATTTGTCCTAGCCGTCAACTCGCCGACCTGTTGAATCGTCTCAACCCCCGTGCCATCCGCATGCGAGGCTGCCAAACTCGCCACGCTAGCCCTCCGCTCTCGCCGTTGATCGTCCATAGCCTGCTCCTTCCGCTGGAGGGATTCCGACGGGAGCAAGATGGCGCGATCAAGCGCATAGGGAAGCCCACGGTGGCGGCCACGCAGCATCATAGCTATGATGATGAGTTTGCTGAGAGTTCTGAACTCGGCAGAGAAGGAGGCATTGATGGTCGGGTATCCCAGGCTGAGGCCGACAGTACCATACGCCGACACGATCTCGAACAGGCAGGAAAAGATCGTGAAAGCCGGCTCGTTGACGTTCTCAATTCGACGGCCTTCAATGATGGTGATGAGAAAAAGACCGAGGAAGACATACCACAAATCAAAAGAGAGCTGACGACGTAAGTGGGAGCCGAGGTAGGACGTGCTATTGGAATCGGAGTTCTCGTCGTCCTCATGGTGGCCGGCGTAGACGCCAAGACTCTTCTCTTCGTAGACGTTTGTCTGACGGACGGAAATAGCGATGGGGAAGACAGAGATGTACATCATGATCAGATAAGAAACTTGAATCGCTGGGTGGAGATCTGCCAAATTCACACAAGCAAATCCTGCCGTGCGCGTACTCGCGGCCTGGAAGAGACCGTCAAGGAACTGTATGCCGCCAGGCAGAGACGTGACTGTGGGATCGTTGATGTCGAGTAGTACGAAGAAGATCAAATCGAGGCCATTGAGCAATACCAACACAAAGAACAGCCACCAAGTTGCCTTTTGTGGGAACAGGAGCGTGAAGCATCGTCTCGGGTGATCCAGGAGAAACCTGAGCTCTTCCCATATCCCGCTACCGTAGGGCACACTCTTTGACATCGCCCAGATGATGAAACGTAGCAAGCATGGGAATCCCGTGTTTCCAGCAATTATGAGGAACACACCAAGCAAGAGTGGAAGGACCGCTCGTTGGAAGGAGATCATGCTGTCCGGCGTCAGGGTGAAACCGAGATCAGTGAACATAGACATGGGCGTGAAAAATCCCCACCAGACCGGTGACTGCGCAACCTCGCGGACCACACTTGTGTAGCGGGCGCTTCGCACTATCCACGGAACCATGATGACGAAACTCAAAAGGAAGAACCCGACATAATAGCATATGAGAATCCAAGCAAGCGTCTTCAACGCGCGGTATTCGATGCCACCGAGCTCCTCTCGCTGCTCTTCCGTTAGATCGACGAAGGTGGAGTTCCGTCCTATGGTGGCAGTGTAACTGAGGTACGGCAGAGGATCGGTATTGTGTCTGTCTTGGCTTATATAGCGGCCGATTGACCGGGTAGACGATATTACACGAGAGCGCAGTCCCCCAGGAGAGTCATCATTATCGTCGGCCTTTCTCCACCACGCGAATGGAGATTTGAATCGGCTCCTTACACCTCTTGCCTCCCTCTCAAGAGTTTGCTCTGGCTCAGTATCCCGTCTTGTCAACGGGGATGGATCATCTTCGCCGCTAGTTGATTTACCCTCTTCTATGCGCTGCGGCCGATATCCTCTCTCGACATCTCTCGGGCCCGGAATCCACAGGGTTGAATTGTCCTTTGGATTGCGCTGATTTTCCACAAAGGCAATGTGCTGCTCCTTGGATCGCTGCTCGGGTATTCTGTCCTCGTTCGCAATGTCGGCGTCAGAGTCGGAAGGGCTGACTTCGTCCGCAAACGTGATCTCACGGTGAAAGGGTCGGTCTACCGGTGATATGCCGCTCCCATTGCTAGTCGTCTTGTTCATGGCCACTCCGCCTTGGGGTACGCCATCTTGGCTCTGCAAGTCCGCTGAGCCCTTATCGCCTTTTCTGGCCATGGGCTGATTCGATCCACGAAGAATTGCGATCGGGCGATCGCCTACGCCCTTCTCCTCCTGATCAAGGTCTGCCGTTTTGTCTTCGCTTTTTCTGCGTGAAAGAGTTCTCCCTCGTGTAGCTCTTGCCTGAGTGACAACGCCCTGAAAGCGTTTCTCGAACCAGTAGAGACGCACAAAGACGACAAAGGTATTTATGATGATCGGGTTACACAAGCAGGCCATCAAAATCAATACGATCTGCTGGTAGAGGAAGAGTTTGTTCACATCAACACTGGGCCGCATTGGTTAGCTGCCGCCTTTGAGCGTCTGAGAGCTTGAAGAAAAGAGAAGCAACGTACGTGTTCAACCCGCTCTGAGTCGCCGCTCCCGCAGCGAAGAAGAGGGCATCAATATATCTCAAGCCGCCCGGAGGATACAACAAGATTGAACCAATCAAGGTCATGAAAATCATGTACAAATCTGTAGCACAAATAAGCAAAACTTAAGGAACAAGGAAACGTTCCTCAGCACCCACAATGCAGAAGGATGAAATTGAAGCTGTGCATCAGCTTCGGAAATCGCAGCCATGCGGGCAGCTTTAGTCGTCCATGCTCCGGAAAGAGGAAATTGCCAACCCGCTCCCACCAGCCTATTACTTCCAGAGTGAATTTGCCGAACATGATTTTGCCAACGCCAAGTCTAGAACCATAGAAAGCAGGATTATATAAATAAGAATGAGCAGTCAGAAAAGCACAAATCGAGCCTGCGATGCCTTATTAACAGCACGTAGGGACGGCCAAGGTTGGCTCCGGATGTGAGTTTGCGATGGGCGAAAAGGATTCAGCAACAGCTCTTGGGTAAGCGTGCGACAGGCAGAGCGATGCATGCGCGACAGCAATGGGAGAAGAACTCTGCAGCGAGACGGCAAACGTTGTAGAAGGAAGAGTAGGGAGTAGATCGGCTTACAGAAACACGATAAGCAATGGGGAGCGTCGCTGGCCGTGGAGAGCCCTGGGTTATCGTCTGGCGACGACAGGCATCGAGCGATGCGAGCGAGATAAGATCGACATGGAGAAGCAGGGAAGAATGGCGGCGGCAAGAAGGACGACTGCGGAGATGACGGATGACGGCGGCTCGTGGTCGACGGGGGAAAGAGAGCGCAAGGAAGGCCACGCGACAGCGGAAGGCGTAGGAGAGGGACGTGGTATATGAGACGGAGAGTGGACGGCTGTAGCAGCTTAGTGGGTGCGTGGGTGCGTGCGGTCGCCGCTCAGTTGATGTAGGACTTGGTTCAGGCTCGATGGCGGTTGGCTTTATCCATTGGACGAGCGAGATGCCACCTTGACCCGGAAACTCGTGGGTCTGGCCAGCTGGATCCGGGCACTCAGTGGAGCCAGCGACCGCGTAAGCTAGGCACTACGTCGGGGGGAATGTAGAGGGTGGACGGTGCGTGCTTGTACTTGTAGGGGGCCCAGTCGGTGCGCAGGGAAAAGGGGGGGGCCCCCGTCAGCGGCGACCAAGGGCGCCTAAAGCCCAGCGCGTGCCCGCCCAAGAGCACCCGGAACACCCAGAACGGCCCTCAAACGCTGGGCATGGCGACGAGTGGCCGCAACCGGGATCTGGTGCACGGAGTGCAGTCATCAGGTTTCGGCACCAAGCGCGCAGTTCTCGACGAAGATGCTGCAGTCTGGCTGCTCAGAGTTTATGCGCAGTTAGAATGGGTGTATGTAGGCCTCCGTGTACACATATATTCACCTCCGTCGGGCGCTGCGAGCGGGCTGCAGACAAGCTTTGTCTTGGCCCTGCACGTCAAGAGTTGTCGGATCTACCAATGAGCGCACAGCTCGGCACAGCTGCCATCTCCGCAGCCACCTGTTCGACTCTGTGCTGCCAATTTGCACGCCCACTCGACTCGATCATCAGTCTCGTCTTCTTCGCCTTCACTTCTGCATCACTGCTGTTGCTCTGCACTCTTTCCGCTCGAGCACGCATTGCCATTTCGTCGCCGTCCATGTACACATCGATCTACAAGCAATTCCTTCCTTTGTCACTAATGTGACGCCTAGCTTTTCCATCGGCTCAAAAACCAATCCTGTCACTATCGCAACCAACACACGCTGCCCCCGCGGGCCGTTATCTACTACACGGTTGAAGAAACCTCGCGCGTTCCCGCTGTGCTTCCGTACAAGCGTCATGTCAACGTCTTTCCGCATAAGTCATGCTGAGCGCAATTTCAGCGCCGCCTTCCGTCAACATCGCCCCGAGAAGGCAGACACCGCCAAAGACGAGGCCGACCGCTTCAAGGCCCTTTTCGCTGACCTCGCGAGGGAGTGCTCGCCTGCTCATGTCCAGGTTTGACCAGCCGCCTTTGTCTTGTGTCCGATGTGTCCTCCGAGCCTGAGCTAAAATTGTTGTGTGTTTTCGCCATAGGCATGTTCCGACTGGGTGATCGATTATGTGCTCCCCACGCCCGCACTGGTGGACGCTTTCGGTGGCTTCATCACAGCCGTATCAGCGGCGTACTCGGCCGAGAAGCAGAAGAAGGAGGGCATGTCCAAAACAGACATCAAGGCCAGCCTGTGGCCACTGACCTTTGTCATCAACGAGCTTCTGCACACGACCAAGTATCTCATGCGCGACCGTCACCTCCACGATGAGTGTGTTCCTCTCCTGCGTGTGCCCGTAATCACCCTCATCAAGGACCTGGCCACGTTCCCACGACGATCCAATCAGAAACACTTCAATCGCCTTTTCGCCCTCCTCGCTCTTTGGCATCGGCAAGGATACTTCGACAAGCCGTACATTCAGAGCTTGAAAACTCTCGTTGAGAGCGAGGGACAGCAATTACCTACCGAAGCCAAGGAATTTGCTTCGTCGAAACAGAAACGGGGGCATGGAGACACCGATGCACCGCGCAAGCGGAAGAAACTCGATCCAACAAAGGGCATCCAAGTCCTTGGCGGCATCGATAATGTAGGGGAAGATGGCGATTGGAAACTGCCAGACTGGCACGGTGGCGAAAACACACCCTGGCATCTGCTGCCAGCGGCCAGCTGGCTTCGACCGTTGCGAAGTACGGACCACGACAGCGGGCAGGGTATGAAGAAGAGGGATGTCAAGGCTATCAAGTTTGGAGGCGACACGGTCTCAAAGCACGTGCGTAAGGAAGTCCTCAAATTGCTGAAGCAGGCAGATGAGCTGTACAACCCGACGCCGGATACAGGAAAGCGCATCGAGTATGATCAGCTGGGACGCAAAATGGAGGTGATCAAGATACGGAAATGTGCGGACGGTAAGGTTAGGAAGTATATCAGGTATGTTGTATTGATCTCTGGGTTTGATCCGACTCATAAGTCCTCACTATTAACGTACGGCCTCCAGATCCGATACGTATTACGGCTGGTCCACCAAGTTCCTGGACGAAATGTACCATCACCCAGAAAAGGGCTTCCTCGCCCAAATGCGGAAACGCCCCTCGCGAAGTTCATCTAGCAGATCGCATTCGCCTTCTCCAAAATCATCATCACCACCACATCGCGACGATGACCCGTCGACAGCTCCTCAACCTCATCAGCAACCAACATCTGCAGCTCCATCGCATGGCTGTCCATCTTCCGGGCCCCAAAACACGAACTACCCACCCCCTCCGCAATACCCTCACCAACAATTTGGCCCACCACCTCCGATCCCCCCTCCGTGGCTGATGCAAGGCCAACATCAAATTCCCTTTCCTCCCCCACCACCACTACCACCGAATGCACAATGGGCACCACCACGTCCTCCGCCTCATTTGCAACAGCAGAATCAAGGGCCGTCACCGCCGCCACCGCCGCCACATCCTCATACCCCATTCTCGATGATGGGACAAAACGGTGGATGGTCTCAACATGGAGCTCCGCATCTACCTCCCCCACCGCCACCTCCACCTCCGCAGGGTAATTTCAGGGGAACTTCTAGAGGTGGGTTTAGAGGTAGCTATGGAAATCAGGGCAATCGTGGGGGGTACGGTAGGCCAGGATATTAACGCAATGCAGGAACGTTAGGAGTTCTGCTTGGAGCGGACAGTTTGGCCAAGGCAGAAGGTTGCCAGCGCAGATGTGTCAAGTAGTTCAGAACACCAGGGATCTATCTCCTCACCGATTGATTTTGAATTAAAGGCTGAGCCATATTTGTGCACACAGTGAAACAAAAGCAGACATTGATATATCACGTTTGAACATTATTGTTCAACATTGGTTTGATGCGTGGTGGATGCAATAAGCTCATCGGGAGGATTCAGCGGGAGGACTGGAAAGCTAAACTGCTGTGTAACCATGCAATCGGACGGCATCTTTATGAGGTGCATCGCAGCGTAGCGCATCCGCCCATATCGAACAACAAAGGATGCGCAAATCGAGTGACGCAGAGCCACATGGGTTTATACGTGGATAGTTGCTGGAAATAAAGAGGGTGAACTGTCCGTTGCTGCCAGTGAACATGCGCTATCTCGCAGCAGTGAACAAACCGTGTCTAGCTGCATGACGCGATCCACTGAATCAAGTGCGCCGAGTCGCTGCGGAACGAGCATCCTAGCGCAAGACGTCCTGCGCTACCCCGAGGATATCCCACCCTCGAAGACATGATGGATGCCGCGTTTGGGTTTTGAACGAGGTTATGATTCGCAGCCCGTCCTGCGTCAATGAGGCAATCTGTTCCCACACGATCGGAATTGCATTGGCCCCGGGTGTCGCGGGCGCCTGAATGCTTCCACCTCATAGGCAGGCCTCCTTCCACTCGCCTACGAAGCGACGGGTGGAGCGGCGGACCAGTCGTTGAATCCAGAAAGTGTGGTGTGGGTACCTTTCACCTCAGAGTTTCTTCCCACCTTTTGCGACACTGCCCAAAAACTGTGCGCAGGGAAGAGGAAAACAACGAAAGGCTCTGCGAGTTTCCCTGCGCTTTGGACTCCCCGTCAAGCAAACGTGTCGCGCTGGAGAGTCAGCATGGAGGGTAGCGAAGCGCAACCGCCAGCGCAGCCCCAGCCGCCGCCGCCGTCGTCGTCGTCGTCGGCACCGACAGCGGCTGCTTCTGCTGCCACTGCTGGCCCCGAAACAAATGTCGTCACCGAGGTGCTCGTTGATTCGTCGGACCAAGACTCCAGCTTCGGTGAGGAAGACCGCTCGACCATCTCGACGTCAATCAGCTCTTCGGTGACGACGTACCGAACCGAGAACGGGCGTCGATATCACGCCTTCGCGGAGAACCAGTACTGGCTGCCCAACGACGAGGCCGAGCTCGGAAGGCTGAATATCCAGCACCACTGCTGGCGAGTGTCGCTGGGCGGCAGGCTGTTTCTGGCGCCCGTCCCGCCGGGCATCCACAACGCAATCGACATCGGCACGGGCACGGGCGAGTGGGCCATGGAGTTCGCCGAGCAGTTCCCCTCCGCCAACGTGATCGGAACGGACCTGTCGCCCGTGCAGGACCCCAAGACGCCGCCCAACTGCAGCTGGCTGGTTGACAACGCGGAGCAGGACTGGGTCTACGACGTCAAGTTCGACTACATCCACTCGCGCATGCTGCTGCTCGGCATCCACGACTGGGACTTGTACTTCCGGCAGGCGTACGAGAACCTCAAGCCGGGCGGCTGGACTGAGATCCAGGAGCCGCTTTTCCCTCCGTCGCACGTCGACGACGGCGGCGTCACGATGGAATCGCCCTTCAAGCGATGGGGCACCCATATCGTGGAAGCCGCAGCCGTGGATCACATTGACATGACCATCGCGCCGCGTCTGGCGGAGCACATGCGGCGGGCCGGCTTCGTCAACGTCGTGCAGCAGGAAGTCAAGTGGCCGATAGGCACGTGGGCCAAGGGCGAGCGGGAGAAAGCGCTGGGTTATTGGACGTACGAGAACACGAAACTATTCTTCGACGGCACCAAGTTGCTGTTCACGAAGCGATTGGGCTGGGACCTCGAGCGTGTGTTGGCGCTCAACAAGGAGGCCGAGGACGACATCAGCGACAGGAAGAGCCATTACTACTGGAGATTGTGAGTTCCAGTCCCTGGTCCTTGGAAAAAATCGGCGCTTTGCCTGCTGACTCTTACTGCAGCTTCGTGTGTTACGGGCAGAAGCCGGAGGATGCGGCGTAGCGTTAGCATTATACCCCACGGCACACCTGGACTTCATATCACCTCGATTGAGAATTTTTTTTTTTGACTTGAAAAGAGACGACTGTATGTATTCGATGGTGTGAATCCAGAAATTTACAAGTATCCCTGCACACACCTTTTTGACCCGTCATGAAGGCTTGGTAAGAAATCGTGGCAGACTCAGTTCTACCTTCAACGATTGAGTGTCTCGACGGCTATTCACGCAAGCCAAACTGTACTGTCGCCACTGGCGGATGACCAGTTACACATTCTCCCGCGTCATGTAGAGCTTGCAACAGGTGATCACGGGCATGACTGCACGGTAGTCTATGCTATCAAGCCAAAAAAATTTGGGTCAACCGGTAAGTCCATTGCTCTTGAATCTGATGCAAACATCTACCACGTGGTGCGCATGCGAGATCTTTGGCGAACCGTTCCGGCTCAGGCCACAGTATGTGCACCGTCGAGCACGGCTTCACAAGTTTCCAGCCGCTTCAACGAATCACTATCACGGATATTCATGTCAGGCAATCATCAGACCTCATCTGTTTGCAGTCATCGCGCGAACGGGTTGTTGCCTATCTTTGGAAATCTACAAACAGAGAACCAGATTGCTTGCCATGACATTTATTCATCATATCCCGGGCAGTGAGGGCGACGGCCTACCCACGTACCCATGACAAACAAGCGGGAAGCCACACTCGAACCGACCAACTCTCGTGCCGAGAGCTCAAGTCTGACCTTGCGGCAACCGACTTTCTGGGCTGCAAAGCAAGTCCAGATCGTGTACGAGTGCGGAGAGTACACTTGTGACGGACCAAGGGTTCCATACTCTCGGCTTCGTCGCTTCTCGAAACGGGCTCGGCGCGAGCTAAAGGGTGCCACGACGTGGACGGTCCGCTGCCAGCATTACAAGCAGGACAGGATGTTGAACGAGATCTTCGAATGGTTCATGACGCTCCCAGACCACGATCCTCCGGGCGACTTCGTCGATAGCGGCTATCACCCGGAACTCGATCCGCGAAACGAATGGATCCCGCAGCTGTCATGGGAGGATCTCCTCCTTCTCGATCACACTTTAGATTACCTGCATCTAAGGGAGCCATTGGACAATAAGAAGGTGCGGAACATAATATGGAACTCACTCACCTTGGGCGAGCTTGAGACCAATCCCTTGAGCGCCGACGATGTCTGCATCTCACGCTAGGCTGTTTTCCATGTCGATGCTAATTGTAGCGCAGATGCACCTGGCATGGCACTTGCTGCAGTTCAAGGCCGAGTGGATTCGTGAGGCTGCGGAATTCGACCCGCCAGTTCAGACGTCGCTACCCGAGAAGCGACAACAAGAACGAGGCTCTACCTCTTCCACTGCAGTGGAGGGCGTCGCCAATTCGACAGTTGACCAGGAGCTCGTCCACCTGCTAGGTGGCTGGGAAGCCAGGAATAGCGCCCTCATGCGCAACATGATCCGCAAAGTTGTTGCCTATCTCGAGAAACGTGGTGGAGACGAGTTCGATAAATTTATTACGGACCTCCGAAACCTAGAGGGAGATCATCCAGGCGAGCACAACTCGCTGTTGCGGCAGGGAATGACAACAGTGTACAGCACCCGCAATCTTCGGTTAGGCTTTGAGAGCATGGAAGATAGCATTCAAGCAAAGTGATTAGTTGGTGTGCAGGTAGGGCATTATGGTCGGAATTACCATGTTCCAAAGCAACAGCAGGCAATATTTCAGTTATACACAGGCTTGGAGATATTAAACAAGACGATTCGGACAGGGATGGGCGACGAGAGGTAAATCAGACATTTCGTGACCTTAATCTACAAACGTGACCGATCTTCGTCGCCGTCTTTCCCTTCTCACCTGTGAAGACGTCAGGATGCACGAACCCAATTGCAACTTGAAAACGCTCACCTCTGCCTCAGATGCGTCAACCACAAGGGCCTCCTCGAAGGCATCAATGTCACTTTCATCGTCTACCTGGTACAGAAAGTACTGCACGAACACTCCGGCATCCATAAGCAAAGTTCCGAAGCTGCCCAGGATCCATGACAGGTTCACGGCGATGTACTTTCCATACATGCGCGCTGCTTCGCCGGGCTTGCAAGCTCTCGGCTCTTCGCACGCCGCTTGGGGCGAGTATGCAAATATGCTGAGAACATACGTCAGATTTCCCACGCAAGCAAAAAGAAAGAACAGCATCGATATTCCCTCCGTAGATTTGCGACGGTAATTAAGCAAGAGCTGTGGAACCCTTGATCCTAGGTAGAGGACCGCGCAAACGTATCCGAATACCTGGCCGAGTGTGTTGAAGGATATCACCTCTGGCTTATCTGGCAGATCAGGTCCGCCTTCGCGTCTGGATGTTGTCGTGCGGTTGCTGAGCCACCAGCCAAGGACCCCGCTCAAACACACCAGCAGGACGATTACGCCGTTGAAGAAGATTCGCTGGGGCGTGGTCTGAGCCACCGGCTCCTTAGGTGGATCTTGCGCACCCGCGTCTGGATGCAACGGCGTTGTCGGGGAGAAATGCGTTCCGTCGAGCGACATCAGCCTCTCCCTGAACGAACTGCCGGACAGCCGGCGTCCAGAATCGGTGAGAAGGTTCTGCGTCGCGCTGCTTTCGGGACGTTCATCTCCGTTTCTGAGCAGCGGCGCAGTTTCATTGGCTCTGCCGTTCGAGGCGGGAGCTGAGATGTCGTCGCTCAGCGTGAAACCTTTGTAGTAAAAACATTGGCCGAGCAGAACCAGGTCGGCCAACGTGTAGTACACGGCCAGAATGATCTAGCGGATTAGATAGAACGCCGTCATGCGCTTTGGAAAATGACGAACCATGGTTGGCAAGACGCCCTGCAGAACGGCCCCGAGGATGTTGAAGATATCTCCGATCAACCACGTTATGATGAACACAACGGACAGCCCTTCGGCCGAACTCCTTCGGAAATTCTCAATGATTTGAGGTGAAAACACGACGATCCAGCATGCTATTGATATTGACCCGCAAATGCCGCTTAATGCGTCAATGTCGAGGTTGATGCTTTGCGCCGGCGGGTACATGATGTCCGAGACGCTCGTCTTTGACGAGAAGACAATCGTCAGGGTGCCAGAAGGGCGCGTGGAAGGTCAGTTATTATTCACGCTCACTTATCTCAACGCTCTTTGAATGAAAGGCACGCCTTGCTCGTGCTGTAATGTAAATGAGGGGAATCCAGTTGTCTGGCTGAGATTTTCTGCCAGTTACGTAACCCTGAAAATCTGGGGAAGAAGACTTGGCGCGCGCAATCATCTGCAGGAACGGAACGTCGCCTCGACCTTCCCAAGTGGTCTGCGGGAGCAACGAGACCTGCTGCGAGCTTTCTCTTCAAGTTCTTCGCCCTTTGCTCATCATGAGAGGCCGACACGCTCTGCACCTCTGCCTGTTTTGCCCCTTTCCTACTTTCCTCTCAAACCTAAGTTGACGAAGTGTAGTGAGGTTTCGGCCTCACTGAAAACCCTTCAATTCGCGATGATGTATCGAGCGGCAAATCTTACCAATGCCAAAAGCAGCGGTGAGGTCTCTATTCAGCCCCAAGATGAAAAAGAAGAAAAAATGGTAAACATCGGTCGACCAAGCGCAGCCTCTCTACATTTGGCATGTGAAAGTTGTGCATCGACAGCAATGTCGGGTAACCATACCTGACAACGTCAACGTGCGTGCAGGTCTGAATCCCACATCCACTTGCACACCGATCGCGAAGAAACAGCATCAAAGGACCAAAAAGAGAGGGTCGCTTTGTCTGGAGCAGACGGTAAACTTGCGCATCGACTTGCTCAACAGCGGCGCTCCCAAAGCTTCAGCGAGATTATCAGAACAAATTTGAAAAACGACTAAAGACTCTGCTGACCAGACAGGGTACGCATGAAGTGGATGTAACCTGGCACGAAAGGAAACATTGGAGCACAGGAGCAATCTGAAGAAAAATGATCAAAGGCTCAATCCATGAAATAATTTCATCGCTTGTTCTGGTCTACAAACCATTATCTTTCTTGAATTTATCCCAGGCCTCATTCAGCGTTGCGAATACAGCTGCACTGATCATCTTCTGCTCCGTTGTCGCTGTCGTTGGAATCTACATCGCGATATGTTAGCATGCAAATTACCCTGATTTCTTCGCCTGCGTTGAGTTCAAGAGGCGGAGAGAAGGAGGACATACCTTATCGGGATGCACCTTGGCAATTGCTTTCATATACACGATCTTCACCCTATTGGGCATAACCAAGTCCTGCATCCCGACTTTGTTCCATCCAGCTTCTGGCCAGAGGACTTTATCTAAACTGCCAAGTAGAGCACGAAGGTTGTCCGCTTTGGTCCCCTTCCAAGCTAACAGCATGGCATCCACTTTGTCTGTCAGCGCAAATTTCTCATCGTCTGCCTGTTCCGCCGCAGCATTGGCGGCGCGCATGCGTTGGACGGCCTCCGAGGAGACTTCCTCGGAACCTTGGAGTGCCGAAAGTGTAGAGGCAGGCTTGCGAGCTGGTGGCGGTTTGCGAGTTGCTGATTGAGGTGTTGGCGTTGAGCGCGCTGAGTTCGCCGAGGCACCACCAGCTGCTTTCTCGCAACGATTGCGCCCTTGAATTGACACAGCACCACCTATGCCAGCTGAGACGGCCTCACGCCATACTTTTGCGGCTTCAGACCATTTCTCCATATGCTCAAGTGCTTCAGCCTTACGCGTAAGCGCCTTACCGTAGAACTCCTTCATGTCTTTTTCACCCTCATCGCCTCCCAGTGCTATCTTCTCACCTTCACCTCGGGAGACGCCAATCGTGTTTAGTGCTGAATCAGCATCTGAAACGGCACCTCGAGGGTCCCCATTCTTTATGCTCGTTAACGCCCGATTGCAAAATATGACGATGGCAATGGGGTGAGTGTGGGGGATGCCTTGCAGAGCAGATGTGTAATGCTCATGTGCTGCTGCGTAGTCACCACGCTTGAAGGCTTCGCCGCCGCTGGCTCGTTGCTTCGAAGAATTTTGTAGTGCAAGTGAGGAGACCGGTGGTATAGTTCTCGGTGGTGCCTTCGGTCGAGAGGGCAGTGGTGTCGGTGGCTTTGAAGTCGCTGGAGTGGCAGGTTTCGAGGTGTTGAATGGATTTGGGGATTGAGTTGGTGGTGATGCTAATGGGGCAGGGGAGGCATTTGATGGAGGTGGTGTTGCAGTTGCAGGCTGTGGAGTAGGTCTTCGCCTTCTCGAGCTTACTACGACTTGTCCCGCATACTCCTCTACATCTTGACGTGTCAGACGCTGCGCCGATCGATTTGGTGTGGGCTGTCTTGAAGTTCCTCGAGACCTAGGCGCACTAAGCATATCGTCAGGGATATCATTCCATTGGCCCGAGCTTGCTGATGCAGGTGTTGAAGCCCGTGATATCTCTGCCGACCGCGGTGCTGAGCGTGGTGGCTTTGGGGGCGGACCACGACTTTCAAGGAGCATCGCTTCATTCGTTAAAGACTGCTCAATTGGAGCCTTTCCGTTCGTAGGCCGTTGCTCAGGGGTAGACCTTCGTTGTGTAGCAGCCTCCTGTAAGTGGGCTTCGCGCATCCACCTTGGCTGGCTAGGATCGGCATCTTGTTGAAACTCAGCCATGGCTTTTTGCACTTGCCTTTGTCCCTGCTTCCACAACGAATTGGCCGACTTAAACAGACTTGTGCCAATCGCCTGGGCCTGCTTTGCGAAGTCCTTGTCACCAGAACTCCCGTTGCCAAGTCCGGGTCGTGATCCCGAACGCTCCCGTTCCGGTTCTTCACGCGTCCAAGAAGGCATTGAAGAGTCTATTCTACCTTCTCGTTGTGGCCTGCGACTTCTCTCGCCCTCTCCGCCAGGACGATCACTGGTTTCCTGTCTCCCCCGTGCTTTCAGTCGAGCTTCTTCGTGTGCTTGGTTGAGCAGAATGGACACAGCTGCTTGTACATTCGTACCTGTGTCAGTCTGAGCGAGAGCATTGGCAGCTTTACCAGCGGGGAAACCCATGTCTACTAGTTCTGACACAGCCTTCGCCTGTGGATGCGAGCTCATGTCGGAGTCCTGTGCCGGTGGAGAGGGAGATAGTGATTTTGTCTCCGGCGCCGGTTCAGTCTTTGGCTTGGGCAATTCAGAAACGGGTTTACCTAGCATGCCCAATATGTCGTCATCATCGTTAGTTGTTGGTGGAGGAGGTGCGGATGTATTGCTCTTCTGCTTCACTTCATTCAAGCCAAATGGATCATCGTCGTCAACGAAATCAAATCCACTGTTGTTTGAGGACTGAAGTGGGGGTGGGCTCCTGCTCTTACTGTCTCCTGGAGTGCCCCAGCCACTGTTCATGGTTTGAGGCGGTGGAAAATGGCTCGAAGCATCAACCGGGGCTGACGAATTGAATGCCGCGAGCAGATCTTCTTCATCGTCTTTTCTATTGCTAGTTTGGGAGGCTAGAGGTATGCCCTCAAACGGCTTATTGATGGTGTGCGACAGTCGCGCGTTCGTTGGAGGAGAAGCAGTGGTGGCTCTACGTTCACCACCCAGCTCATCCCAAAACGCGCTTTGGCTGCCATATTGCGCCTCTAGGTTCTTTCTCCGCTCTTCCTCCTGCCGAGCCTTCTCTTCTTGTAACTGCCGTTGTCGCTCCTGTAGCGAAAGCGTGTTCTGCGCCTTGCTTGCTGAGGGCTTAAGCAGATTCGCGAAGCTATCGTTCACTGTCGTCGTGGGTCTGGAGGAGCCTGGCCTCAACACCTTCCCTTGAATTCCCGTATTCTGCTGCGAATTGTTGAAAGTGAGTGGTGTTGATCGTCCAGAAATAGAGGGAGATGGCGTTGGCTGTATCGAGGGATACGCGAAGGGTGGTTTCGCCGCTTGTGCAGCAGGTTTGTAACTGTTGTCATTGCTGGAACTCCAGTCCAGGCCGCTTAGGTCGTCCATCTTTCTAGTCCGGGCGATTGTATCACGTACGTGCTGAGCGGTCACCACCGTAACATCATGGAATGGACAGCGCAATTGCGGGTGCGGCTCTGGTCTTGGGAAGTTCAGTGATGGCCGTGCGAGAGATTGCCCAATGTGAACAAAGCGCGCCGCTCCCGCACTTGCAAGATGGACCTAGCCACATTCAAACGCGGTCGAGAGTTTTGGGCCGGCAGTTGGACATCAGGCGGGTCTGCAGAAAACAATTCCGCAAGATTCTGACGCCCGCAGCGACAGCTTGAACCACGCGTCCAACAAGCCCGGAAAATGGCAATACTGACTGAGGATGAGATCGACGAGATCTTGTACTTTGCGCGAGCTAACGAGATCGAGGACTTGAAGACCTACATCCCGACCTTGTTTCCAAAGTACGGCACCCAGCCAGCCTGGATTTTGTCTCAAGCTGTGGATGCAGAAACTGGTAATACTTCGCTGCACTATGCCGGTGCAAATGGACACATAGGTTGGTGACGCCTATTTTTTTTCTTCTATCTCCTCTCTCGTGTAGCTAGAAATCCTGAACATTATATATGAGTAAGACATTCGCTAATCGATCACCCGTAGACATGGTTAATTATCTTCTTTCGCTGTTCCCTTCGTCATCTGCCGATCGCAAACCGTTCATCAACAAGCAAAATAACTCTGGAAACACCGCTCTTCACTGGTCTTCTCTTAACGGTCACATGTCCGTTGTTAAAGCCCTTCTTGCCGCCGGCGCTGACGCTAGCATTCTGAATAATTCAGGACATGATGCCGTCTACGAGGCTGAGATGAACGACAAGCAGGAAGTCGCAGAATACCTGCTCAAAGAAGCATTGGGCTTGGAGAAGGCTATTGGAAGGGAGGGAGATGGCCGCTCACCTGACGAGGAAGACGAGGAGGTGGAAGGTGGCGAAGGTGAAGGAGATGGTGACGCGGACAAAGTAGCAGACGGGATGGCAGAGATGGACTTGAAGAGTTCAACGCCAAAGGGCGACATGGGATGAAAGAAAAGTGGTGCAATTCAAACAGGAGTAGTTGACGACGGCAGGGGATTCTAATGGCCATCACCCTTGCAGGAACCTGAGCTTCAGCCTTCGGTCGCAAGGCCTTGCAGGATATCTCAGCATTCAGCGTTAAGCATGCTTCCCAATACAGCTGTTTAAAAGGTACGTCGAGGACGCCAGTCCATCAAAGGCTCCAGGATGACACTGGCAAGTTGAAACTTGATCCGGGGTATCAACTGCCTCAGCAAATCAATTTGGGTGGATCGTTCTGTAAATTCTTCAAAAACAAAATATGGGACTCCTATGTTACGATTTCCAGATCCCTCCCGAGGCATGTAGTCATACACTTCACACCTCTGTCTCAGATGAAATCACGAAGGTTATAGCTATGAACCCCAACGTCAGATCAGCAAAGCCGTCTTGCGTCCTCATCCAACCCTCGCAGCGCACGACTTTTCAAAAGCATAAGAAGGCATCCAGAACTATCGCTTTCGGATTTCCATACAGAGGTACATGGACATCTCACGCGTCTCCATCGTCTTCCGCTGTGACAGTAGGGGTTTCCCTTGACACATGTTCAGTTCAATTCTGACCGCGCAAAACGGACACTGAAACACAGAAGCTTAGAGTTTGATTCATCTTTCATTCTGTTTGTGCGCTTCGCACCTATCTACAATGCTATTGCAAGCAGACCAGCTACTCCAGCAAAGCTTCCAACGACGGCTTGCGGCATGGCTGCACCTGTAAAAGTTGCCGGATTTCGGCTTGACGTTGCGCTCGTTCTCTGACTGGTCCTCGTACTGGCTACCTGGCTTGCCTTTGTGCTTGCAGCCTCCGTAGTCTTTGCGCTTGCCGAACGGCTTTCTGATGCGGTCGCTACAGCACTAGCAGTCGTGCTCGCGGCTCCCACGTCCTGGAAGGCATTGACGCCTTTCTGCAATGCGCTTGTGATTCCAGAAGCGAGTTGTCCAGCCAACGTTGCGACTTCAGACGGAACTTTCCCCGAGATTGCAGTCGCGAGTTGTTGAGAGCCAGAGAGTTGCGCGTTCAAGTTCTGTGAGACCTGCGGGCCCGCACCAGCCGACACAAGGGCACTCTTCTTCGAAATCAGATCGTTGACGGTGCTCTCAATCGTTGACTGCAAGTTCTGGACTTGACTTTGAAGTTGAAGGGCGTCCGTTAGGGAGATTGAGGTCGCGCTATTGACAGTTTGGACGCCATTTGTGACCGAGGTAGCCACCTTATCGGCTGCAGCTTGCAGACTTTGGATATCTCCCGCGCCGTTGAATCCTTTTACAGCGGTGTCAAGTGCCTGAGTATCGGTATTGATTTGGCTCAACACCCCTACGATGGTGGCGACTTGCCGTTCGTAGATGGACGGCTGCGCTGTGACAAACCCGGCCGCAGCAAGTATTGAAAAAAACCTCATGGTCGCGTTGAATTCCGTCGCCAGCGATGATCAACGCGATGGGTGCGAGATTGGGCAAATTTATCGTGAGAAAGTCGTGCCTAGCGACAGTGGAGGGGAGTGATGGACAAATTCACCACAACTTCAGGAATGACCATGACCAAATATGCATGGCGTGGTGATGAATGGGAAGGCTGCCTCACCTAGATTGCTCCAAAGCACGTCTGTTTCTACCCAAAAGGCCGCCAAACACCTTGGACATTAAACTTTGACCATTAAGGGGTCGTCAAGCTACATGTTTCATGCCGCATATCTTGGCCATAACGCACATCGTGCGGCTCTGTTTCAGAATTGCTCAAACTGGCTTTGCATTTGTGCAGATCCTTGATCGTGCTGGGAGTCTAATCCATTTCTCCAAGGTTTGCAAAGACCGACTTGCCGGCAATGTACATAAAATTGACAGAGCCCCTTTTTACGCAACGGTGGTTCATAGTTGGCTATTGCGATTTTTTACCGATGCTGGTGCAAGACGTGGAAGTGTAGCGAAGACTCTTCGTGGTAATCGTGCATTTTCTTTTCAATATGCAAATCATGGATCTGCGTTTGGAAGGGGGGGGGGGGGGGGGTGAGGGGGCTCACACGGCGATCGTACTAACAGCATGAGCAAAAGCTGGCTCTGATACAAATTTGATTATGTGGGGTATCATTAGCCCATAAAGCGACGAGGATTTCTCGTACGAGAAGTGAAGTTGCCGGAAGGAATTCCTGGCTTCCAATCATAAGCGCAGCCTGTACAACATGTTTTGAAACTTCGAAGAAGCAAAATGTTGCCGCAGGCCACTAGCACTTTCTCCACGGTTATGGGTGTTGAGAAGATACTCTAGTTGACGCCTGTTCGAGGCCAATAACCTGAAGTTGAACACAAAGCCATAACGTATTAACTTTTTGCATCGTCATTACAGTAACTAAATCTTTGTGGATTCTTGCCTCTCCGAATTTGATGCTCATCACTCAAAAGTAACAGACTTCCACCCACCCTTCTATGAACCTGAAGTCACTCCCCATCGTCGACGTCATAAATGCATCGAATTCCGAGAAGTTGATTCCGGGATGTTCGCGAGCTTCGGACAAGTATTCCTGGTATTCTGCAAGTTTCGCAAGCCTTTCTGCACTGGGTGGTTCTTGACTCTTTGCTTGCCGTTCTCTGGCTTCCCGTTTGGCGCTAGCTTTGGTGGCGCTATTGACCACCTTACCTGTAGTGCGGTCGCGTTCCCAACCTAGAAACATGTATTCGAACTGACGGATTATTTCAGCCTCATTTTTGAGCCGCTGACTGGCCTCGTTTGTTTGGTTATCTGGAGGAACTAGGGGATCAACAGTAACATCTCTCGGCCGACTGTCGAGGATGTCACGTTCGGAGTTGGGCATGAATTGTGGCATTGTCGGATCAAAGCGTCGTTCTTCCTCTACGACCGGCGCGAGAGATGAAGGCGGATTTGTCACCATAATCTCCATACGCATGGGTTGTTCACCAGAGTCGGTAGGTTGGGTGGAGATATCGAGGTGCATTCCTATGGGGTCTTCGTCGCCTGAGAGGTCTTCTCGAACCTCAAAGCCTTGGCTGCTGAGCAATTCACTTAATGCCTGCGCTTGCACTTGTTCCTCGATGGATACTACAGCATCGGCCATAGTCGTCAGCTCTCGACGGGACTCTTCTGCGTCTGATCTTGGCTGGTGTCCATTTATGTTTTCGTCCGACACAGATTGCTTAAGTGCATTCTTGGTGGCAGATTCAGCAGCTGCACCTGCATTGGCGCGGCGACAACTTGCTCTATATGCTGCTGCACTCTCTTTCTCTTTGCGGACCCTATCTTTGTAAGCCTCAATTTCCTGTTGCCAGCGCCTGATTTCTGGTCTCGCGGCCTGAGCGTCGTAGTGAAAATCCTCTCTTTCCTTGAAAAGAGGGTCTAGAAGCTCATTTAAGCTCTCTTCCATGACCTGGTACGCAATCTCTCGGCCTATATCTTGTGAGTGATTTGGGATTTGGTAACCGTCTACTTCTGCGGTGACTTGTGTCTGGCTATACGAGTCCTCGCTATCGTAAACAGTAGACCGCTGCGTTCTTTCCGCCCACGCTGCACGCCTTGCGTCTGCGATAGAAGATCCGCCATAAGCGAAGCGTACTCGTTGCTCACGAGCAAGATGTGTAGGAGCTTGATTGTGAGAGTCTCTGGGTTGGAGGTAAACGAAGTCACGAAGAGACAATGGCTCTCCAATTCTATGATCGAAGGGAAATTGGGCCTGAGATTCCCAAGCATTGCCTACAATCTCGGCACGAGATACATCCAGGATCGCGTCTTCATTAACCACTGCCTGGTCTGGTTGGTTTCGTCTATCGCCGAACGAATTCGCAGGCTTGTTAAGTGGCGCTCTTGGTTCTGGGACTGAGCGGGGAGCCTGCGTAAAGGCTGCACTAATCACTCGACTGGAGCTCGCAAAAGTGGTGGCGTCTCTCAATCCGTTGACTGCTTCGTTAGGAGCAAGCAGATCCAGTGTAACTTCTTCCTGAATTGTGAACAGAGCTTTGAATATGCGCAAGAAATCTCTCCTTGTGACATAGCCGTCGCCGTCTAAGTCATATGCATCGAAGATCTTTTTCCTCCTACTCTTGCCACCTATTTTGCTTCTGAGAAATGCAACTCCAAGCACGAAATCTTCGAAGCTGATGAGACCATCGTGATCAGCATCGAACAGTGCAAACATGCGGTCGAAAATTAGATTTGGACGAAGCGGACTTGTCGAGCTGATCGGAGAGATTGCCCGCTGGAAGGACAGTCTGTCTATAGCAAATAGCAGAACATCGCCGGGGCGTGGACAACTAGCGAGGCATGTGAACTGATCGTATAGACCCTCAATCTCGGATTTTTCGAAGTCCACCTTGTCGACCAAGCTCTTGCATATGTCTGCAGGCAAAGGCGGAATCTTAGACATGTCAAGACGTCCGGGATAGCTAGGTTCTTGAACGGCATGCAGATTGTTCATGGCGTACGTCGGTATTTTTATTTCGTAGAAGATGTGGTTGCGGCTGTGCATACAAGTCGCATGGCAATCATTGCACAGGTCAAGATCCACGCAGTTTGCACATTTCCACCTGATTCCTCGAATCGGCGAGGTACCGCAGGAGTCGCACTGAAACCCGCGATGCAGGTAGCCATCTTGCCGGGCTTGGTTCTCGGCAATGTGATACAACAATTGCTTGAGGTAAAGGCCGGCTTGGCCACGTCCAAATCGTACTCCAACATCTGTACCGGCAATGGTGTCGGCATCATCTGGGAGGAGACCTCGTTCTGCAGCTTCTCTTTCGACTGTTTCAACCATTTGTGCTAAGCCTTGACGAACCTCGTCATGAGGAAAGCCAAGCTGCTGCAACCAGCGTGTTGCCGCAAGCATTTCCTGTTCCCATGTAGAACGCGCTCCTCTGTTTTGGAACTGCATGATCATGAACCGTACGACAAATTCGTGGCGGAGAGAATTCAAAGTCGCCCGCGCTTGTGCTTCGGGTAGGCCATGCTCTTCCTGCAAGGTCTGCAATGTTGGAAGGGCAGTGGGCCGCAGCTCAATATGAACCGTCTGGCCTCTTCCATTGACAATGGCGAACCTCCCATACGTCTCGGCCGGATTGAAATTTGGGGTCTCAGGAGTTTGATCGATGTCTGTCTCGGCTGTCTGGTTCTCTCTAAGACGTGAAAGGCGTTGGGGCCTGCGGGGTCGATGAACCTGCGCATCTCATGAGCATCATCAACGTTCTACCGGAATGAATATAGACTGTGTATGGTCATGTCGCATCGAACGGTGTGGCCAAGCCCTTCGACACCAAGCTCTGAGATTGGAGCGTAGGGCGGCACTGTTGCAAATGACTCACGAGTATGAGGGCACGAATATACGTACGGCGTTGCTGCGATGAGGCGTAGCTGGCGGAGGAGAGCTTTTGAAGTTGTTGTATACAACATACGCCCCGTACAAAGCTGCAAAGCCCGTAAGGGCCAGGACTACCGGGCGGTATCTCGAGAGCGAAGAGGAAGGCGTCGTTTCTGTCGCCATGACTGATGTCCCGCAAAGCACGAGCTATCTGGACGTGTGGAAATGTGTTCTGCCATGCCGCGGCATCATGAAGGCAGGTAAAGGGAGCAGCAGCGCTGGCCGAGCGTGTTGCTTTCTCCAACGTTGCTGTTCACCGGCTCGGTTGCCCTTCCGCTGCGGCGGCCTCGCGCCAAAACACGCGCGCCACGGCCACAGGAAAGGCGCTTGTATGCTCGCACTAGTTCTAGCATCGCCAAGGGAATACGGCCTTTCATGCCGGAAATTTTCTTGAGCCAAGCCAAATCCAAGGCTGCACCATACTTCGTGCCCGTTCAGTCGATGAGAAAAGATGGGACTTTTCCGCCGAGCGACCGAAGTTTGTTGAGGAGACCCAGGCTTGTGCCATCGACGTCCGTACGCGTGTCCACCCAAACATATCGAGCAACTGTAGCAAGCTTAGAAAGCAAGATTTCGACGCAGCTGCACGGCTATATGGGCAGGCAGGTTTAGCTGAGCCTTCCTATCAAGCCTCTCGGGGTCTGACAGTCGTGCGAGCCGAAGTTCCGAAAAGTTTGTTTTGCAAGCCTCAAACGTACGTTCTGTTCCCACAAAGTGTTTACGAAGTGTTGAGCTCGCGTCCCCTGTATTTGCAAGAAACTCGGCACGGCATTCGGCCATCGTCTCCGAGCCGTAGCAAGGTAATCGGTGACGGATATATACTCTCCCTGAGTATCTTTCGTCGCGAGCAACCCATTCCCGCTCTCGAAAGGCCGTCCCCGAAGATGGCAGCTTCAACACCAAAGCCCATTTTGATCTGCGGGGCAGGTCTGGCCTCGCTGCTGCTCGGCCGATCGCTCTTGCGCACTGGGATCCCGTTCACGCTTTTCGAGCGCGACCAGAGCATCTCGTTTCGCGGCCAAGGGTACAGGCTGCGGCTTTCGGACGAGGGCCTGGATGCGATCGAGGAGGTTCTGGGACCGGAGCACTTTCCCAAGTTCTGGGATGCCACAGGCAAGACGGGCGGCGAGAAAGGCTTCGCGTCGCTCAACGCCGTCACGGGTGAGGAGGTGACGGAAGAGAAGCCCGGCGGCGAGGGCCCGACCAAGCCGGCTGCGCCTAATCTACGGTCGAGAGATGGGAGAACGATAGGAATCTCGAGAGGTGAAATGCGTTCGCTTTTCATGGAAGGGCTCGAAGATCGCATCAAATGGAACCATCTGGTTACGGGATACGAGCTTACACCTCATGGCGTCCGCGCCGTCTTTGCCGACGGTTCAAAGTCTGAGGAAGGCGAGATGCTGGTCGGAGGCGAAGGAATATACTCCAGAACGGCCAAGCAGCTGTCCGGCGGAAAGCTCAGGACGTACGATACTGGAGCGCGAGGCATTCACGGCCAGGCTCCCGCCTCGGCCTTCAAGGCGTTAGGCGAAGGCGTTTGGCGCGCAACAGACGACACGAATCCGAAGGGACGCATATTCGTCATAACCAACGTGCGTCCTGGTAATTTGGACGATGACTCGTTGCACTTTGGATGGACCATGGGTGGAACCCCTGGAGTCATCGCTCCGCCAAACGACGACTTCACGATAGTTGGCAAGCCCGCGGCTGAGATTGCAAAATCGCTAACGGCACACTGGCATCCGCGACTCAAGCCGTTGTTCGAAAGAATGAATGAAGACCAGGCCGCCTTCTGGAAGATCACGTGTTCAACACCGTCTGGTGTGCCTGAATGGAAAAATGAGCCTAGAGTCACCGTGATTGGGGACGCAGCGCATTCCATGACGCCTGCTGGAGGGCTTGGCGCGAACACGGCTGTAAGGGACTCTGCGCTTCTAGGGAGATTGCTTGCCCAGGCTGGGGGATATCAAGACGGTGTGACAGCTGCATATGAGAAAGAAATGAGAATTTATGGCAGTGAGGCGGTTGCACGAAGCTATGCCATGGCCCAGAAACAATTTGGAATCCACATAGATGAGGATAGCACACCAACGGTGGGCTGAGCAAACTGGTTTGGCAAAATGAGAAAACACTTTCGAGACACGTGAATTGGCCGAGCAACGTACGTGCCATTTTACAAACGAAGTAATAAGCTGAAAAGACTGTTGTCCTGGACAACGTAACTAAAACAATAAAAAGCTGGCTGAAAGAGCAGATTTGTAAAGTTTGTTTATGCGAATGCGCTCTTCAATCGCCTCCTTGGATATCGTGCGCTAGTCTCCTTCCAACTCCTCGCAAAAGTGCTCAAAAACTTCAGAACCGCAAAGATGAAAGCAAAAGCAGCTTGGGGGCATACTCGAACGGGGGAGAGGCATGGCCCACCTAATTGGATCGCAGGGCATGTCAAAGTGAGACTCAGCAACGGTTGTTGCTCTCACGCAGCCACCATGATCCTATTCGGTCTCTTCATGCCTTGTGGGAACGCAAACGACTCGTCGACAACGTATTGACCTGAATCAAACACTTAGCAAAAAAAACACCCAAAACATTACATGCCCGCAGTTGCCCGTCTCACCCAAAATATCGAGCCAGGCGTATTCGGATCGTCGCGCTCCTTTCTCTTCCACGCCCGATGTAGTCGCATACCAAGCTCATGGTCCTTTCTTATCACGTCATCCAACTCCAGTCTCAGGCTTGCCAGCTGCTTTTCTCGCTCACGGATAACCTTGAAGCTGTTATATATAGGATTCCTGGCCTCCGGTTTCTCCAAGTCTGCAATGACGCGCTGAATGTTCCTGCGCTGCAGCGACAGGTCTTCTTGTTGCGCTTGTATCGACGCTATGAGGTCCGAGGAGGAAAGCTCTTGTGGAGTCTTGGGAAGCGACTTCCCCACGGGTGAGGAACCGCTGCTCTGCGTAGAAGGCGCAAGGGAATTTGAACGCTCGGTTTTGTTTCCTCTACCGGTGCGCCAATCCGTCAAGGGGAATTGCTGTTTGATGACTTCTGGTTCGGGCGATGGTGGCTGCACCTAATTGCGACGACATTAGTATGTCCTGAATAGTTCGAATGGGATCACATACAGCTGGCGCAGATCCGACGGGCTTCCGCGTTGTGCTTCCAATACTGAATCGTTGACCGCTCATTGGGGTCGCGGGCGAGTCTCCAAGACCAAGACGTCGGGTTGGGTGACCGCGATCTAGTATGGACGCTTTATCATTAGGCGATGGTGAGGCATTGTCTACATACTTGGTCGGCATTGGAGGCGGCGGACTTGGTGGCGGGCTGTGCTGATACACCGAAGTAGCTGTAGTGGTCCAACTAAAGTGGCTACCGGGTTCTTGGCCTGGAGACTCTTGAATCTTTTTGGAATATGAACTATTTCGTTGTCTTCGAGGTGGTGTCCTTTGGCTTGCGTCTATTTCAAGAGTTGAATTAACCTCTCGTAGAGCAGGATGCTGATCAGAAGAATGGTCTGCGGTAGGGTTCGGTGAGTAGGGATAGTCCTTTACGGGAGTAACATTGCGGTCTGGGGGTGGGCTAGGGTAGGCATTAGGAGAACTGTAATGCTGCAATGGTGGGCCTGCAGGAACCGACCCGTAGACCTGCCGTTCTGCATTAGCATTGTGACCTGACATGTCACTTAAGCCGTTCCCGGGATACGCTTGGGCCGTGGGTGAGGCTGTGACTTGTCGAGTTTCAGGCGGGGACGCCACTTTTGGCACTTTTGGAGAGATGGCACTATTTAACGGATCATGCCCTGGACTCTTCGCACGTTTCTCCTCTGGCCGGCGAGGTTGTGGTATTGGTTGCCCTGGCTTGTCTTGCGGAGCATCAACTATCGCATGGCGCCCAGAACCTCCCTTCCAAGGAGGTCGCGTGTCAACACTGAGTCCTTGCTTGGCAAGTCGGGAAGCCTTCTCTTTAAAGCTGGTTTTCTGGGCCTCATTTGACGGTGAGATCGGATTTTCGAGTTTCTTTACGGGCTTCAGTCCCGAGCGAAAATCGAATTGGCCTGGTTTGACTTGAGAGGGTTTGCCGGCGCCATCAAAAGTCGGCTCTCCGGAGTAGTCGTCCCACCTGTGAAAACAGTCAGCAAGAGTTTTGGGTTGACACGAGATTCCTGAACGCTGGTCAGGTCAGCACACAAGCTTGCCACAAAAGAACAGAGGCTCGTTCCCACGATACCACAGCAGTCTCAAACGCTCTCATTTGAGGAGTCGGGTGACTCAGAGCCTTCATATTCATGTCTTGGGATGGCCTTATTTTCCAGCATGTGTAGCATAACCTGTTCAGAGCGCAAAAGTCTCGTCGCAGAAGATTCCAAGGATGACCACGCACATCATGGGCGCACCCTTGCCGACGTTTTGAGTCCATTCTTTCATGCGTGGAGTGGCCTTTCGCGGGACAGGAATCTGACTCCTGCTCGGCCTGGAAGTCTCCAAACCCGAGGGCGAGTGTTCTTCAATGGGCGAGACTTGGCCATCGTCGTGAACTGGGCGCCTGTAAGGCGAAGCGGGAGGGGAGACGCGTTCCTCTGGTTGCGAATACACCGACGAGGCAGCAACAGAGGGCCGATACAATGTCGGATCCTCAGACCTTCTCTTTCCGCTGGGCAAAACATCAGCAAATGCCATGCAAGCTGTTTCTAATCCAATTATGTTTAGGAGGGTAGAAGCAGGGGACAGTATTTGCGATAGTGGTGTTCACGTACACATCCATTGCCGGCACCTTCAGCTGGTTTTCGACGTCCTGGCGAGCGCGTGACGGGCGTATGTCAGCGTTGTAGTAGGCATCGCCCGGAGAGAGCGCAGGTTCTTCGGTCGGTGAGAGATTCTGCGCCCGATCAAGCTGAGCTTCGTCGTACGTCGATTCGAGGAGCGTGGGCGAGCCAATTTGAAGATTTGGCCGGCCCTTGGTGCCCTTGTCGCGCAAAGGAAGCCGCTTCCACATGGCTACCGGATCGGAAAGCTAGTGCTGTGAACTGAAGGGATGTTCGGCAACCTCGTGCAGGTGTTCGGTTGGGGTAGTTGTTTCGTTTTGAAGGTAGACCGGGCCTGTTGTGGCTGCACGCAGGAGACAAGTTGTTTCGGAGTGACAGGTAAGAGAACGTGAAATCAGTGTGGGTGGTGAAGGGACAAAGGAGAAAAAGAAGTAGGCTGAGGCCGTCGAGAAATGCTGTGAATAAATCAGACAAACTCACGGTAGCCTGATGGTGTAGACGGACTGCAACGCGGCCGTCACGAGAAGGAATCCGGGGGTGAGAACCAAGCAACTACAAAACACGTCACGTCCAGCGCAACAGTCCGGGTCAATGGCGACCGTGGCTAGAAAACGAATGTGTGTTCAATAACTTAATGCAGAAAGAAAACAATGGCGGATCGGAAGACGAAAGGCGAGTCGAGTTTAGTGGATGAAGATGATCCAGCTCGAGGGCAGCTCGAGCGATGTTTGATCTTCGCTTCCAATCAATTTCACGTCTGAAACCGCCACAGCAGCAACGGCCGAACCCTGCAGCAAACGAGCCAAAGCTGGACTCGACCAGGCTGGCATAACTCCGGATTGTGTTCCTCATTAGAAAGGCTGACTGTGGGTTTGTTCGTGCTCATGTCAGGCTCGCGCGCTCCCAAGTCATCAGTGCAAACTTGTTCTCCGTCGCGTGCCTGCGCACGCGAGTCGGGCCCGTCATGGACAATGACCGCAGTCGTTTGCCCTTACAAAGTGGCGCTGCTGCTGTGTTTTGGCCACCGGTTCGATCACTGTTCATAATTTCAAGATTCAGGAGCTCGTGGCGCACGACCAGTGCAGACAATGTCGGGCTGACATCTCCGCACTTGACAGGAGTAGGGCTGGAGCTTTGCATTCGAAACTGCTCCGCTCGCAGACATTGCACCGAAGTCAATGCTGTTTAAGCTTCTGGAGAAGATGCCATTCTTCAGCTGCCCGGACCACAAGCATTAGAATCCGCCTGCTTAACTTGGTTTCCAGATTCACGACGGACTCACGTGCGTTGCATCTTCATGAGCGAGCTGTCTTTCGGGTCTCGCAGGAAAGAAATCCAAACGTCTGCGTGCTATCAAGGAAAAGGGTAAGGTGCGACAAGATGCGCAAGCTACATCGGACCACTGAGAATAAATCCATAAGAAGTCTTCAGGAGCGAGCCGGCGTTCCAGTCTGACAGTGGAGACAACGCCGACAATCCGTGATCTAGGACGAATTGCGACCGCATGATGCGGATGAAAAAAGTCGTCAAGTGTTTATTGGTTCAAGTCGGTCTGGCCTGCTCAGGAAATTTGTCATTCACGCTGTACACACTTCGCTAATTCCAAAAGAGTCCCTCCTACGATGCGATGGCCTTGTAATGTCCTCACTCTCCTGTGACGGCTGAGGGTACATGTAAAGCTGAAATAGATCATGGCTACTTCGCAATGCTAGCAGCCGCTAGTCCGTTTATGGGGACGCAGCCAAATTCACCTGAATGCTTGCAAGATAATTTCGTTCCAGGTTTTCTTACGCATGACAGAGGATTTGTTCAACGCCCATCTACTCGCTAATAATGCACGTATCCTGTTTTGAACCTTCCTTTAGTACCTATCGATCTCTCTCTGTCGAATAAACCGCTCAAGTACACTCATCGCAATCCGGCAAGCCGTCGCTCTTGTACTTCGCTGAGCGCTTTGCTTCCGGAATAGAACGCCACTACCCCAATGATACCTGCCACTGGAAGTGTCTGGAACAGGTTCCAGCTCGTGTAGTACAGGAAGAAAACACACTCCATCGCAAAGATGCTCCCAACGAAAAGGACGTGACTGATGGGTGCCGCACTCAGGGCTTTCGCAAGGTGGTTGGCATTGGCACCGAGCATCAGCCACGCACCTAGCAAGACAGGCAGACAAGCAACAACGCCGGCAGTGAAGATAAGCGTGATGATGCGAGGGGGCGATTTGGGATCCGACTTGAAAATATGATGGATTTCAGGCTTCTTTCCGTACCGAAGCTGCTGCTCCTGCTCTGGAAGCGGAGCGTTCGGGTCCAGATCAATGCTCAAGCTAAAGGCCTTGCTCTTGTAAGGTGTCGAGCTCCCGAACGAGCCAATGACAATTGATGCTTCAAGCGGTTCTTTATCCTTGAGGAGCTGTAGCGGGATGTCGCTGAACTTGACATCCACCTTGGACTTGCCGGATTCTTTAACGGTGAAAGGAAACGATTCTTCGAGGCCGCTGGTTGAGGAGCTGAGCGTGAGGAAGGCTTGGTGTGGTTTGCGAGCTTTCTTGCCGTTTGTGGTTGTAAGGATGATCTTGAGCGCCGAGTCTGTCTTAAGGCTCAGCGGCTTAGGTAGAGGCGCATCTGGCTTGAGACTTCGTGTAATACGTTAGCATAAGCCTCGCCAGTGGATATATGGAAATAGGCTGTAGAATGAAACAATGCTGGAAATGAAGATGCTTATACGGAAGGACAATTGCTATGTCTATCCCTCATTACGGCTGCCAGCAATCCATTTCAAATAGCCGTGGTGTTCAGGAAATCTCAAGAGTTGACTGGGGTATACGTACGCTTCCTTCGATGCACCTCCAGCACCACTGCCTTTCTCACTTATCGACACAGAAGCATCTTCGAAACTCCATGATGCTGCGGAAACGAAAGCGGAGCCCGCTAGGAGCAATTGCGGTACTATGTATCGCAGGACTCGCATTTTCTATGTCTGAGTGTGTGAACTTCTGCTGTGGGAGTGCAATGATGCTCCTCCAGCTACGCGAGGTGTACAGGTGTTCTTAGCAAGGCTGATTCATGCCTGAGGCACCTATGCAGCCCAAGCCGTGTTACGTCGTTCAGGGTCCGCGCCTGGTTCGGGACGCAACGCTGTGGGAACAGGCCAAAGAGCTCCGAACCTTTAACAACACGCACAAAACTCAAGAAGTTCTTGATCCTATTTCGGGATGACTAACATTGTCGAGCAAATAGACCAGCAGCTTGCTGACCTGCTGGCAGGATGGAACATGTACTCGACCATCATCGCTGTGAGCATCTTCGGCTACCTCACCTACACCGTTGTAAACGCCGAGGAACCGGATACGCACCCGATGCTGCTGCAGCGACAGGCTACTGCCAGTATGGTGCGGAAACCAGGTGAATCGGCCATATACCGGTCATCAGATACTCCGCACGGCTTCCCACTTCGAAGTGGACTTAATGTGAAAGAGCCGGGTGCTCCTGCTTACGCGGGCGGCAAGGACGGAGATCTGAGGGATATTTGGAGGAGAGTTACAGGCGAGATACCACTAGAGAGACCGCGCGGAAGCAGCTCTGTGTCCTTGTCTGAGGAGGCCCAGGGCAAAATCTTCACAGTCTTTGGAAAGGAAGAGGTCACAGAACATAGCATCCCGGACATCACGAAAGAGCTCACCATCATCGGTAGCTGCATCAAGAAACAAGGTGCTACTCGGGTGGCAATCTATATGCCAAACTCAGTAGAATTCCTAGCTGCGCTGTTCGCGTGCTCCTTCTTTGGCCTCTCCCCAGTCCTCATTCCCTTCAACCAGTCGCACTCAAAGGTGATCGAGCAATTGGCCGAAACGAAAGCAGATGCTCTCGTCGCACAAGCTGGCTCCCTACCACTGGAAGAAGTCTCCAAAGCGTACAAGTCATTAAAGCAGGTTATCTGGGTCGTAGAGAAGACGAGCCGACATATGGATTGGACCGAAGTCCCTAAGGATGTCGGCGATCAGATGGATGTTAGCATGTGGCATCAGCTCGTACGGGACCACCAAGACATCACGAGCTCGGCTATTCCGGATATTAAAAGTGCCGACCTGCCAAATATTGTTACAATCTGGCTCGACAAACCGGGCTCTGCCGCTCAGGTTGTTGAGTTTACACATAAGGTACGTTTTGACATGGCTCTTCTCCGCATGCGGATTTTAACAGAATCCAGAACCTCGTTGCGGGTATAGGCGCCCTACTTGTCTCAGTTCCACTCCGACAACGCCTAAGTCCCTCAGATCTCTTCCTGTCAGCAGACGCTTGGACCAGTACGTACCCGCTATGCTGGACTCTTGGTGCACTTTTCTCCCATTGCTCTGTTGCCATCACTTCAGTTGCGGGGCCGGGTGTCTCGCTTGCTCTCACAACGCGTTGCATCGCTCCCACAGTCATTGTTGCTAGCGCTGAAAGTGCGGAACGTCTGCACGCGGAAAACAAGGCCAGCGCTTCGGGTGGCCTCAAAGGACTGGCGCATAGCGCACAATTGAGTGCGTTGGATGCCGGGCGAATGCCTTCTGATTCGTTGTTCTCAAGAATAAATTCACCACATCGTGTATCTCTTGGGACTACTCCAGGCAAGCTTCGTTTGCTATTCATCTCAGAAAGAGCTGGTGCAGAAACGCCTCCTTTAAGCTCACAGGATCTGAGTGATTTACGAATCTTTACCAATGCGCGGGTTGTTTATGCTCTTACTGCTGCCAGGGTGGCTGGAGCCGTCGCGCAAACCAGCGTATATGATTACAGAAGAGAAACAGGTTCAAGGAATAAACACAGCCATTTTGGTGCGCCACTAAGTTCTGTGGAGCTCAAAGTGGTTGATTCAGGAGTGCACAAGACTACTGATGAAGGCGCGAAGGGTGAGGTATGTTTTACTACATCTCTTCAGTTTCATCCTACATCACAACTCATTTTGGCCAATTTGTTAACATCCTACACAGATTGTAGTCGCTGGACCATCCGTTGCAGGCGGTGAAGCTCGACTCGGTGTCGTAGGCAAGTTCAACGATGACTGCACAATAGCGTATATATAGGAGTTCATGCGTCTATGTGAATGGACTAGCAAATAACTTGGCATTTGCGCATTCTCCCCTTGTTTCGCTTACTGTAATCTATTACAGAAGTCGAGCCGCAGATCTTCCCGAAATGCCTGCCTTGCGCCGTTCGTGATAACGGCTCTGCACTAGTCCTGATGTAGGATGGTTGTCCCCGAAACCCATGCATCCATCTCATGACAACCTCGCCTGCCGAGCCAGTGCCAATGCAAACGGCTTCCAGAACGCTGTTGAACAAGACCGGCTATCTGTCCTGACGTCTATTTCCACAAGCAAGTGTGCAAGGCCCACTTGGATTGGTTCGACCGCCACCCTTTACTTATCAGCACTCGAAGAAGACTGGATTCGCTTGAGCAGGCTTAGGCTTGTACTTTCACGCATAATGTATGGTAACTCCCTCGTCAAGCGATACGCATAGATGTATTAAAGCCGGCGAGTTCAAGCTAGCTCGCGGGCATTCTACTTGCTCCTTAGACGATAATCACATCCTAAAGCAGAGGCTGTGGGAAATAAATTTTTTGGGGTTTCTCCTACTTTTTCCGTTTGCATTTTGAACTTCCAATTCACCTCTCAACTAATATGGTGACATTCGAGCGACCTTCACTGCACGTTGCGAGACCCAAGTCCGCATTTTCGGACTCCGGAAATGCTCGATGGACCAACAAGGATCTAGATCCCGTACGGAAGGAGGATCGGAAGGTGAGTCTCGTCATCGATTCGTTCAAGTGGTAGGCCAGCAAATCTGACCCTTTGTCTCCTCGACCTCAGTGGGGAGTCTGGTCGTTCATTTCATACTGGATTTCCGACGCCTTCCACGCGGCTACATGGCAATTCGCAGCGGGAATAATCACATTGGGACTCAGCTGGCGAGAGTCCTTGGGCATTGTCGCCCTTGCCTTTTTCATCGTCTCCATTGTGATAGCTTTCAATGGCGCCACGGGCGTGCTCACGCATTCCCCGTTCCCAGTCATCGCTCGAGCTTCATGGGGGCAGGTTCAACCCTCCCTTATCCTGCAAATGCAACGAACTGACCGGGCATAGCTTCTGGGGCTCCTACGTTGCCATTGTGTCTCGCGCCATCCTCGCCATATTTTGGTTCGCAATCCAGTGCATGAACGGCGCCAACACTGTCCGCGTCATGCTCGGAGCTATATGGCCTAGTTTCTTGACGCTGCACAACTCCATTCCCAAGGACCAAGGAATCACTACGAACACAATGGTGTCGTTCCTTATCTTTTGGATCATCCAGTTGCCGTTTTTGTACATGCATCCAAACACGTTGCGCTGGTTGTTCCTGGCCAAAGCTGTGATTGTGCCGATGTAGGCGTCCCAAATAACTACCGCGCGAAAACGGTGACTGACATGTTCTGACAGCGCTTGGATCGCCATTCTCGTCTGGGCCTTCGTATCGACCGAAAAGAACAGCAGCATATTTGACCAACGTGCCACGCTGACAGGCTCGGCGTACTCTTGGGCGTTTCTCTCGTCCCTGACATCGGTCATCGGCAACTTTGCCACTCTCTCCGTCAACCAGGCCGATTTTTCTCGATATTCCAGGGTGTCCCCGAAATGGCAGTACATTTACGTGCCGTTTCTCCCTCTCGTCTTCACGTTCATCAGCTTCATTGGCATCGCGGCCACGTCGGCAGGCGGAGTCAGGTACGGTGTGCTGGAGTGGGATCCTATGGCGCTAATCTCGCATTGGACATCCCGCGCCTGCAGGTTCTTCGCGGCTTTCTCTTTTGCTCTGGCTGCACTTGGCGTAAACATTTCTGCCAACTCGCTTTCGGCTGCCAATGACCTGGCTGCCCTCGTTCCCAAGTATATCAACATCAGACGAGGTCAGCTCTTGACAGCAATTCTTGCCTGGGCCCTCGTGCCTTGGAAGATCCTGGAGTCCGCGGGGAGTTTCCTCAACTTCATGTCGGCATACGCGGTCTTTCTCGGACCCATCGCTGCCATCATGCTGTTCGACTTTTGGGTTATTCACAAACGCAAATACAACTGCCTTGCCTTGTATCAACCGGACAGCATATATCGGTATTCTAACGGCGTAAACTGGCGAGCAATCATCGCCTTCGTCGTCGGTGTTGCGCCAACTCTCCCTGATCTGATCAACTCGGTCAACTCGAGCATTGACGTGGGCGTAGGTGTTCATCCGTATCAATTCGGTTGGCTTCTTGCCTTCGTAGGCACAACGATTATTTATGTGGGACTGTGCTATGTTTTCCCGCCAGTCGAGACATTCGTTGACCGCTTTGTCGGTCCAGATGAGATCTACGACAACCAGATCATTCAAGGTGTGACGGAGGCGCATCCTGAAGATGTTGAGTATCAGCAAAACCCAAAGAAGCAAGCTGGGTGGAAGGCATGGGCTGATAAGGTCCTGTGATAATGCTTACAGAAGCTTGTTTTCATCAATGCACAGCTTTTTCTTGCGACGGGCGACGGCCTCATGATCCCAGGCCGCTGTCACACTGTTGGTCGTAGAACCTGGGAAAACACTATATAGGCTGTCAAAAGGGGTTAGCCATCCAGAGTCTAGAGACGCCGCCGCAACACAATTCGGCAGAACAGTTTTTTTTTTTTTTTTTTTTTTTTTTTTTTTTTTTTTTTGAAAATAATAACGGTTATGTCGCAAATCATAATACGCGTTTCTCAAAATTCTGGTCCCTAGAGAAGTTGAAAATCATTCAAATCCATAGAATAATTCCCTTTGCAGTGACGATGTTTAATCAATGATCAGGGTCTAGGAAGTGTATGAAAACTTTCAATATTTTGATGGAGAGGACATGTTTAATGTTACAAAGAGGTGGGTGCATTGCTGAATCATAGCATCCGGCCGTTCAGGATGCGCCTGTCGTCTAGCTTAAAAGCCTTGAATTAGTTTCGTCATGTTTTAAAAAATGCTTCGAGACCAAACTCCAAAGTAGGCAGGTCCATTTGGACAAGCGAGTCCCATGCATCCCAATCGATTGGGCTTGGCTCGCCGGGTTTTGACATAAACAATCCCTCCTCTCCGGGTACTACTGAAGGCCAGCTCGTGTTATATAGCATTGGAGGCTCATCAGAAGCGATGGTGTCCCTCATGTTCGGTGCAGAGACTGAAGCTGGCGTTGGATATTGTTGATAAGTATTTCTTCCCATTACACTTTGTGTCGTGGACATCTGAGGGCTGGTGTTGCTTGGTCCACTTTGGAAAGCGCCAATTCCAGCACGCTCTCGGGCTTGGATGATAAATTTTGGTACACTGAAGTAAAGGCCTTGTTGCAGAAGCATCTTCTCCCGAGCACTCCAGGCCCGTAGAGCTATTATTCGAATAGCTCGATATAATGCGAACTCGCCCGAAATGAGTTCAGGGTGATAGAAAAAAGCCTCCTCACATAGCTCCCATGCTTTTTCTGCCTCCTCACCTGTTGTTCTAACACGTAGTTCATTTAGTAAGAAAATAAAAGCGTGCCTAACTTGAAGATTAGTGCCATTGAATGAGCGCTTTCGATTCCCAGACCGTACCACTGGAAGTAAACCCGCACGTGCCAAATATAACCCTGTAATTCTTTCTGAGAATGACACATTATGTCATATTTCAATATTTTCATACTCAGGGCAAAACACAAGTCGCGGATTTCTTGTGGAGGCTCCCTTCCGCTCTCCAGATAGTGCCGAGGGTGATGCACGCGCAGACGCATGCCTGCCACGGCGGCTCGTGCAGCGATGCCTGTGATGTTATGGAGGCGGTTAATAGGATCACAAAACCTCAAATAGTTGTTCTGAAGTTTGTTTTCAAGTTCGTCAACGAATTTGTTTTTCTCTTCCATCGAGAAGGAATCTTCTGTTATTCGATTAAAACCTGCCTCGAAGATTGGTCCTAGTGAAGGTTTGAACGATGATCGTGACCTATGAATAAGGGCAAAGAAAGAGCGGAATTCGTAACGTAGCCGACAGAAGATCATGTCGGTTGCTCCCTCACGCTCCGGAGGAAACTCTTTCATATCTTCTTTCAAGTCCTCCTCGTTGAGGTTGAGAGGTGAACGTCCTTCGGGGTCTATGATAGCAGCGGAGTAATTTGGTGAACAGCCGGCAAGTTCCGAAGATGTGAAGTCCAATATCATTAGCTGATGCCAGAGCCTGCGTCTCATTTCTATTTCGAAAGGCGGCAAATTGGAATCAACATCCGCACGATGCATACCCATTCTCTGCGCAATTCGGAAAGCAACACCTGAAAGAATCCACAGTGTCTGAGAGTCCATACCGTTTCGCATGCAGATTAGGAATTGTACGAACGCTTGCAAAGTTACCAAGTCTGTTGATCGGGTGAATGAAGCTCTCACTAGGGCATGTCTTGTTCCAGCTCGCAATTGCTTGAGTAGTTTTTTGCGGGTTTGCCTGAGTTTGGTTTCACACTGTGCATTGCTGAGTGATGCCGCAGCAATGAAGAATGTCGAGAATATGAGAGCAACATTAGGCTTCGATAAGGAAAGAATTCCTTTCGTTCTTGCTGTATCTACAACCTTTTGGAATCCAGGACGATGCAAGATCATTGTTAGGTAGTGGACGTTATCGATATACACCTTGTTGCAGAGTCAGGATTTGTTCTATGACTGCCAGTGAAGATTCGTACCTGCCAAAGCACGTTTTGCTGTGCTACCGTTGGAAAGAGCTCGGCGAGTTCTTGATCAGATATGCCATTCGTGCTAAGAAGCATGCCAGCAGCGTGATCAACGTCACCGTCGTCATCGGAGCCGACGTATTGGGCATCTCCGGCTCCAATTCCAGTGTCGCGAAGGACGGCATCGGGATTTTGAAGTTCATTGTCGAGAGTAACCCAAAGGTTGCTGTCAAGATACCGAGTGCTGTTACCACTTGCGATCAGTCTTCCCCGTGGGGTATCATGCTTTGCTATGACTGCAGACTGTAAAGCGGGGGTTGAGGCCGCAGATTTTGGTGTAGACGCGTTGGCAGGACTGCCCACGGCAGACGAGAGCTGGTCAAATTGGCCCGGTGCTACTACTTGACGAAGCTGATCTTCAGCTCGCTGCAATCGCGCAAGGAGATCCGCATGGCTGCTCTTTGCTTCCTTTTTTCTTCGTTTAGGTGGAGGCGGAGCCTCGTAGACGCCTTTCAATGGAAATTAACGGAATTAACCTTCGGCAGAGGAATATGACCGGGTACATACAGGTATCGTTATGCCTTGCACAATATCCACAAGGCTCTAGCCTGTCACACTTCACCTTCCGCTTATGACACAACACGCAGCTGAACTTGTGCAGGCCAGAAGAACCGTCATCCTGCGTCGGCTGTGGCATTGCTTATGGGCCGAAGGATGAATATCGTCCCGCCGTCAATTCTTCGAGCAGTTCTGACCCCAAGACAGCACGTGACGTGTGTTGTCAACTTGTGAGCATTCTCAAATCTCTCGGAGAGAGAAAAGGTCGTGCCTTAGCATCCGATGGATTAAAATTTCACCGTCCTCCAAGATCTATATTGCAGCCTGGAAGCATCAACATAGTGTACAACCACACATAGTTAGCTACATCAGCCACTACTTACTACCGCCGGATTTAAGTTCGTATTGCAAGGCTAGAGCACCAGCCCTTGACTCACACGACAAGCTTCTCTCGGCGCAATCGAAAGGGCCACGAGCGAGGGGTGGACAATGATACGATTGACAAACACGCACTGCGGGAGCGAAGCAAGTCATTGGTTTCAAAACAGAGGTCGAACTTTCATGACGCACGCACTAAGCGCGTATTTTTTCACAGATGAACCAATCACAACAAGTGTAGATGCAAAGCACGATAATCAATGCCCCATTTAGGATTAGTGACTTTCCCCACCGTCTCGGTCCTCTCGGAGGCCCGAAGCGGCTCGTTTAGATGGCTTATATGCACCCCCGACGCACAAATTTTACGAATACCTTGGAGATGATACGTTGCCATCGCAGACGCCACTTGAGTGTCGAAGAAAAGCACCATTGATGATGGCACCTCGCAGGGGCCTGTTGCTTGAATGCCATTGACGAGCGGTTTTTTGGCGCCGAAAAGGTCGAAACCGTGGTGGCTCGTCAAAGAGACGGCTACTTCCAAGATCACATCGAACCTGCTGCCATTAACGTCAGCCCCTTTGGAGGCTTCATCTAAGAGAGCCTTGCTGTGGGGCGTGCGCGATGGAGACGCTGGGTACCTGCGGGGGGTACGTTTACCAGGCGATTCTGTGCCTTTCTCCTCTCTGGTCTAGAAACCGGTTGGTGATAGTGAAGACACGGAGCCGAAGGGCGAATTATACCCCGTCGCATTAAGCTACAGCCCGTTGTGACGGATAAGAAGTGGACTCGTACACAGAATACTTGTTCCTCCTCTTCCTATGTCTACATTCTCAACTCGTCCCTTCTACCACAGTGCACCTACTTTCTTGCTGCTAAAGCTTTTGCATCCATTTTCCACCTCCTTTTGCCAACCGCTCGTCGCAGATTCACAGCCAGGTCCGTCCATTTCGATTCATCCTTCAAGCACGCGTTCGCTTTAGCTTCACTCCTTTCACATCATTTCCTGGCGTTGGACTCTTGATTTTTAACTGTTTTCTTCGTCACCATGGAGCCCAGCGAAAAGAGTCATGAGGCTCTTGACGAGGCTTCCAACAAAGAAGTCCAACCGTCGGTTAGTTCACGCTCTTCGCGAGGCAAGACACCAGAGCACGATGGCGGTCAAATACAGCCAACCCAGACCAATGCGTCAGAAATCGTCTATCCAAGCACGGCCAAAACCGCTGTGATCATGTTGTGTTTGTACATCTCCATGTTTTTGGTTGCGCTGGACCGTACCATTCTCGCCACGGCCGTGCCTCGAATTACAGATAGTTTTCACAGCATCGACGACATAGGCTGGTATGCCAGTAGTTACATGTTGACAGCTTGTGGATTCATCCTGGTTTATGGCCGCGTGTACACGTTCTACAACACGAAATGGGTCTTCCTGTCCGGTATCATCCTCTTTGAAGTAGGAAGTGCAATTTCTGGAGCAGCACCGAACTCTACCGCACTTATTATCGGGCGTGCAATCGCAGGTTTTGGGTCTTCCGGCATTTTTACAGGCGCGATCACGATCATGATCAACACCGTTCCCCTGCACAAGCGTCCAATGTACCAAGGACTATTTGGAGCAACCTTCGCCATTGCCTCTGTAGTAGGTCCTCTACTCGGCGGTGCTTTCACTGACTCGAAAGCAACTTGGAGATGGTGTTTTTACATCAACTTGCCCCTGGGTGGTATCGTCGTGACCTTCCTAACATTCTTCCTTCACCTCAACGAGAAGGAGAAAAAGAAGGTCACGTTGAAGGAACAGTTCATGAAACTGGATCCCTTGGGAACTCTGTTCTTCCTCCCATCGATCGTTTGTCTGCTCTTGGCCCTTCAGTGGGGTGGAACAAAGTATGACTGGTCTTCATGGAGGGTCATACTACTCCTCGTCATATTCGCAGCCGGTTTCGTCGCCTTTGTCATCGTCCAAGCCATCACTCGCAACACCACGGCCACAATTCCATCACGCATCATTTTGCAACGCAGCGTCATTTTTTCTGCAATCTACACCTTCTTCAATGGTTCGGTTTTCATGACTGAGGTCTACTACATCCCAATCTGGTTCCAAGCAATCAAAGGCTCGTCAGCCGTGCACTCTGGTATACAGAGCATCCCTCTGGTTTTGTCACTGGTCACGCTCGCCATGCTCTGCGGTATCCTTGTACAACGATTTGGCTACTATACTCCATTCATGTGGTGCGGCTCTGTCATCATGACAGTTGGTACCGGCATGATACACACTTGGAAAGTAGACAGCGGTCACAACGAATGGATCGGTTACCAGGTATTGTTAGGTATTGGCATCGGCATGGGTATGCAACAGTCCAACCTCGCGGTTCAGACCGTGCTCCAGCATCGTGACGTACCCACCGGCTCCGCGCTGATATTCTTCTGCCAAACCCTCGGAGGCGCTGTCTTCGTGTCAGTTGGCCAGAACGTCTTTTTAAAGAAATTCGCAGGGCAACTGCGCCAATTACCCGCCGGCGTCCTCAACATGCAAACCCTTCTCAACACAGGCGCGACCGAAATCCGCAACGTCGTACCTCCACAATACAGAGATCAAGTCATTCGTTCATACAACTATGCACTGATGAATGGGCCGATGCTTGTTTGCATAATTCTGGCATGTATCACATTCGTGGGTGCCCTAGGTGTTGAAGTGAGAAGCACAAAGGAACAATTGAAGAAAAAACAGGCTGCTGCTCAGCAGCAACAAAATGAAAAGCAGGACATAGAAAAGGAAGCAGAGTCTTAAAAGGACGCTTCCGAGGACGATGTGGCCGCAAAAGAAGAGGTTATCGCATAGGATTTAGAATTTGTAATCGTTTAGGCACAAATTTCGCCGGCAGGGCCAGGTCTGTTAAAGTAGACATACTCATCTCAGCATATCTAATTAATGCATCACCAACTTGTTACTGTGTACGCCGCGCGCTTTTGAATAACATACCTTTAAATTTCCACTTTTTTTATGCTTTCACTTTGTGGAAGTCCGACGCCAGCAGCATTCATCAGCATGCATGCATAGGCATAATAACCAATGTAATGAGCCAGGCAAAGTGCCCCTCTTTTGCCGAATGCTTCCACAGCCTTGTCCCACATCTCATCACTCAGCCGCCCTCTCCGTCCGCTGCCCTCCAGTAGCTCGATAGCAACGTCGTAGGCAATGGAGCAACTCTCGGACAGCTCATCCTCTCCAGATGGCTTTTTGCCAATCTTTATAAAATCGATTTGACGCCACGTCAACCCAGCCAATTTGGCCAAGCGCTCGTGTGCGTAGATCTCGTATCCACTATTGTAATACGCTCCCACGACCATGATTGCCGTTTCACGTGCATCTTTCGGCAACTCTGGCGTTTTTCCAAGCTGGACAGCGGAATTGATAAACGCACGGAAGGCGTCAGGAAGCTCGTAAGCGGTCTCAAATGGTCTTTATTATCACAAGGTCAGCGAAATAGTATCGCGATAAGGGGGGAGGTAGGAACTCAAAGCACATACCCAGCAAAAGAACCATCAGCTTGTTTAAGAACAAAACTAATTCGATGCTCTCAATGATCTGAACTAGACCAGATTCGCACGTTGTGCTGTCTTACTGGTCCCCGAAAAGTTTATCCTTGATTTCGGAAAGCTCATTCCAAAGTGCTTTGTCCTCAGCTGAGAGATCTTCCGGCTTTACAGGTGCAAAACGTTCCATTATCCCGCTCAAGAATTGTATTCTGATTTTTTTTTGTTTCTTTTTGCTTGCAAGTGCAAAGCGGTAAAGACAAGAATGAGGGAGTGATTTTCAGTATGTTTCTCACGACAGCGATCGGCCTCTTGCGGGGTTCAAGGCCGGAAATGCATTTCCATCGGCTCCAAAAGTCTAGATTTCTCGACAATTTGGGCAGCATGGAGCACAGTCTGCGAGGAATACAAAGGTATAATCATCATCACTTGACTTTGTGCGGGATGACGCGGTTACCCGGATCTGACTCTTGCGGACGTGGCGCATAAGCAAGCCAATGCCTTGACGCGGACCCGAACTTATTGCACGTGAAATCGAGAAATTTTTCTCTGGTGATTCAGCCACTAGTCAGCATCAATCCTTGCCAGTCAGGGCTGGGAACCAGTCCTACACAGGTATACGAACAGCCAGATGTGCTGCTCGATTTCGGATGTTTCAGTGGCACCACTTTTCGACGGAGGCCAAATACGAGCTAACCGCCAAAAAGGTTGTAGAGACTGCGCTGAAGGGTCTTGGCATCCGAAGGTCGCTTCCTGCAGGACCCCACGTGTGGACATCGGATCCTTCAAGCCTTGAATTTCATCTGACAACGCGGTTGTCTTGGTCTGAGGATCTTGGACAGCTTTGGGTGCGGTGCATCGAGCTTCAGTGGGCATGACGATCCGTCCCGCACGCTAGGTCAATCCGAGCACTTGTTAGGGCGGATGAGAGACCATGTTGTGCTTGATTATTGGCCGGGGCATCAACAGCTCAGGATTTAGGATAGCTACGAATCGTACCCGGTGCCCAAAATGCATATGTCCTGGGTTGTCCTGGGTTGCGGAGTCCTGATACAAGTATTCCATCCCACGATCACTTAGCCAAAAGTAGAAAAGCGAATAGATTGTGCAGCAATTGCAAGTGGTGTCGATCTCCGGCAACGCAGACGCAATGATGCCCACTCCCAAAGCAGCGGTGTGTCCATTGCGGGTGACTGGAACAATGAGGCATTATTCGTAGAACAATGAAAAGTCGGGACAAGAAAATGAAAGCGGACGTCGAATGGTTGTGCACATGCGTTGTGCATGCACATGACGTCAATCTTTGTATAGTCTATCCCCCAACCTCGCGGCTCTAAACTTCTAGTTCCCGAAACCATAATATTATTGCCTTCGCGCTTATTGGAGGCTGTCACCGAAACAAAACTACTTTTCTTCGCTCAACCTCTCTCATTCTTCTTTTCTTCACCCGAAATCTCAAATTCCAAGTCTTTCATTCAAACTTGGCTTTCGGCCTTGTGCTCACGCAAAGATCACGCATCGGCTAGCTGCAGGCCAACTGCAGGAACCACATGCAAAATGAACTACGCAAATATGATCGAGGAGAAAAACCTCAAGGTAAGCATGCCTGCTCCAAGTTCAGATAGCAGTGTCGTACCGTCAAGGCCAAAGCTAAGAAATGTCTTGCCCTGATGCTGCTGAGGGAAATCTGAATCTTCACGCCTCCGTCTAACGCATATTCTGTCTATTCGGGCTAACAAAGCCGACTCAAGAAAACCTTTATCATAGCGACGCTAGTTTCGACGATCATAGGAACTTTCACAACTGGCATGGGGCTGTATGAGAGACTCGAACAAAAACGCAAGCAAAAGAAGGTCGACACGGGACAAGATGACAAGATCAGTCAGCTGCAAAAGCAGATGAAAGAAATCGAGGAGCGCTCGGAAAAGAATGCTCGGCGTGTCAGGGAAGACGACTTGCGCGAGTCGCTACAAGAGTCCGGCCCATTGATTCGCCGAGAGTATAATCGTGACTTCGCCCGATTCGGCGACAGATTTGCCATGGGCGATCGTACGTACATGTAGTTAACTTCAGTCACGATTCTTGTGCTAATCTGCACACAGCTATCACCCAAAACCAGCTACAGGGCCAGATCATTACTCTTCAAGGCACTGTCATTCAGTTGCTTGACGAAGCTCTGCGAACAGGACGAATCGAGAACATCAATAAGCTGTACAATGCGACTGAGCTAGCACGTGACGGTTCCATTGCTGCTCTTCAAGGTCAATACCAGCGCATGCTTCAAGCCGCTCCTATCCAGCGCCCACCAACTGTTCGACGGATCTCAAGTCAACCTAGTGTCGTTTCTGCAAGTCGTAAATCCCTACCTGCACCTAGCAAGGCGAAGACATTTGCCGACACCGTGGATGACCCTCTCTTCTGCCGGTATAGCTATGACTTGCAACGTGACAATCGCTTGGCTTTAGATAAGGAGTTTCTATCTGGTGGAGGGTGCTCCTGTTTTGTTTGTGGCGTGCTGCTCGACGTCGAACCCGGGCGTGCCTGGAAGATCACGAAGGAGCATGTCCGCGATCGAATAGTAACACCGGATTACGACGAAGAAATTATAGAGGACCGCATTTACCTCGTCAATAATCGATTTGTCATCAAGTGCCATCGCGCAAACGGCGGTTTTGCTTGCGTTCTCTGCGCTCGATACAGAGAAAAGGACACGCTTCTTGAGTCTGCACAAGGCCTCATCAGGCACATCTGGAATAAGCACGATGCCTCAGAGTACCAAGACCCTGATATACAGGAGATTGGGTGAGTGGATTTCAGACTTCTGAATTACCACCTTAACGCAGTAATTACCGATTAATGCAATATTTTTAAGCCGCTCAACATCTGATAATCTTATCAAGGCAAAGCATCGACAAAACCAAGGAGAAACGGGAAAGACACGATTCTAAAGCCTCCATTTACACGTGAAATAATTTATGGCGTATTATTTACATGAAGAATATTTGATAGGATTGCACAAAAGAACAATGCGTTCTTACACTGGACGATGATGGCTAAACCTAAGCTTTCTCAGCGGCGAGAGAAACCGAGGAAAACTGTGCATTGGGGACGGACAACAAAACATGATTAACGAATTGCTATGCTTTATAATGATTCCAGAGTAAAAACGGTGAACTGTAGGTGGGAGTTTTATACCCCTCTTAGCGATATCGTACCTGTATACTCCCTAGACAGGAATTGAAATTCTCTCTCAGCAGCCTGTTATCTAGTACTATGTTTGCGTCTCTGTATATGGATCCGAGAAACACTTCATCGAAGCTTCGCCGTTCATGGCTCCTACATTAGGTTGCAAGACTCAGCATGGGTTTGCGTACCTCAGTTTCGAGTGCCACGTCAGATCCATCCTCGATAGACTTTGGCAATTGCAATCTAAGCGTGGGAAGATTTGCCGTGTTGAACTCATGATTTTAATAAGCCGACATGCCCATCTGTCTGTCGCTCTCCAATCCCAACTCTTGTGCGATATGTTCCAACGCGTCTTAAATACTGCTGCACTTGGCTATCCTTGCGAATTGTGGCAATATCAAAAAAGTCAACCGTGTTTGTGCTGACCAGTTGCCCAACAGCTTGCCATGTGTTGCCCAGCATCGAGCATTCTGTCTGTGCCAGGAACACATAAAGTACAGCTGTGATCAAGACTGTATGTATGATTACCACAGCAGCAACGGCGATGAAACCTGTGTAATCTTGAGGCGTGTTCGTCGTAGCGAAGAAAGTCTGTCGAGCCTGGTCAATCTTATCGAATTGACCAAGCTGATCGTAATATGCTAGACTCGAGAGCAAGGTCAGGAGGGACTGAAGAGCAAAGGCGACCGAGCCGCCGGTTTTCACAATGTCCTGGAAAAGCCACATATACATCGGATCGGGACATATCCTTTGTGAGGTTAGCGTCAAGCATTCCGCGCTTTGCCATAGTATCGTCGTTATATTTGGAGCATTGCCAATGCCAATGGCGGCGACTTTTTCGGTGTACATGTTGACAAATCTTCTAATATATGGTTCCATGGGCGACAACTCGTCGTCCTCGGCAAGCCATGTGTTTCTCTGCGGTTTGAGGTCTAGGATACCGCACGTGGAGCTAGTGTTCACGCTCTTGTCCAAATTGCCGACGCACGCTCTCGAACTTGAATGTCCCGCTCTGCCGATCATAAGTAGGGAACGGTTCAGAACGATTAGACTTGCTGTTTATTTGAACCGGCAAGTCCGCGGCGTCAAATCCTGAATAGCACAGCGAAACGCTGAGCACAAGATCAGCGTTGGAGTACACGAGGTCGCGCCACGGCCCGTGTTGACTGATTGCTGGAGCTGTTGCGCCATTCCCTGTAACGGCCTCCCATTTTGCAGCACCGCCTAAAGTCACGTTGAGGAGAAGGTATCCAGTCCCAAGTTGCTCAGATCCGATCCCCAGGATCGTTCTCGACTGTCTCGTCTTAGGAAGCCTTGCGGGATCACGAAACTCACTGACAAGCCCGCCAGAAGCCACGCTAGACGTTTCTCCAAGCTGACAAAGCGAGACACGCCACTGACCAGCCGCCTTGGTAATAGTATCACCTTCGCCGTCTGAACCTGCTGTACAAGAGAAAGGTACGGGCACATTGTATTCGTAGGGAATTTGTCCGTTGGAATCTTGTACGTTAGATATGACAGCTGTGAAATTGCCAAGTCGCGGTGTTTTCGTGGTAGCCCTTACTGTGCCGTTAAGCGTCAATAAAGTCGAGCTGGCTTGCACCATGGCATTGAGAAGATCGGGGACTTGGCAAGTCACACGGGTATCTACAACAGTAGTTCTGCCAATATATTCATGCAGCGTTTCCCTATCAGAGGCCGCTGTCAAGGGCAAAAAAGCGCGAAGACTTATTCCAGTGTCTTCCACGCCATCCTCGATGTACCGAGGCTGGGAATACTCGGCAACTGTAGGATACATCTGTGGTTTTCGCAGCCACGTTGTGCTCCGGTCAATGATATCAATCTCCGGCTGTTTGCTATTGTTGGTATAGGTCCATTTGAGGCTGTAAGGCGTTGTTACCACACTGCTTCTTGCCGGTAAAGTTTTCAAGTCGAGGTCGCTAATGAGAACAATCGTTATTGTTTGGAGGAAGCCGAGGATGCCTACGAAAGCCATGATGAACAAGGGCAGGATTGATCCCCATTCTCGCATCATTCTCCAAAGCCAACTCGGATAGAGGACGAAGTCTAAAATTGATCCACTTCCCAAAATATTGGTTTTGATCAAGGCGATGGGGGCGGCGTTCACCAATTCAACTTCAAATCTTTCCAAGGCTAGCGCAGCTAGCATGGCGCTGCATGTACCAATCTGGAGACTTATGGAGATTTTAAGTATGATCGTCACGGATTTAGGTATCCAATTTCTTGCTGCTATCATGTGCCACGCTGTGTTTTCGTGGCCAGCAAACCACAGGAAAGCCAACAAAGCCATACAAGATATTGTTGCCAGATGGCCAGCAATGAGTACCCAAATCGCAGTCTTTTCGAGTTTTTGATTCCATCGCAGTCTCTGTGAAGACGACAAAGTGTTTCGCCGTGATGAATTGTTGGCGATAGGGTTGCTTTTTCCCGTCGCAATCTGAACTGTAGACTTGGAGGCAGATGGGTCACTATTGCATCTTCCATTTGCATTCGCAAGTGACGCCGTATTTCCTGAAAGGATACTAGTCAGAAGTTCATGTGACATTTCTCGGTCTGAAGGAAGGTGCTGCTTGGGTTCTGAAGATGCTCTGCGAGACCGTGTATGGAACTTCGAGAACCGGCAAGGTCGGCTAAATAGGCGAGTTGAGAACTGATTCGTTGGAAAATATTTGAGAAGACAATCTTCTTTCTCGTAGCAAAATGAAGACCCGCATGATTTTCGGCTGACAACAACGTTCTTGGGAGATGATTGTTTGTCCAAATCTGCTTTCAACGTTAAGCAACATTGATCAGAGCTATCAAAGCCAATAGAATCCATGAGCCATACAGGCCAAGAAATATAGCATGTCCCAAGATTTCCTAAGCTACTGGGGTAACTGAAAATAGTTTGTGGTTCCCCATGTGGAAAGGGCAGAGGCTAAGGTAGCAACTTTATGTTCGTACCTGCGGCCACTAAGATAGCGCGAGTATAAGCCCCGCAGAAATTCGAAAAGGTATGTAGAAAGGGCCTAATACTTGGCTGTTTCAAATGATGCTTGGTTAGCATGGAAGGCAAATGCAACACATGGTCAACTTGAGATACTTCTTCAGTAAGAACGTTCTGAATTACGCTCAACGTCGCTGTGTTTACGCTGCTGGTTCAGCACAGTCAGTTTTTCCGCTTGAAGTGAATCGATTTTCGACAATGGTCCGATTTAATGTTTTGGGCTTGATATTGACTCTAGCAATGTAAGGATTGGCTCTCCAGCACGTATTAAAAATGGTTGACCAGTTACAAAGACGTTGCTGTGCAGTATCCAACTGTAACTACCCAACGATTAAATGTCCAGCTCCGAACTATAGCTTTTGTTCATCCGAGAGTCTCCAAGGAAACATAATCATTCGATGCTTGGAGGATGGCTGTGCGTATCCAGGTAATTGTAACGACAATCTAGCTGGCGCCCCATTTGGTGGCTCGGTCAGCCCTTTCTGCTGGCAAGATGCTCCGATGGCGGGAAATGCTCAATGCACGGCGGACTGGGTGAGCGTCACTGCGTTGAACGGATCCGTCATATATCCAGTTGTATGTGCGATTTCAGTTGTCTCCTGTCCATGTAGATCCAGCAGCATTGAGATGAGTCAAAACAGGGATGTAGCTTCCAGATTGCGAACACCACCGCCGAACCGTCAAGTACAAGCCTCAGCATCTTCGCAACTCCAACAAGTTCAACGACTTCGACAAGCTCTACTGACGTCTCCCAGTCAGAGACTGCTGGATCGGGGAGGGTTACGGCAGTCCCAGGGCCCATCGCAGTAGCATTGGTTGCGATTGGGTTACTTTTGTTCTCGTTTTGATCAAGATTTATCGATTACAAGTCATGAGTTGTAGCGAGCACTGAAAGATCATTAGTAATTTGAATGAACCAGTGGTTCCGAAAGTTGCTCGTGCTTAATCCACGATTAGTCACCAAACCTGCCCTTATTGAACCAAGGACAATTTCGCCTATCATATGTGCAACTGCTTGCTACTTGAACGGAGTATGTAGTGACGTTGTAAAACAAATTTCAGTTTATGTGTGAACTTCCAAGCACACTTCGACGTATGAGATATCACCAGGGTGACCTTCGTACAGTTAGAGAATCCCCAACAATTCTTCTTTGATATTCGACTTTTGATAAGAGTTTAGGCATCTTTCAATGTAATTGAATATATTTGCCATATTTGACAATGGTTTCGACTTCTGTAGCTAGGATGGCAACCCAGTAAGCCTGGTTTTCTAGCAATGTTAATGCCGACCCCAGAATACAAATGGACCACCAGAGACCAGGACGAGCGCCTGAGCACAAAGACCATAAATTCTGTTCAACCTAATTTATCAGTCCATCTCGAAATTCAACTTGCAATATGCCACCTGAGTGGTCAGACACTGAAGGTTGAAATTATCGAGAAGTAAAACAGGACGAGTGGACTTCTTGTGGACTTGAGACTTAACCTGCTCATAATGGACTGATCTAGTCTTCGACCTTAATACGATAAGATGAAGTCGGCATGTCTTACAGCGCTCGTGCATCTGGCATGCTTCTACTGAAAGCTTCGAAGGCAAGAATTCGCACGTTTGATGTCTTGATTGCTCATTCTGCATCGCGTTTGAGAGCTAGACGCTATAAACGACTTTCAGCGGGTTAATCCAGGAGGTTAAGCAGGTGGAGATGGTCCAGAAGACACGCCAATGGTAGAACAATGTTCTCAGAAGTAATATTAGTTATAACCAGGCTCGGTCACGCCCTTGTCGCCGAGCCTAGCCATGAAGCCTTCCCTCAGACCTAGCTGTTTTTCAATTATCTGCAAGTGCATGCCGGAGCGCCGCATCTTCAACGCGTCCATGACCATGTGGACATCCGCCATCTCTTTCCCGGCAAAATTACGTTTACCGATGTTGTTGAATTCATAGTCTGCCTGCTCCTGCAATCTTTTGCGAGCTTTCAATATTAGTAGAGCTGGATTGCTGTGCATTGATTCTGCATCTGGAAACAAGCCCGGAGGGAGTTCATTTTCAATTGAGTTCAGCTTCGAGGTAAGACCTCTGGAAGCCTGTCTCGCAGACCTTGATTGTGTTGATGTATGAGATTGATAGGGATTTGATTGCACTGGTCCAATCTTTCGAAGTTTTGAGGCAAGGACTGGATCTGACGCATCGGTATCAACAACTATACGCACAAAATTAGCGTTAGTACTGTTATGCATTCAAATATTTGAACTTACTTTTATCCCGAGTTTCTCGTACTTCCTGGTATGGATGTCTGTTCGGCCCTGAGTTTTGCTGTTGAGGTGATCTTTGCGTTGCTGGAGAAGGCCGTGATGGATATCTACGTGCTACCGAGCCGCCAGCAGCCTGGGATGCTTTAGAGCTGGCAGATCCCATTTTTAAAGATGTACGGTTGGAATCGTGGCGAAAAACGACATATCAGCCCCTCTGTTGACGATGGGACGATGCAGAGGTCAACCGAAATAGGAAAAGCCTGCTTGGATCAGTTAATGCCTGGTGAGGCGACGTCGGTGACGTTCGTCCGCGTTTGAGAGTCTGGGCGAAAGCATCTCAGCTAGGTTAGTCACATCTACGCGTAGAACTGACTGCGACCTGTAATCCTAGCCCAACCTCATGAATCCGACGTGTGAATCAAGGCCGCACAGAAGTGCTCTGTTTCACAGAAGAGCTGTAAATCTCTAAGCGTTCGTCAAATGTCTGCACCTTTAAGCCAGGCTCGAGTAATTAAATGTGCGCGCCTCATGCCGGTTTTCAAGGCCTCTCCAGATCGTAGCCTTTTCCATGGAGAATGAAATCAATGACAAATTTGAGTACAGCCCACTCAAGGACGATTCTTCATATGGGGATTCCAATACTCCGGGAGCATGGGGTATAAGGCTCATCCAACTTCAGCCCCCGAGCGGCCAATTTATATCGTGTTCCTTGATTCACACTTCTCTGGGAGCAACAGATGGCCATTATGAAGCCTTGTCGTACGTATGGGGCAAGCCGGAGTGCACAGAGCGAATCTTGGTTAATGGAAAAATGCTGTCAATCACGTCGAATCTTGCATCTGCTTTGCGAAGGTTGCGGTATCCCAGATCCCCTCGAAGGCTATGGATCGACGCCATCTGCATCAATCAAGAAAACGTTGAAGAGAAGAATCTTCAAGTAGGTCGCATGTGGGCTATCTATGCTCTGGCAAGCCAAGTAATCATTGATCTTGGCGAGGAAACGTGGAACAGCAGTTTGGGGATGAATATGATCCAACGCCTTGCAAATGCTGGCAATAGCCCACAAGAAATTTTGGATTTTTTCAACAAAAGCTCCGATCACAAGTTTTCTGTCGCATGCAAAGGCATGCGTGACATATTTGACAGGCCGTGGTGGTCCAGAGTATGGATTGTGCAAGAAGTCGCTGTCGCGAGCAGAGCGGTAGTCATTTGTGGAGACAGATCGCTTATGTGGTCTGACTTCGAAAAGGTCGTGGAAATTTTGACCGATCTCTCGTTCCGGCCGGAGAAGTATGTGAAGGCCTATATGGCGGATATTCGATTTCTCTACTTGCCCTCCGTTCATTTAGCACCTGCATGGTCAGTCTCCACAGCCCGGAAACGTTTTCGCGTGAGCGAAGAGCATAGTCTAGCCGCGACGATGATATCATTCAAATCGACTCATGCCACGGATCCAAGAGATCATCTGTACGGGCTATTGAGGTTGTTTTCTTCGTTCCAACCCATAGTTCCAGATTACACTCGAACACCCTCCTCCGTATTCATGGACGTGGTGAGACTATCCATAAAAAGTGACGTGGGCCTTGCAATCTTTTCTGCATTAGATTATGGGAACAATAGGTTGGACCTGCCTTCTTGGTGTCCCGACTGGACCGCTCCCAGCCCAGCAAATTTTCCTTTTTACATGCCGATATTCCGCTGTACGAAAACGAAGGAGGTGAACAGCATATTTGACGGACGAATGCTTACTATCCGCGGAATCAGGCTCGAGAACATCACCAAAACCGGTAGCCCAAGCTCGATCCGGATGATGCTGCCACTCGAAGAGATCTACGAGGCTGCGAACAGCCTTCGTCCCCATGGCATGAATCCGCTTGACTTCACACGCCGGGTTGCGGAATTTATCGAAAGATTGACGACGATTTTCGCGCGGGAGCGCTATTATACGGATGCGAGCGCGACCGGCGATCTCAAGGATCGTATGATAGCACAGATATACGGGACGTGGCGCATGCGACGCACACTTGAAATTGCGTCGAACCCGGGAAGTTACACCTTGGGAGTGCAGCATCTTTCTGACAAGAGCGCATTGGGTGTGCTGAATCTCAGCAAAGACACCCAAATTTTGAATATAGCTCATGGTAGACGGATCTTCATCACCGAGAATGGTGAGTTGGGCCTTGCACCGAGTGCTTCACAAGGTGGAGATATTGTTGTTGCCCTGTATGGGGGAAGAACACCATTCTGTCTGCGTCCAATATCTGCGACAGGAGACACCAGCTATGAAATTATTGGAGATTGGTGAGCATGTTCGGCATGACCAAATCTTGATGGATACTAACTTTACTAAAGTTATATTGAGAAATGGATGTATGGCGAGGCCATTGACCTCCTTAACCAACAGAAGCTTCAGGAAGAAGATTTTTTGCTCATTTAATACGATGGGAACTAAGCAGTAGACGAGTCGCGAGGTGAAGGAACATGAAATGTCAAGTGTGATCGAGAAGTAATTTCTGCATATATTCATCCTATCAAGGTCATAATCACAGTAAAGTTCGTCACAACACCGACCATCTAATCATCTAAATATCGCTATTCTAACTTATGAAATGGGTTTGATATGAACCAACCCTCTCAAGGTCCAAAAAGCTTCAGATAGTACAGGTATTAGATGTTTTAAAATGTCTATACCTTTTGCTGTGGAGCCCGCTAGCGCGAAGATGATGCGAGAGACTAGAGCCTCGGTAACTACATGTGTACTTCTAATGACCCAAAAGCTCTGGCCTGATCACCGGTTAAGATCGCCCTTCGAATATGGACTAGGACAAGTGCTCGCACGAGATTTGTCAAGGATCAGCGGAATGTTACTGCATCAGCATCAACAATGCCGAAACGCAGCAAATTCCCGTGGACCGAGGACGGTATTCGCTTAGCCTAAATTTGAAAACTACTTGCACAAAAAGCGAGCTGGTTTAGATTTGGGCTTTGTAATGAAACTATGCAGCAAAGCGTAGAGCTCGATAAGAACTTGAACCTCGCTGCTTCTGGATATTTTCGCAATTACCAAATCTCTCAAAGTTCTCCTCAACTTTTTGTGCCTCTCAAATTCTTAGGTCTGGGTGGCTGTTTATGAAGGGTGGCAATTACTGCTGCAATATCGGCCTCGTACGCGCTGAATTCCTTCGGCCGCTGCACGCCCATTAACTGCGATGTCGATGAGGATTGCGCTGTATCGCCGCGAACTTCCGTAGAATGCATTTTCATGTAATCTTGGTAGACCTCATCGTAACTGGGGGCCTCTTTGCTTGACGAATATCGCTTATACAACTGATACGCCTCGGCGCAGGGGACGGGCACATTGCGTGTACTTGTGCGGGAGCGTTTGGTGACGGGTTCTCCTTCAGGGGTGCCTCGGCTGGAAAGTCGAGCGCGGGCCAAGGACTCACAGTACGCCTTTTGCTCGGGGTTTGCCTGGCATTGGGCGCAGGTGCCAGGTTTGGAAGATTTGGGTACTGACGTATTTGCGATGGCAACAGTTGCAGGTGGATCTGGATGAGGCAACGCAACTTCGATGTTGGCTTCTGCCTCGGCGCATATGCATTTCCCTCCATCCTCGCAAAACCCACATTTGTCGGATTTAGGGATGGTAGATAGCTGAGAAGTTTTGAATGCGTATGTGAAGTCGATTTCCATGTCCTCTGGGCTGGAATGGTCGCTGATCAGCTCAGGAATAGAGTTCATTCGAGAAGGTTCTGAGGTGACGGTTGGTGATAGCATGGACTCGACGGACATGGGATTTCGCTGTGAAGAGGTATTTTCCTTCGACGCAGCTTCGTCATTCTGCAAATAAGAGTCAACGCAAGGACAAGATCCATCCTTTCCGCAGTCATCGCAGCCTCCAGTTGGATTGGTGACACTTGGTGGAATGGATGCGTCTGGCCTCCCGGAGTGTCGCACAGGTTTGTTAACTTTCGACCGGAGGATGGCAGCTTCCGCACGAAGACTGTGGAGTTCATTCAAGTATTGATTGGTCTTAGCTTCGGCTTCACGCATCCGTCTCTCGCATGCAGCCAGAGTACTTAGATTAATCTCGAGCTGAGAGCGTAGATCGTGTTCGCGGCGCCTCGACTCGGTCAGCTCCGCATCCAGCCTCGCCTGAGTAGCTTGAAAGTGCGCTATGTTGTTTTTGTGAAGTTGTATCTCCTTTTCCAGACGCTCATTCTCAGTCTTCAACTCCTTGTTCTCGAGCTCCAGTTGTTGCTGGCTCAGAAGTTTTCGCTCCCGGAAGGCCCGCTGGGCAGCTCGATTTTGAGCCTTGCGCTTATTCTCTGGCTCATCGCTTGCAGGCTTACGGCCTGGTTTTGGTCGTGGCAGGATGGTTGTTATGCCGCTGGTAGGCCCGTTGCATTGCGGCACCGGGGCCTGTGGCGATTGAGGAGCAGGACTGATTGTTGTAGCGGCCGCCAGATTGGATGGTCTGATTTGGATTGTTGCTTTGAGCGGACTAGATTGTCGTCAGTTTTGGTCACGAGATGCGCGCGACTTGATGAAAATCTAGGTGCTAGACTCGGGTGAAGTAGGCACCTGAGGCGGCTCGACGACCACTAGAATAGCCTTTCGACGCTGGCGGGCAATAAATCACGCGCAAGTGGCACGGCGGAGGAAAAAATGGGAAGACAGTGCTGCACTTACATTAACCCTTTGGCAGGTAACGATGATCTCTTCTCATTGTCGTCACGCTGAGGTGCACCACGGAGAGCTGTAGAAGCGGCCATGAGGGGTCAATGGAAGCAGTCGATACAGAGCGGAGGAGCGAAAGGATCTGATAAGATGAACGCGATAAAAGTCTTCGCTCATTCTCCGAGCGTCGCTCTTGGCCCGAACTTGCCCAGCCAATCATGTTGCAGCTTTGCTGTGGCGTGACCCGGACCAAGCGGCACTGCGCGGCCGATATCCTCGCCGAAATTACCTCGACCCAGATCAGCCGGCGATGTCGGACGACTCTTGCTACATTTCCTGAGTGTTGTGACGTTTAGCCACACGTTGAACGAAAGCAGCCAATTGTGTCTGAACGGGGCAATGGGTCTATGAGCACGCATGAATTGTTGCAATCCAGACCATCATGTATGCCATGAACGGCGAGACTCAGATGTATCAATGTTCGGTCGCTTTTCCGCGTCTCAATCAGCGACTGGTTCAAATTTGCTTCTGTCGCTGGAGTCGAAGATATCGTTGATTTGGGACACTTTCCCAATTCAAACTTGGCGACCCATATATTCACTGTCATCACCAGGCACATATGCTCAGATAAGAATTGTGTACCCCAAGGATATATATATATATTGCATGTAAGGCGGTCCATAATTATTCATCTTGTCCAGCAGTGCAACGAGCGTGCACCTTGGTGGACCTAGGTTCGACTAGATGCATTCGCAGTTTAGGGAGCCTTTAACAGACTGATCACACAGCTGAGAGGTTTTCGAAGTCGAGACGACTGAGATACTCTTGAGATCTGGACGGCTGCGACGAGATGTCCCCCAGAGATGCTGAGCAAGGGGTGTGTTTAAATCACATTCACCGAGAGCATCAACACGCTAGATGTACTTCGCTGCTTTGGCCCATAAAGGCACTAGACTATGCACGCTATAAAGATCAAGAGCCATTTCCATCTGCAACCCAACGCGACATTTGCTGAATTAGAAGGTTGGAGTAGGCCTAAAATTGCCAATAAAAGCATCTCAGAACCGTTCCCGGAAAATACTCACGTTTTAGTTCAGACTCATTTGTGCAAACTAAGTCTTCGACGATTGTTCCTGAAGGAACATCGTTGGAACAGATGTGGACCGCATCGCTTTCATATCCTTCTCAATGAGTGACAGAGGCAATTGAAAGCGTCCTCAAAACGCAGTGAAGCGGAGTCATGTCGCATCTTTCATATAAGCACTTCTTCGGCACAACCACAGCCATGGACAAAGGCCGAATTGCAATTTGACATCCGTGCTAATTTGTAATATTACCTTCTTTCAACTTTGACCGACGCGTCTAACCAATATAAAATAGTCGCACAAACGTCGTTCGCTGATATTAATACGGTATGTACATAAACTCTTGTGTGTGGGAAGAAAGCCTTCTAAGCTCAGAAGAACATACATACAAATGTTAAAGCTCCCCGTGATCATGGCTCTTTGCGATGTCCGCGGCTTCCTGAAGATTAGTTGGTGGAAACAGCACTCCTTTGCGGAGCTGTTCAAACATAATGTCAAATCGTGCACCTGCGAACCAAGCAATCAAAATCTTCGAACAAGTGTTAGCGCATTTCAATATATCATGGAAGTACTTGAGGTGACTTACCATAAAGCCAGTGATAATGGTAAGGACTGCAAGTACTGCAAGGGACATATAGATAGTGTCCCAATTGGATTCCTGCTGACGTAGCCTCTCCCTCTCTTCAGCTTCTGCAGTTTTGTATGGCTTGCCTGCTGGTGCAGCTCCTGGTTTCTGCGAGGGGAAGATGGTCTCGATAAATTGCTCGATCTAGAGTATACGTCAGCTGCAAGTCTTCCGTAGCACGCCATTGTCAAGACCCACCTTTCCGCAAGCAATGCTGATGCTCAAGAAGTTTGGATCCCGGGGATCATTCTTCTTTGCAATGCTTCTTGCATACCTCCTGAATACATCACACAGAGTTTGCAGATTCTGTGTGCTATCCAACATGAGTCTGCACGCCTGGCCTTTTGTGATCTTTACATTGGTCTGGAATATGGCCGGGTTATTGAAACATGCATCAAGTGTCGCAATGGCCATGCTCTGTGGAATAGCGCAGAAGTTGAAAACACTCTGCTCTCTAAGCCCGGCGAGGTAGTACAAGCAGTCAGGAGCACGCGTGAGGGCGGTGAGGACCATCTCTGAGGATGCGTGCATAGCTTTGGTCTTGTTCTCTGGCTGCAAAAGGTCCTCAAACTTGTCTACGTACTTGGACCAGATCTCTTTGGGCCAGAAACGGCGATTGTCCTCCCAGTCCTCACGAATGTCACGCAGGATATTGACTTGCTGCAAGAATTGACCCATGGATTCATGAAGGTCTGGCCTCTCGAGCAAGACCTCATTAGCGAGCTTAGCCTCGACAAACAACCTGGTCAAACCTTCGCCCACAAGACCAGCGACATAGTGACAATACCGCTCATAGTCTTGAATGGTGTTGACACCGTTGGTATTGTGTTCTGCATTATTGCAGTACTCTGCCATGCCGTCGCCCATGCGCTTGGTGATATCTTTGATGATGGCCTGGTAGGAAGGCTTGATTTTCTTGAACTCGGTGATGACACATGAGAACTCAACAAGCAAGTCACGGTCCTTTTCTTTGACGTGGTTGCCGCTGTAACTCCACCCGTCTTTGTCCAAAACTTTGTCGAAATCGTGGAGTAGTGGCTCTTTCTCTGCCAGTGGGATCGTCATGTCATCCTCAATGGTATCCAGGCCGCGCAAGATCAGGTAGAAGAGGCAGACGGGGACGAGGAGCTCTGGATGCAGCTCCTTGATAACGGCGGCGAAACTGCGTGAGGTTTTGTCGAGAAAGTAGAAGCATCTTTTCAGTGTCTCACACTCCTTGGACTCATCGCGCTCATGGACAGGATCGTGCCACACTTTCCTGTGTATTGTGTGTCAACATGATGTACTGCTATTCAAGCCAATGTGGCAGTTAGGTAGTACCATTGGATTATGGAGCGAAGTTCGCTAGGGTGTACCAGATAGTACAACGCTTCAGCAGCTTTGCCCATCGCCTTGTTGTTTTCGAATCCAAGGAGCTCGCCCGGTGGAAGGATGCTACAGCACTTCAATTAAGCCAGATGTGCTCAGCGATATTTAGAGATATGTAAGTTGTCCAGCTCAGTCGGACACGGGATGAGGTTTTGGTTGTTTTCTCCGCATCCCAAATTTTAGCGTCGTTCTTGGGAGAGGTTGGGTCTGGTCTCCCCCTCGCGGGCCCCTGCGCCCATCATTTTAATCCTCTGGGTCCCTGCATAGTTTGTCCAAACCACGCAAATCACCACGGGCACACCGTGGCAACGACCTGTGCCATGCCAAACATCTCGATGGGTAACAGCCCGATGCCGAAGCTCGGATCGACGATGTCGTCCACATCTCTACCACTTGTGTCGAAGCGGTAATCGGCCGTGGCCATCTTTGGACATTTCACAACCATATCCCGCTGCTGCATATGCATCGTCTGACGGCTGAAAATTGGGAACACACTTCGAGGCATCACGGCATTGGTTTGACGGAGAGCTCAGACGGTTCTCTAGACTCAATGCAGAGTTACGATACTACATGTTTCGACTGAATATTCCGTAGCTACGTCGGATCCTCCCAAGGAGTTCAGCATCGCTCGTGGTTCGACTAAGCCAATTCTAAGGCCCCCATTGAACCTCAGAGAGGAGTTAGAGGCCACAAATCTAGAATTGACGTTAATTCAATGGTCCAACGAGTAGATGAAACACACACGTATCATAGTACCATCATAACGGTCAGCGATATGTCACAAGTCCACGTAATTGAAGGCTCAGTAGGAAAACGGACGCAATTGCTCATCAGCCCTTCAAGCGAGTATCTGCTAGGCCACACGTCAGGCTGCACAGAAGCATTAGCGTCTCGTAACTCAACGGCGAAATGCGAGCAGAGCCTAAATCATCATTAAAATCCTGTAGCTAGGGAAAAGCGGCGTATCAGCCTTCTTCAGGCTCCTCATGTCTAAAAATATCCCACTGAGAGGTGTTTTAAATCGTATGAGATCGCTCGTTCATTCACCTCTTCCACTAGGGCCTGTCTACATATGGGAATGACGCCAGAAAGGAATATTTGCTAAATCTTTGAGACAGGACACTCAGAGAACTGAGAGCGATTTTGCGATGGACTTTTGCTATCTTGACCTGTAGCCAAGTGAAAAAAAAAAAAAAAAAAAAAAAAACGCTGAAGGATGTAGCAAAACATTTAGCTTCGCTCGCTTATTATATGAACCAATACATCTAATAGTCTCGTCGTATGTCCTCCTCCCCATAGCTATGAAAGGGATTTGTGTCGTCAATCCTCATCCAAAGGAGCATCAACATGATTATTCAGATCCTTCACCGGATTAATGAGAAAACAGGAGGCTATTGCGGCTACAGCAGATATCACAGCAGCCGCCACATACACCCATTTGAAGCTGTTGAGGAATGCCTTTTGGAGAGCCGCAACGCCAGCGCCGATAATTTGCGGTGTCACACCTGGTATGGCTGCAATATCAGACTCTGATGCTTCACTGGCTAGTGCACCGATAAAAGCTTCGAGCGATTGTGGTGGAAGACCCAGTGGTAAAACGGCAGCAGCGATGTTAGACCCAAGTTTGCTATTAAGCTCGGAGTTGAAAATCGCGTTGTCTGGTCAATGGTAAGAATTTTATTGCTGGAGAGGAAAATGATAGACTCACAGATTCCTAGAGCTATCGAAGCTCCTAGCGAGCGAATCGAAAGCAGTATGCCACTCGTGATTGCGATAAGATGTGCCGGAGCAGAAAGCTGTGCAGCAGCTACAAGATATGTCAAGGACCAACCCAGGCCGAGACCCATGATTATTGGGTAGCCCCATGTTTTTCCAGTCTCGTTGACGTCCATTTTAGCCATAAGAGCAAAGAACACGACGTAAGCGAGGAAGGAGATGACGGTTGGCTCGCGGATCGATTTGGTGAAGTGGGAGATGACGGGGATCAGTGCGACCGCAAAGAATGTTGCAAAAAAATTCATGCAATTTCTTGCCCCTTCAATCGCCGAGCTGTTATATGCATATAGTGTTGACATCTCGAAAGGAAAGTACGAGTTATAGGCCCAGAAAATCATACCATCGAGGAAGAAGCATCCGATTGCAATGGCGAAGTTGCGATCCTTCTTAAAGAGGTCATGATCAAGGAGCCCGTGCTTTTGGAAGAAAGTTTGGTGAACCACAAGCGCCAAAATGAGCATGCCACCAACCACAATACAGGCGACGACGTGAGCGTTAGACCAAGGGTATGGTGACTCAGCCCAGGAGAGACCCATACAAAGAAGGGCAAGACCTGCAGCAAGGAGGAAGTAGGCAACCCAATCGAGCCGTCTGAATTTCTCGCTTGCAGACAACGTCTTCTGGAGTGGCATTGGTGGCGGCCAGTATAGTGTGGCAATGATGATACCTGACGCTCCCATTAAAGCCGTGATGATGTACCAGATGTTACGCCAGCCTGAAGGACTCTGGTCAATCAGCGACTGACCACCCAAAAAGGCGACGACTCCTCCAAGGCCACCAGCAGCATTCAGACCCCCTTGTGCGATTGGCCTCCACTTTCGCGGCAAGATCTCCGAGCCAACCGCGATGAGGATGGGTTGGGATATGAAGAACACGCTGGAGATAGTCTGGCCTGCAATGACCTGGCCAATACTATGGGCTCTTGCAAGGACGATGGCGCCTACGAAGCCAAACACGGAGCTTCCAACAAAGAACCATTTTCTTCCCCAATAGTCAGCGGCTTGTGAAGCTGGGGGCCCTAGAGTCGCTGTGACGATAACGATGACTTGGGAAATCCACACCGCGGAGTCGGTTGATGTGCCTACGGCTGCAGCAATCGTTCGAGCATAAGCACCCGAGCAGACGATGTCGAAAAGCTGGACGAAGTACGCAATGCACAACGCCTGTAATAATGCGTCAGCCTTGTAATCGACATAGCATGGAGCCCTAGTCATAGGCTTACAAGATACACTAGGATAGTCTTCAAACTCAGTCCGTGGAAATTGTCATCGTACACTGTCTGGGTTCTTTCCAGATCGTCGCTATACTCTCTCTTCTGTGCATTGTTGATTTTTTTCTCGTCCGGGTAGGTGGATGCCATCGTGCAACGTTTGAATCACGTCGCACGGAGAGGGCTAGAACTAAACGTTACGACAAGCGGACTGAAATGATTCACGACTTCTCCCTTCTCATATGTAAGAAAAAAGAGGCTCGTTCTATCTATCCCAATCATCAAATTTCACCCCAGAGTTTGCCCTGGGGTAATAGCAGCACATGGCCACCACGGCCTGGAAGCGTTTCGTGGTCCCGAGCTACCCTTGTAGTCTCCATGAAGAAATGCGCGTGGCAGTTTGGCATCGAAAGTCGGCAATGGAAAGTCAGCCAATAATATCCTAATGTGGACCGCCACATGAAGATGGCAGACGCGATTTTGCAAGCTAGCGCATTCTTCCCCCAACACGAGGTGTTGAACTGCCGGGGAAGTCTCCCTTTTACGTACTGTGGCGTGCGGAGATGTTAAGGGTCGTGACGGCGAATCAGAGCCGTTCACTTTCCAACCATCATATATTGGCCAGTCGGCTCCTCCACATTTTCAGAGAATCTCCAGACTCCTTCCTCCACATTTCCGAGTCTCTCGGTCTGGTCGAATTGGCAGTGTTCACGTCTCGTCGCTACTATGGACTCGGCTGCCGTTGGCCTTACCCAGCAGTCCGGGGCTTCCGGGGTTCAGAATCCATTCGTTTGCACGTGCTTTCCCCAGAAAATTTCTCGAGAACCCCTTGGCTAGGAGTTGAGGATTTTCAAGCGAGGCAGTGTTAGACATGCTTTTGCTTGTTGCTTGACTATTGCTTCAACTTCTAGTCCCAACCACGGACGGTAGTTACATGTCCTAACCAATGGCACAGGCAACATCTGTAAGAAGACGTACACGGTAGGACGTCTACGTTGCCCGTTTTGCAATCCAGCTGACTAATGTTCCACTCCTTAACTTAGAGGCTAGACCACTTGGGTAATCAAGCTCAAACTATCGCAATAACAAGAAGTTGACCGTATTTCAGGTCGACATTACCGAACACATACGGCCGAAAAGCCGTTTACATGCGACAAATGTGGGAAAAGCTTTGCTCGAGTGTAGGTTTCTATCTGTTGAGTTACCGCTTGTTCTGACATCGCTGGCACACTCAGTGATCTTCTGAGACGACATCGCAATAATCATATCGATGGAGAGGTCAAAAAAGCACCGACGCGGCACCGAACAGCTCGAGCTTGCCTCGCCTGCGCTGAAGCGAAGTTAAAATGTAGTGATTCTAGACCATGTGAACGTTGTAGTTCCAAGGGTCTTTCCTGCGAAACAGGCGCTGCGCCAACTCGTCAACCAAACGACATGAATTCTCCAAGGACTCAGAGCATCTCAGAAACCTACGAAGACCATGAGCAAAACGCGAACTCGACAACAGTCCATCCTGCTGTTGGGCAATTTCCGCAAATGCAGACCCCGAACTCTTCAATTGGAGGTCAGAATGCCCCACCACTGCTCACACCAACGAGTGCTATTTCAAACGTGATGGATCAATCGATAAATGCGCAGCCTATAATGGAGCACCCTGTAGCGGCTATTAACTTCGACCTACCGTATGATCTAGAGGACTTCAACGACTTTGACACGACGATGGGCAGCTTTCTCAAGGACATAATGGCACCTGTAGCTTCCAGTACTTTTGAAGTAGACGATACCATGATGCCCGATGTGTTAGATTTCACATTTGATGATTTCATGGACTATCCGCTTGGTATATTGGATCGCAGCATTGGATCTCAGGTCGTACCTCAAACATCACTTCAACAAAGGAGCAGCGACAATTCTCGAAGTCATGGACCAAGTGGAACTTTGACTCCTAATGTACGAAAAGCCGCAGATCTTGGTCAGCAAGCGTTTCGAGAGTCTATGTGGTTATGGACTCCAGGGAAAGAAGACCGACGAACAGCAGATCAAGCATTCTTGACACTTCCGTCGTATGCTATCACGGAAGCTCGATCCCCAGATGCCCCATTTCCTTGTCATCTATCGCTAGCAACTCGTGATCGGTTGCTCGCTTGCATCCTAAGATTTTGTGAGCGTGATGTACAACGACAAATTGTCGCCCGATTTCCATCGACCGAATTGCTTTCTGCTATCATCGAAACTTTTACTGCTTATCATGGAAAACAAGTCCTATCATGGATACACCTACCTACTCTGGACTTTGAGGAGCTTCGAGAGGAGCTTCTACTTTCACTCATTGCATCTGGCGCTGCACGGTCTAGACATCCTGACGTTCGTAAACTAGGCTTTGCGATGCAGGAGACAGCTCGACATGCTGTTGCGGACATGTTCGAAGAGGACAACAGGAATACAAGAGAGCTCCGTGCAATGCAAACAAACGCCCTGCACCTTCAGGTCGGCATGTGGTCAGGAATTCGTCGCAAGATCGAAATAGCGGAAAGCTTCATGCTACCATTCATCACTATGCTCCGAAGAGCTGGTCGTTTTCGCCGGAAGACTGGGTCACTTCCTGAGCATAGCGATGATCCAACTGCAAATGAAGTACGATGGCGACAATGGATGGAAAATGAATCTATGAAAAGACTTGCATTCCATGCTCTATATGAAGATACGTGCATCTCGATATCTCTTCTAAGCCCGCCTCTAATCAACCCTTTGGAGATCCTGCTTGAGCTACCATGTCCGAAAGATTTATGGGAAGCCCCTTCAGCGGACGATTGGAGACGTGTTCTTCTGGCAAATCCTGCTCTCTCGAGTACAAGAGCTCCAACATTTCGATCTTGCCTGGCAGACATTGGTTTCTTGACCAACAATCAGGCTTTAGTTGACGCACAAATGAGTTTCATGCTGGTTGTTTGCTCTGTCTGGTCACGTGTTTGGCATTGGCGACAGATGAAAGCGATGTCCACCATTTCCAGCAATACCAATGCACTTCCGGTATCATCCTACCATCAAGAGCTTGTCAACATGTGCAAACAGTTGTCGCTCAGTGATGCGGATATTCAGGGTGGCATCGGAGCACATCCTTTTTTGTTGCTTGAAGTATGTCAGTTGCACTTACATGTTTCGTTGGAAGACATTCAACTCTTCGCAGGAAAAGAAGGGCATGAGGAAGCAAGAAAAACCGTGGCTTCTCTGCGCTCATGGACGAAACTGTCAGACGCACGTCAAGCAATATATCATGCCGGCCAGATCTTGAAACATGCATCGCGATACCCTTTTGGCTTCTTGACTGGATTTCCCGCTATTGCGGTGTATCACGCAAGCCTCGTCCTTTGGGCATATGCTGTGTTGACAGAACCAGAATCAGTTTTGCAGTCTTGTAATGAGGCTTCACCTTCGTTACGCGAATTCGAGCTTGTAGTGCTTGACGGTGAGCAGTCGCCCGGCATCACTCAGCGATTTCTCATGCTAGGCAAGGGAAGGCCTTGCATACATGCGTATAAGAGCCACCACGAGCCAGAAGATGGTGGTGTCACATTTCTCACTGACCCAATGGGCGTTATGGAGAGCATTACAAATCTTTTGGCCAGTAAAAATGGCACCGAATATGAGATGCCTCCAATTGTCAGTAACCTGGTTAAGCTTATGCAGTCACTTGGAAAGGCGGCACATGCTATGAAAAGGAGCAAGGCTTGATGTCAGCAAACCACTTGTTGCTGCTTCATTTTAAATGTATAAAATTTGTATTAATATTCTGAAGCCTTTGCAATGACACAAGCTCTTGCCACTAGATTACCCTTTTCCTACATCAATCAACGTCAAAGTCGTACGGCTCAGGCTTTCACAACGTGACCCATATCTGCAACCCCTGTTCCTTCAATGATCCGAGCCTCTACGATCTCATAGATTGGTATTTCTGCCAGTCGTGAAGTGATGTAATGTAATGTAGGTAGGCTATGCTCATCTCCCGCTTTGATGGAGATGCACGCGTTTTTAGCCTTAAATACCCGCTTAATGTTTGGTTTCGGGTTTGCGTCTGCAAAACGGTCCAGGACAACAGTCTCCACGACAGGCTGCCCCTTCTTTTCCTTACCTACGTCTGGGAAATATCTCACTGCGAGAATTCCTTCGCCAGCATCGCTCCCACCCATAAGGCCTTCCTTTTCCTCACTTTTGACTTCCTCGAGACCTTCCCATTCAAAGATGCCCCATTCCGCTCCGCGCCACGATGTCTTGACAATTTGAGAACTCGTGCCTCTTGTCTTGTCAATGTCGCAGAAGAGTTTCGGCATGCCCAATTCATCACGACCGGTGATGATCGGGTCCGTCAGTGACTCAAATAAAACCTATTTATCTCATCAGTGTTCGTTAAGATGCATTTGAGAGAGAATCGATCGTGTTTTGCAGTGGATTCTTGAAGCGGTCTACTGCTTGATGTAACATGCGTTGAAGCTTATGAACTTACCGGAAGATGCAACCCATTAATTACTTTACCACTATCTGTGGTATACTGTACTCCGTGCATAATTAGACCGAGGAAATTGTACCCCTTGTCTCCCAGCCATTCCATTCTGTCTAGTGTAGTCTGCGTTATCGACGCATATGCAACTGTCGCCGGTGAGGCAAACTTCCATTGCTTTGAACCTGGAGGAAAGAGATTCTGGAGCACCGTTCTCGAAGTTTTGAATTTGATCGAGGACGTGACAAAAGTTGAATTGGTCCCGTCTCTCGGAGTGCCATCCACTTTCTGCCTAGGGCCTGGTGCTGGGCCGAATCCCTATAAATCATCAGCATGTTGAGTAATAGATTCATGGCATCGGTAACGTAACGAAGATACCACTACCGGATTTGCAAGAGAAAAAGAAAAGCGTCGTATAGAGACGTATGTGACTTACAACTGGCATTCTCCAATATGATGGTGGTTGTTTTGACCACTTCCACTCGCGCAGTCTCTGTGTCGAATTATCAAACTCATCGAAGCCGAAATTGTAAGCAGTAATTGATTCGTAATCAACTTTGGAGGTTTGTCCAGGCGCAAGATCCTCGCCAGAGAGACGAGTAAAGTGTTGAAGCTTATCTGCTCTTTCTTTGCGAATCTGCTCATAAAGTTTTAATCTCTCCTCAACTTGATCAGGCTTAACGCCGTTTTCAAGAACAATTCCGAGAGCTACGGCGTCTTCAATGGCAACTGCACCACCTTGACCTTGGTGTGGCAGGAATGGATGAACCGCATCGCCCAAAAGAGCCAGACGACCTGTCGTCCAGTTTTCCATTGTGTCCTAAGCCTTATCAGCTCAGAGAATTGAATATGAAGCTTCGCGTCATACCATATCAAGCAGTCTCCAAAGCTTCAATGAATCCTCGTCCGCCTTGGCCAATATTGCTCGGAAGTCCTCGTGATAGTCTTTATAAACCCTCAGTAGCATCTCCCTCGTTGCCATATTGTTCCAATCTCCAGATGAATCAGCGGCTGTTTCTCCCTCGGGATGTATGCACACCAAATTCAGCAAGGTGTTGTTGCTAGTCGGATACATGACCATTCTTCTGTCTGAATGCATGATCATGACTAGGTTTCCGTCTTCAGAAGCGTATTTTTGCGTCTGTGGATCGTCCAGAACCTTTTGGCGTGGGATGAGAAACCGAAAGGCGCTTTTGCCGCTGCTGTAAGGTTTTTTGTCGCAAGACTTTACAAATTTTCGCGTCACAGAGTGGACTCCATCGGCTCCAACAATAACATCGCCTACATCCTTGCTACCATCACGAAGAATGACTGTCCCCGACTCAGGATCGACTTCCGATACTGGTGATGAAAGTTGCAACTTTACTCCAGATTTCAGCGCGGCATCTTTAAGGCTATTGTGAAGAGTGATACGATGGCCGAGAACCCATGGGTGCTTCCACATGTGACTCGTCTTCGTCATGTCACCAGCTCCTGTAGAATGTCCAGAAGACGTGTACCATGAGAGCTAATAATTCTTAGCTTCGGACATGAAATTGGATCTCCTTATCTTACTTTTTTGCATAGATTCGCTCCTGTTGCTGGTATATCAATTCCCATACGTTCCAAAAGACCGTACACATTTGGTGGTATGTGTATTGCAGCTCCCAATTCAGTTGCAAACTTGCTTGACTCATAGATCTAAATGAAGTGAGTGCCAAATGCACATGCATAGTAATCTTCCTTACCGTGACATTGTGTCCCTGCTTTCTAAGATTGATTGCGGCTGATAAACCACCAATGCCGGCTCCTACGATGATAATCCTGAGACCGTCGGTGACGGTATGGTTCTTGGTTCCATTCACTTGCTCGTCTAGAGCCATGTTAATAACGCGAAACTCACGTAGCCTTACGTTTGAGGAATCAAGGAGTCAAAATTTCAAATAGTTCAAGCAGTCCAAAGAACACTTTCGAGGAATGCTTTCGCGGAGACATCCTCATATTTACCGCCGTATTTTTTTATCTTGGTCCTATGCTCTCTCCCGTCAATCCCCGCATCTGGTCATTTGGCCAGTATTAGAGGACCTGGTCATCTACTCCACATTTACTGAAATTCTCAGCGCCTTCTTGCAGGACGTGCTAGGCTTGCCGACGCAGACCACATCTTTCCGATTGGGTGGTCTCCGGATTACCCGATCATGTGATGATGCATGACTCTTTCAAAGTGGACAAGATATGCGCTCCACGGTGCTTTGCGAAGGAATTTCATAGACATTAAGACTATGCGGCATCTTCAAGAATTTTTTGGGAAGTCAAACATGTTTAATGTCCTGAAGTTGCAAGCTTTCTAGCTAGAAATATTCCATTCAGTTCTCTGCTAAATATTTCTATGCTAATTTGGTATGATTGGTAGAACAACGTAGTTTTCGAACTTTGGACCAAAGTGGATATGGTTCAAACCATTGAACTTTTCCTCCGTCCTATCTTTCTCTCCGCGATGAGTGAAAATACCACTGCCTTGAGTATCGCCGGAGCTAACCTCGAAAACTAGTCTCGCACCTTTTTCCATGACTACATTTGTCGGCCAAATCTCAATATCTACAGGATATACTTCGCCAGGAAGCACCGGGAGTACATCCGTAGAGAAATAGTCTCGATAAGGTAGATACGAGCGATGCTTGTGATGAGACTCATTCACCTTGCGTAGAGATACGCGAAGCCAGCCTTTGCAAAGCGGAACAGGATCACCAGCCGTTCCAGTGTAAAACACCTCCTTTCCTGTTGCAGAAATGTGTCTCAACGTGACGAAAAGATCAATATCTGATGGAACGGTTTTGCTTCCAATATACGGAGTCACTGAGACGTTGAGATGAGCCACGATATGGCCAGTGATCTCTGTCTCTTCTGTAACTGGATCCGTGGTAAACGATACTAGCTGTGGATTTTCGAGGCTTCCGAGTGCTGGATATGAAAGCTTCAAGGGATATTGTTCTTTTGCCTTCATCTCATCCGTTATCAAGGATTTGTTCGAAGTCAGATAGAATTTCGTGTACTGTGTTCGTTCGATAGGCCAAGAGCTCTCGGTACGTCTAGGGAAAGCGCGTTCTTTCTCCGGATCATTGAAACCCACGTCTCCTTTCCTCAGCACTATATCCACCGGAGGTAACTTACCAGGCACGGACCAGCCCATTCTATCCTCCCCTTTCAAGAATGCATCCATGAAGCTACGCTGAATCTCGACTTCCTCGTGATAGTAAAATGGTAAATCGTGACGGCCAACAATACATCTGAGATATTTGAACTTCGACCCCGCGTGAGTATAACCCTCAATATTACCTCTCAGATGTAGCAATATCCCGCCCCAATTCGCGACACTCAATAATGGAACTTCGATGTTTCCCAGATCATATTCTTTGGATGCATAGTATGGTTGGTCTCGGAAGAAGTTGTTCGCATTGTCGATGTTCTGATCGTTCCGAGAAGCGGCGCGTTCTTCCTCGCTCAAATCACCCTCGATGGTGTCTGGACCCCAATTACTTGCTTTTCTTCCTGGTCGTCCATATTGATTCGTAATCACTTGTCTATTCCACCAGAATCTGATAAAGGAATCACTCAGGATTCCCCCATGCCGGCAACGATCCCTATAGTAATCAGACATTCCCTCCCATGGAATAATCGCAGCAAGGCCCTTTGGACGTAGAGCCGCAACCCGCCATTGACTACCGGCGTAATACGATATTCCCAGCAATCCTACTTTCCCAGATGACCAAGGCTGCTCTGCTGCCCATTCCACTGCATCATAGAAACACTCGGAAGTACCTTTTGACATAGTATCGAGAACACCAGGAGATTGGCCGAGACCACGTTCGTCAACTCGGACCACTGCATATCCATTCGATGTCCAGTACTTTGGGTCCGGCGTCTCCCATGCAGAATGTTCTGACTTGTGTTCCGGATTCACTTCACTGTAGGATTTTGGATGAAAATCCGAGTAATGTATGTCTTAAAACCTGTTAGCTTTCGATACATACCGGGATTCCTCAACCTGCCTTTTCCATATGGCCCGTAGGTCATTAGGACAGGATACTTGTCCTGTGCATTTCCTTTAGGAAGATAGATATTACAGCGCACAACACCTTCACTGCTTTTTAAAGGTATACTGACATTTTGTCTGAAGATATAGCTAAAGGAAGTAGTGTCTTCAGTAGACAAATCTCGTATGATATTGGGCATGTTTTGAATGTGGAGTCAAAATCCTAACAAATCCTTCAAGTTGATGTGAGCTGAAAACAATTCTTTCTCAAATGCGCAGGACGTGTTCCTTTTACTACATCCAATTTTTGGCACATAGCTACCCCTGTTTCGGAGTGAATGTTGCATTTAAGCTATGTTCGGCTCATTGTATCCACAGTGGGAGTTTGTGACAGGAAAAATGGACCAGCCAATGCGTTGGCCAATCGGCTGATGTGGAGAGTCCTTGGTCTACTGTTCCGCGAAGTGTAGACGCAAGCAAGGTCACTGCTCGTTCCGGACTTAACCTGGAACCAGAAGCCGAAGATCACAACGCAAAATTATGAGAGTAGTTGACTCATTTATGCCCGAAGCCAAGCAGTCAGGCATATTAAAGACCAAATACGGAATAGAGCTTAGGGTCATGGAACCTGCTGAATCAGTACTAATATTACAGAAAAAGTAATTAAGTTAAAGTTTTCAACATGAAGAATTCGACATTTTTTTCGGCACTTCAAATTCAACGACTAAGATTACATCTACGTAGGAAAGCTATTTATGGAACATGGAAACAACTGTAGGATACCCGAACTTGACTCCGCAAATCGTTCCTGCTACAACTCCGCACAGAATAAAGCTAGCATTGAAGAGGAATCCTTGCTCGAAGAACCCAATCTTTGGACCCCACGGCTCTTTCATCTGTTTGAGAGTGACGTTGTATAATGTTTCAAAATGTTTTCGTTGCCTTGAGCCAGCATGAGATATGAAATCATCGATTGCTTTCGAGCTAGGGGTCTTATTGATAACTGTGGGAGACGGTGTTGAAAACATTTCGGTCGTATATCGAGGATGAACTGAGGGGTAAAACCCGTTTGGAGCAGCATACCCAACGAGCAACTCGGCCGGAATATGATTCACGAAGGATGCTGAAGACCTAACAAATTGGGTAATATACTTGCCTGCAGGAGGAGCAGCATAAACGTAATTTGCGAGAAGCGTATTTTCTCCAGAATTCAGCAGATCTATGGCATCGTCCATACTCGAGATAGGGAGAATGATCAGTGTTGGTGTCGTAATCTTTTGTACGAGCAGCTGGAGGTCTCGCGATCGAAGTAAAACGACTTTACCTCTGTCCCCAGAGACTAATGTCGTTCCAATCTTCTCAAGGGTTTTGTCAAGCTCCGTTTCTGCAGCACCGTTTCCGCGGTTTGAGGATGTACCGTTAACTCCCTGCGATAAATATCGCAAGCCAACCTCTACCACGGCTTCGCTAAACTCTTTTATCTTGAACTCATTGACCAGCACAATATCCGGAGCATATGAAGACGAGCCTCCGAATGCAAAACGTGCCTGGACCAAGTCTCTTGCAGCGACCCTCATGTCTCCACTTCTGTCCACAATGGCAGCAGTGCGTGAGTTTGGACAACAAATACGTCTAAAGCTACTCGTAGCACTGGCCGGTGACTGAGCTTCGAAGAGGAGACCTCTGTTCTGTTGAAATTTAGGATCAAACGGGTCTCGGTCAACATACGCAAAAGTTTCAGCAGATAAGGCCTTGTGAAGGATTTTCTCCAGTTGTGATACCAGGGAATTTCCTTGAGATGATCTTTGTAGTAGTACTGCATTGCCAGAAGCGATTGCTGCTGCAATGGGAACGATCGTTGCGTAGAGTGATCCGCGTTTAGGAGGCACTATGTATGCGTATCCGTAAGGCGAGCGCTGATTCTTGTAGTCTTTCGAATTTGCAATGGAATACTCCTCTTCGTTGCATATTTGAGGGTCACAGCGGTCATGAAACGTCTTGATAGCATCCAGAGTCAAAGTATATTCGACCGTGGCTTCGGGTTTCGAAAGTGCCAAAGTATCGTACAAGGCGTCAAGTAAGGCTTCCCGCTTGGCGGATAAATTTGTGTGGAGAGAAGCAAGTTGTCTTTCTCGATATCTTGGAGTGATTGCTATGCCGTCTGTGATAGATGAGCGCAAAGCTTTCGTGTTTGACGCCATGTTGATGTCAAGGCTTGGACGACCAGCAAAATGAGAAGCAACGTGCGAGGTCACTTCAGAATATCTGCATGAGCCGCTTCGCATATAAGATTGAAACTAGAGTCTCTCGGCTAAATGACCTCTGAAATTCAATCTATCCAATAATACTCCAGGAACTCCGCAGCTGTGAAGTTCACGCCACATTCGAGCGTTCTCGGGACCACATTCTGACATAACTCGGCCGATCAACGTTGTCGTAACGTGATGCACGGCTTCAAACTGGATCGATCTGCAGGTGATTATTGTATCTTTTAGTGGTGACTCCAGCATAGTTTTGCTCTTGACTTGAGTTTAAATCGCTTGATTTGTCAACACATTCGTCACCGGTCAAAGCCAATATGAGTGAAACAACGACTACAGCAACAATTACAGCAAGACAACCAGTTTTGCAAGTTCTTGCAGATTACGAACTCACACATACCGGGGAAGAAGCTCAGAACTCTACGGATGCACTTTCAAACTCACCTTCTGAGACAAATGAAATCAAAGAAAACCCGGACTGGTGGCCAGAAGATTACAACGCGATTCCCCCGTATCGACCCATCAACTACCATTTAGATAGAGAGAGTCGACCCTGGGCACAACCCGGTATTGAGACTGCTTTCGTGTGGACAATGCTTAATGGGGTTGGCATAATTGCGGTTTGTCATTCTGGATGACTGAAATAAAAATCGATCACTGTACTAAGAGTTCACAGTTCTCCAGTAAGGTCTGGCGCCAAACAGGTGGGAGGCTGAACGATAAGATATTCCGATTTTCCATAGGTGGTGAACGATAGGGTGTGAAATGCAGAGAACCAAACAGCAAAGCAAAATTAAGATAGAAACAGACGTTTGCGGTCAGGAGGATATGGATTCCAAGAACTGTAGGATTTGCGCAACACAGGAGCCTTGAAGTGAAATACTAGATGCTGCCAATAGCTAGTCTTGATGAACGAAGCTTAAGCTGTACTTATCCCATTTGTAATGATCAGCTACCCGTGTAATGCTAGAGCCTAACCCGATTTCCGCACATTTTGCATATCGCCCAGATCCTCGCCCAGCTGTTTGCCATCGATCGTAATAGGCTCGGCTTCTAGCAGCACGTATAGCATCCTCGCCCAAGACGTTGAGCTTGCGTTTCGCCATGCATGATTGGTACCTCTTTGCACGCTGATGTCTCCGCGGCGCATAAGCTTCTCCTCGCCGGAATCAAGCACCAAGTACACCTCGCCCTCAAGAACGACACCGTAATCGAGACTGACGGTCCGATGCATTGGACTAGTCAACCCAGGTCCCATATCTACCACACGCAGTACAGACCCGCCAGGTACTATAAGCCCTGGTTTTTCAACTAGATATTTTTGGTAATCTGTGATATCCTGATTATTTTCGAAGGAAACAGGAAATCGGCTAGTAGTGTAGTTTAAGGAGAAGTGTGCCTCCTTTCCCTCGCCTTCTCCGATGACTTGCCACTGTTGTTCCTCGTCTATTGCTGTGCTAAAAACTGCTTTGCCGTTCGAGTCGTGGTCAGTAATGATCCGATAGGTTTTTGGCAATCCATTGGGACGTTTCTCTAGTGGTCGTTCTTGCGCCATTTTTGGAGGCAGAGTGTCAACAGACTGGTCAAGGTGAAGGCTCAATTGGTATGTCTTAAGAAGGGGCAATGATCTAGAATCGAGTGTGCGCTATGAACGTTCCACTTAATTTAATACATTCACAGATCATCCGTCACATGAGTCCCACATAGGTGACAGGCGCATTACTACTCGACCTCTGTGGAGCGGCCGACCTCGTGAGGGGTGTGTTCAAGGGATTACCATATTGCAACTCACGTATCCCTCTGTTCCTCCACATTCCGAAGAAACCCTTGCTCGAAATGGGCCCACTGCAACAAGCACCACGCTCAGCCGTCAGAGAGTAATAATACTCGACTAGACTCACTATAGCGAAAAGGCTCAGTCCATGGAGAAAGTCCACTCCTGAATCCAAAAAAAAAACAAGACTATAGATGGCAAAACCAAGTGAGTTTTGCCAGCCAAAAAATCATGACAAGAGTATGAACTAAATGATCAATAGAAACACCAGTTCATTTCTTCTCTCATGGCTCGACCATGATGCTGGGAGAGGAGAGCAAGTCAGCTGACTACTGGAAAATTGCTGGCGATGCCGCTCTTGCGCACAAAGTCAAAGGAATTGTTATTATGGGGGCGCATTGGGACTGCAGAACCGATCATGGTGTAGAGGTTTCTATGACTCCGAATCCTAAGAAACAGCCAGTTGCAAATGTTGCCCCCCATAAGTACAAAGACTACAAGTTGAACGCAGACTTGGAAACGCCAAAATGTTGCATTCAGATGCTAAGAGACGCGGGTATCAACGCGTCGCCGAACGAGAATTTGGAATGGATTCACGACGTGTTTCTGATCATGATACGCATGTTCCCTGATCCTGCGACCATGCCACCAACGACGATCATATCAACTAACGGTAGATACGATCCTCATTTTCATGTGAGAGTTGGAGCAGCTCTGAGACCACTTCGAGCGGAGAACTATTTGCTCATCGGCAGTGGCGGAGCTGTACACAATCTGTATCGCAATGTGTGGTATCCAATGCTTCTGTACAAGGACAACTTTGCTCAACCTACGCCCCCGGAGCCATGGGCAATGGAATTCAGACAAGCTTTCCAGGACGTCGTTGAAAAGAACTCAGGACCGGCGCTGCGAAGGGGTTTGACAAGGCTGATGAAACATCCTCAGTACCGCGATGCACACGCGACGGACGACCACTACATGGCCGCCTTGTTCGTTGCAGGCGCTGTTGGAGACGAAGAAGACACTGGAGTAACGGGACAACTGAAAGCAGAAGACTGGGAGTTGACAAACATGTGTAGTAAGTGTTTTATTACCTAGGCGCCCGCAGATTAGCTAATGATTGTGTAGACTCTCAATATACGTGGGGGAAATATATAGATACACCTGCATAGTCATTATGCCCTAAAACTAGTAATGAGTGAAGGGTTGATTGACACAATCTGTATAATACACCCAATCGCCAATCAAGGCACTTTGCTGCGATACGATAGGACAAAGATATGTGGTGCCTCTATGTCGTGTCTCCTCAACTAGTGATATTCGTTCGTGAACCGCACAAACATGAGTTAAGTAGGAATTCAGCTCGTGAAAACCAAAAAAAAAAAAAAAAATTAAAACATCAAATATCCTCATTTTGAGATCTCTTTTCTGTCTACTTGATCTTGGAAGCGCCATAAGCTTCCCAGTTAAGAGCTGGTTCTAGTCTGCCAAAACTCTCTCCAAACCCTACACATGATTCCGAACCAAGCTCGCCTGCCCAGCCCGTCAACCTCACACTATCACCGTCCTCCAGATAACGCCGCACGTTCCCGCTGCTCAGTTTGACCGTCTCTTTGCCTCCCTTGGTGATTTCGAGAAGACAACCCAATGTACCAGCTGCTCTGCCAGATACTGTACCAGTAGCCAACAAATCTCCACTTCGAATGGCACACCCGTTGATGGTTTGATGAGCTATCATGTCTTTAAATGTCCAATACATCCATTCCAATTGAGAATTGCAAAGAACCGAGGTTGCGCCTGAGTCCTCCACAAGGTCGACTCGAAGATGCACGGCGTAATGGTTCTGTTTGCTTGCCGATTTTAAGTAGGGTGCTTCAGCAATTTCGCGGTCTGTTATCGAGGCCTTGAATGGCTCAAGAGCATCCACTGTCACAATCCACGGAGAAATGGTCGTCGCCGTGCTCTTCCCGTTAAACGGACCTAGAGGATTCATCTCCAGGCCTTGGATGTCACGCGCGCTCCAATCGTTCAAAAGCACGAACCCGAAAACATGCTCCATGGCATCGTCAATCAAAACAGGTTTCCCCATTTCAGATGGCTTGCCGACAACGCATGCAACCTCAAGCTCGTAATCCATGGCCTTAGAAGGCCCAAAGACGACTCCATCCGGAGACTTGAACTGCCCTAGCGGGCGCCGAACTGGAGTACCAGATATTACTATGGACGAGGTACGACCAGTGTAACCTACAGGAAAGTGCAAGAAGCCAGGAGGGAGTGATTCCACCCCGAAGACCGCGAGACCAGCATTGAGGACATGATTTCTAGACAAAGAAAAGTCGGAGAAGTCGCCAACGCGGATGGGCATAAGCATGCGGACTTCGTCCTTATGTGAACGGCATGCAGCAACCTTTCCGTCAGGCTCAACGGAAGACAACAAGCTCTGCAATCGATTTCGCACCTCACGATGACTTGGCCGACCAAGACCAGCGAAATCATTCAAATCCGGCTTTCATGGGGGTCAGACGAGGATGAGATGTAGAAGTAATACACATACCTGCTTGAGGGCATGTGATATGCTGTCTGGTAGCTCCAGCAGTCCTTGGTCAATTAATTCAGGAATGAAATACACATGTTCTCGCAGTCGCGTTACGATTTGTGGCGTGGCATGCTCTGCGCCTTTGGCTGCAACGCCGAAAGGAATATTGCTCAATGTGAAATGCGCATCGTCGGAGAAAGTCATGGCGACCTGGTAACAAAGTAAAGCCGACCCGAAAAAACGTTATCGCCCCAAGTCCTTGCATCTAGCTATGTAGACGGAGTCAAGGGAAAAGTACCATTTCTTACCAGCGACCAACGGATGGTGCGACAGCCAATCGAAACGCTTCGGCTCCACATAAGGCTGGCTTCTGGCCTCGTCAGCGACAAGTGCCGCACCTGTACGAGTTGAGACAGCCGAAGAGCCGGAGTTATCGGTCAACGTAGGAGCAAAGCCCGTCGCCAGCATGATGATGCAGGAGTGAAAGCCGAGGGGAAAGTGTGGTCGGAGACTACTTTCACAAGGGCTGGACTCGCTGAGGGTAAAGCGTCAGGTGGATTGGAACTCGTAAAAATTGTCTTGACACTAGAACTAGAACTAACATCCATCCTGATGCCTCAGGCCGCTTCGTAGTCGAAAAGTACTGGGGGACTCTTATTCGCGAGAACATACCATTTCTATTAGTCAGAACTTACTCTATAGCTGTCCCTGTATCTTGAACCACTTGCTTCACATTATGATCGACTGTCTGTCGCTGTGGCCGCCACTTTTGAAGATGAGCCTTTAGTTTCGCAGCCAAACTTTGGCCCTGCTTTGACGCAATGTGAGGTACGTTAAGAGAAAGTAATTTATCAAAGATAGAGTACTTTTTACTGTTGTGCGTAATCTCAGAACCAAAAATCGGGTAACAGAGAAGGCAATGAAAAGACACTTTTTAGAGCATGAATGCGTGGACCACCAGCAAATATGGAAGAGTCTAACCTGACACGTAAGACTCCGACCGGAAGTCGTCTCTGCCTGCTGACGTCGGGTGTGGCCCGAGAGTAATCTTCAGAATCTTATCGAAAGAGCATAAGCCTAGAATTGTTGTCGCCTTGATATAGTTGGCTTTGTCGTTGCACCGCAATGCAATATGATCTACGGAGCAGAGAGCTAGTGATAGCCACAAGTAGCTCAGGCGTACTGATTTGGTGTCCTGCTGTGCTCAGACCGATTTACAGAGCTCCGATTGGGTCAGATAAGTTGAACTCGCTTCCGGCGAACTGAGATAGGTACTGATCAATGCGTCGATACTGCATGAAAAAACGGGTGCCCTTCACCACAGGGTTAATAAGAACTTCTCAGGGTGATGACTAGGCGCTGTGGTTTGTCAGCTGTTCTGTATCGAGTCTAAAATAGTAGGAATGGTATGATCAATCAACAGATGCATTAGTTGGGTAAATAACGAGTTATCATAGACTGAAAAAAGGAGCGGACATGTAGATGAATGACTCACGACGGAGATCTGCTGGTGCCTATACGAGAGCGGAACCATTTTAAGGTCAACTCTTAGCGCAGACATGAATACAACTGTATGACTGCTTATGAGACTAAATATCTAGCGTCGTGGCTCCTTGCACCTGCAGGCCTTGTGCACCGGGAGAGATGATGCTTGCTGTTTCGAGAGGGCGGAGTTCAGGCGGCTAGTGCCTCCAATATGCTGCTCAATAGACGCTTGTCACATAAGGGATTGAATGTTCGAGTCGAATGCTTGTTGTTGACCGGCCGAATAGTTAATCAATACGAGTCAATCGATTTTCAAGCTCTACGGGAGCAATAAATCACCCTGGACAAACGAATCAAGACTGCAAAAGGAAATCAAGCCATATTTGCTGTGTGAAACGCGCGCCATTAAGTGTACAGCTGAAAATTACATTCCAATCCAGCCGAAACAAAACATACCCAGTCCTGCCAAGCGTACTTTAACCAGTAACGTTACCTCGAACGCCCTACTTCATAACCACATGATAGCAGACCCGCTGACTCCTGGTATAATGCTGATACAGAAAATGAAAAAAAATTTGGGGAAGAAGGACGGCGTATCATGAAGGCTGTTCCTCAGGCGAATCTGGTCGTACAAGGGTTTCTTCTTCTCGGGTTTCCGCCACCGTACTTCCTTCATCGTTCTTTTCCGGCGACGGGGCGACAAAATCAAAGGTTGTTTCCTTGGACAGGCCGGACAGTTTATGCTCGTCAGAAGGAATGATCTCGACGGACTTCTCATCTAGCCCATCAGGGAAGAAGTCCTCACGTGGCATATCAGCTAACGCAACACGATCGTCTTGCATCAAGTCACCAGCCCTCGCCTTTTCCTCTTTTTGCGCAGCTTTTAGCTTCGAATGAATTCCCTTGTGCACAACCGAACCAGCTGCACGACGAACCGACGCTGAAGCAGGAACTGTCCAATCTGGCGGGGGCACATTCTCCTTGCCAACCTCAGACTCCAGTTTCCTTTGCTTAGTTTCGGTATCATCATCTGAGCTAATGTCGAGAATACTGGCAGAGTGCTCCATTAGGTTGGCAGCTTCCTCCTCTGGAGTGTCTTCGTGAATCTCAAAAAACCACGACTTGGGCATATGTTTCGTCGATGCAGCGGCTTCTGTGTTTGGAGCGGCAGGCTTATACGAAGAGATAGTGCCGCTCAAGGCGGCATCAATGGAGAATGGAAGGGAGGCGACTTTGCTTGCACAGAAAGCAGGTGGATCGATTCGTCGAAAAGGTGACGAGCTAGCACGACGACCCTTGGATAGCAGACCAATACGTTTATGCTTTGGCGAACCCCGGCTGTGGGAGATTGGCGTGACGTTGCTTGATGCTGGAACAGACAAGGAGATTGCTTTACGGTTCGCAGCGGGTGAGCTCGGAGGTGTAGTGGTCAGGGTTAAACTTGCCCGCGAAGCCTTGAGGGGTGTACCATCAGAAGCCTTGGCCTTCTTGGAGGGCGAGGCAAGTATGTTGGGATCGACATTCTCGAAATCAAACTCGTCGGCGAGGGTGTCAGGCAAAAATGCTCGCTTGTTGGATTTGACTTCTACAGACTTGCTGGGTGGTGCAGCAGGGTCTTCGTGTATGGCAATGGCTATATGATGTAAGTCAAGAGCAGGTTGTTAATCAGCCAGCATAAAAGTACCATTCTGACGGTTTTTGATGCTGCCAAGAGCTTGCAAGCGGGAGCCGTCGAGGGCAGCAAACGGCTGACGCGGCTGAAGATATGTGGCCATGGTAGTCTACAAAGAATGAACCCAATTGACGGAGAAAAGGTTTGGCAGCCAGTTGCACAAGTAGGAAAGACACGGGTTTAGTTCCTCGTCTCGATGCCGTCTCGAAGGGGATCTCGAAGGCGGTTGTTGACAAGTTGTTGATAGGGCAGATCCAAGGAATGGTAGAACTAAAGGGGTGCGACTGTCCAAGGGAGTGGTACGACGGTCACTGGCGGCGACGAAGAGCTGACGAATGCATCTGAGCAGTTCAATGATGGCGAAGAGAAAGGAGTCCAGCTTGAAGGAAGAAGGTGGAGGTTCGAGGTGAGAGGGGCGGCAATGGTAATATGAAGGCGTCGCTCTGCACGGACGCCTTCGCGCGTCACGTCTCTCGCGACTGGGCGCTAATCCCAAAGCGGAAGTCCAGGAGCACAGCATCCCGGCTAAAGTCTGCAGCCAACGTCGTCCTTCTCTTATGCGGCGACATCCATTGGACCGCCGTTGTCCCGACCAGACCTCAGCGACGATCTTACACGGCCGGCCTTGCATCTGCACAACGCCAGCTCGACGCGGTCGTGCCCTCTTCGTGTCCGCAGGCGAATGCTGGGGCGTTGTCCGAACGTCGAACGCCCTCCTGATGCGCCCTTGCTGCCACTGCCGTGAGAGACCCGCATATGCAAAGCCCACAAAAGTATGAGATTTGCAGACTGCACGTTGTTCTTCGTGGCTTCGTGCTTCCAACCGTTGTTGCCCTCTCGATGCTCGTGTTGCAGAAGCCGTTCATGCACTCCTTTTGCACTTGGCTGACGCCGCAGGTTGTGCATGGTGCCGCCTCGAAGCTTTGCGTCATCATAGGCGCCAGTATTCTTCATCTGATGCTTGCCTGCTCATCTTTCGAACTGCTACGCCAGTCCTTGCCATTCCGTTCTGAAACGCTTTGGCCTCGAATTGTCCGCGTAACGTTCGGGCTACTCACTAAACTAGGCTCGCTGTTGAGCTCTGTATCACTATGCTTTGTTACAATTTTGTGATCCAACAATCGAGATGACCCTCTGAAACGTCATTCAGATCTAGACGCTATCTCCCGTTATTCGTACATCATCCAGACACAACTGATTCTCCCACCTGTCGCAATCTCCCTTGTAATCGCACTCGTCCTCAGGGGCTCAGTCAATCCCTCTGGATCCAAATACTAAGTTGGTTATGAAGTATCGTAAATGTTCGTGTTGTGAAATTTCTTGGCCCCCTTCTTGAATCTGTCAAAAGCAGCAGAAGGTCAGCTGCAGAGCCCTGTCCACCGATGCCTCACCTCAGATCAAGCACAAGGAAAATCTAAGTATTTCAGCAATTTAAAAGTTAATATTGTTCGAATTTTTCTTTTCCCCCAGCCCCACGTTCCTGGGAGTTTGTAATCCATATCCGCATAATCCCATCGGCAGAATGTTCCAATGCTGGCTGCAAAGCTGGTCTCGTGGGCGTCGTTTCTCAGGTGCTGCGTCCCGCTTTCCTCATCAGTTGCAGCGAAAATAAAACTTGCTACCACCACGACCGAACACCTGATGCACGTGCATCTCTCGAATGCATTAGACCGGATACAATTTCAATACTGATTTCCTTATAACTCATTCGTGCAGATTTGTCGCCCGCGCCCACGAACATGTCTCTCGTGTTCATTGGCGTAGGTTTGGTGCGACGCGCGAAGCTCTACGATTCGCTTTTCTACGATCACGAAAATCACACGTCTTAAACCGAAGACTTCACGTCCCTCACTACTGGTCCATATGCTAGTCATCATCTATGGCTTCTTAACCCAGAGCATGGAGCAATATCGTAGTTTCAATAAACTCCTCCTTCGTCAAAAGTAAGTTAGGACGTGTATTGAAGTATCATGTGAACAAAATCCGTGCATCTGTAGCAGTAAGATTCACCATCATTTGCTCGAAGAATAGTCTGTATTAAGATTACTATCAACAGTGTTAATGCTGAGGGGGCTAATAAAAAGTAACAGCAAAGCCTGTTCGTGATATACGTGCTGTGTTGTCTGAGAAACTTGCATTCCCGGACCTACAGAATGTCTTTCTTATGCTCATGTTCCCCTCTTGTATCCCTATCCTTCATCATCTTATCGAGTGTATCTGATATGTTCTGCATCAGCTGATTGCTCCGCGACCTGTACTTGCTCGCCTTCTCCAAGGCTTCCTCCAAGGGATCTTTCACGGCTGCATCATGCAGGATCATGCTACTCTGGAGAAGACTTTTGACAATTGAACTTTGAACATGGGTTTTGCATCCAAAGCCCTTCGCTGAGCTAGGATCATATGTCTGATCACGAAGGTATGGACCAATATGGGCCGATTTGCGAGATTCTGCCTTGTGATAGCTGTCGTAAAGCTTAAACCCGGGTTTGTTAGGTCTTGGCGTGTATGCTGGGTTGAATTCTTTCTTTTTTGCTCGTTCTAACGACTTGCATGGCATCTTTGCTGCTTCTGTCGATTCAGCTTCTTCGCGAAGCGCCGGGACAATGTTATGGAAGAAGAGTGGTCTTGGGATAATATTTTCGCGTACGACGCCATCCGTCCTATCAGATTCCTTTGCTGAATCATATTTTTGTTCACCAATGGCATCTTCATGCTCTGAATCCATGTATACCGTAATCTCTAGCGTATTTGATCCATTGCTAAAGGTCCTCCTATGATTACGTTCAATGTCCAGCAAAGGTCTCTCACGCAGTGGAGATGGTGGCTTCGGAGATAAATCTGATTTACAGGAAATGTTGTCAGCAGAGAGGAAACATTGTGTCTGTAGACGCGGCTTCAAAGGCTGTGAGTTGCTTGTGTTGGATGGCCATTGCGGACTATGGATCTGAGTCTCGGTATGACCTAGGGCTTTTCTTCCAGGAAGTGGTGAAGACACAAAGTCAAGCCTGAAAGGAGGCGGTTTGATCAAATTTTGGCTTGTTTGTACATTTGCTGAAGAACATTTACCGTTTACAGTCGCTATGTCCTCGTCGTTCAAGTAGTATTTGTTGGGGCTCAAGCTCTCAACTGATTTTTGACTGTCCGAGAAATATGCTGAGTCAACGTCACGACAATTTATTCTATTCTGTCGCTGCTGGTGCCTTGGTGGGTTTCGTGTCGCTGGTGGAACTTGGTAACTTCGAAATGAATGATAGTCTTCGACGTCCGATGTTGGTGATGAGGTTGCGGTTGATGAAGACAGGAATGGATCAGGTATGCCAGCCAAAGAGAAACTTCCGTGCATCAAGCTGTGGAAATTGGCAGATTGGTTATTGGTTGATGATGCTGTGGAGGATTTCCGTCGGGGAGATCTTTGGGTATCGGCCGAGGATGCCTTCTTTAGGATCAAAGCCCGGCTAAATCTAGTCCATGATTTTGACCGACCATAAGTAGGCTTTCCATCTCCTGTGGATTTACGTGCTGGAAGTGTGTTCAAAGAGCCTTGTTTGATGTGTTTATTGAATTTATGCATGGCGGAGTACATCTTTCGTTGCTTAGGAGAGACGTGTTGAGAGTAACCCTGCAAGTCCGTCTCTTCTGGCAAAACAGTGATGCAGGTAATGGGATACTCATTCACAGCAGCTTCGTGCTGTGCAAATGGCCTCTCTGCAGCTTTTGGATAGAGAACGGTGTCTAAGCATTCGAGGACTTTGTCGGCAGCGTCAGCCGTCCTCTCTTGTGGATTTTGCATGATTTGAATTAAGCCTTTTCGAACGGCGGCTTCCGTAACGATGGTGAGTCCGGGCTTCTGTAGAGAAGGGTTATCACCTCGAACATGAGTTGTATCAACACCGTCCCGGCAGATTTGCCGAGCGTATGTGGCATGACGTTTTAGCGATTGTACCCGCTTTGGTGTGTGGAAACGGTCCATAGTATTTAGAAGGTAAAGAATGACAGGACCTGTGGTCAAATAAACGAACGACTGCCTGCAGCAAACGAAAGGCAGATGCAATGGATCTAGAGAAAGAGAGAGAAACCTGATAACATAAATGCTTTCAAGGCCGTAGCACACATCGTCCGATGATAGACAGTCCGACTTGCTTCTTTCAACAAACGTGCAGAAGAAACTCCTGACTCCGGACACTGCTTGCTCTACACATACCGTCACGAGATGAAGGACTGTTCACTAGGTAGTAGCTGTGTTCGCCTGTTTGGATGCATAGATCTCAAGAAAAGCAATAATCTTTCCTGTTTGGGCATGAGCTGATAGGCGGGCGATAGGTCAGCCAAAGAGCACTCTGGTGGCACTGCTCTATCCGGAAAGGTCAATGCGGAGACCTGCACGTACATGCACCAAATCATGCACAATGGGAGGTCCCATCCGACGTTAGCAAGGGGATAAGCTGAAAAGACATGGCTCCAGTGGATAGATGTGAGATGCATCAGCCATGCGAACGGTAGAGGAGCGCCAAAGTTCCGCTGCAAGATGCGAGCATCGCACAGTAGCTGAATCTTTCCTGGTTGCTATTGGCGACCGCAGCCACGGCGACGCCTGACAGTGGCTGATCCGTCGCTGGGCCTCCGGTATGATCGCAGCCAGGGTAACCACACAGAGAGAGCACTTTCATGTCGAGGTATAAAGTGTAGATTCTCGGGTGGGTGGGTTGGTATTACGTAGCTTGGATGCGAAAAAGTGAGAAGTAAAAGGTTGGACATCCGCGCGTACTTTCCAGCATGCTCTATGTAATAGGGAGCACTGCTAAGAAACCTGCTGCACAGTTCCTGGGCCTTTGAATCTCGCAAGCCAACTTCAAGCATGGAACTCGATCTCTATACTTTGCACAGAGTATGGGCGAATCATTCTGACCCGTAAGTTTGTTCAAATTATAGCAAGGATTCCCGATCATTCCAACGCCTTCTTCGCTACTGCCGTACAGCATCTTGAGTTACTACAAAGCACACGCATCGCAAGGTTACTCACGGATCCGCAAAGCTGGGCTGCCTAAGACCATCGCGGAGGTCTAGAAGATATTTCATTGCGCTTCATCGCGCTGCAGGTTGTAGCTCTCGACTTGGTGATCATGATGCTAACCGGGATTATACGCGAAATCGTTTGATATATTTAGTATCGAGCATTTCTTATCTCGAGATTCGGTGTCATTGCCGTGATGCTATAGCAAGGATGAAATTTGAGCACCCCCGGCATCTCTGTACCTGTGATCACTTGACGAGTCATTTGGATTATCATTTTTCACCTGCCTGGTGTACTTGCTTTGCGTCCACACATTCCTCAGATTCGGAGAGCCCTCCCAGCAGTGAAAGCTGTGTCTTGTCCGTTCGTGAACCATCGCACTGCAGATGACCATTATGAGAAAGTGCGGAGTTGATACAGTTCGGGCGCGCTCAGTATGTTTTACGAGCCTTTCTATCAACCGCTTGTTGCATCGTCTGCACTGATTCAATCCACATTTGAAGGACTAGCATCGAGTGGCTTCGACTGCAACAAGGAAAGCTCCAGAAATGCTCCGCAATCTTCCTCGGAAACTCATTTGCGGCTGCTCTATGATGGGCACAAAAATAGCAAGACCAAAGGAAAAGGATGCAACCGCAGAACTCCCGGAAGTTTTACTTTCCTGGATTGAATCACAGCACCTTTTAATGACATTCGATTTTTGTCCATATGGAAAATCCAAGGTCGTTTAGCAAGCTAAAGGTCTTTCATTTCTTGCACATACGTTGCAGAATTTCTATGCCAGCTTGCATGCGAAAGCATCTTTTGGCCCTTTGGAGGATTGGGGAACAATGATTTCGTTCATTACAGCAGAGTTTTCCTGATGCACAAGCTTTGCTATCGCGACTCTTTGATGCCTACGCTCTTTATTTTCGATTTGATAAAAAAGAGTCGCTTCTGGCAGATGAACGAAATCAACTTGAATTGCGGGCAGCCAAAGAGAATGGAAACCTGGTGTTCTTGCCAGATTTTGCTGCAATGTGAATGTATGCCACAGACAAAGAAAAAGGCAGCATTGCAACAAGTACAACGAGAATTTTCTAGTGGTTATGCATTCCTTAGAACGCTCCTCGTTCTGACAGGCAGCTTGTCCGGAGACTGCGTAAAATTGAAATTCAACCGAAGTTCGCTGCTGCCTTTCCTTGATAAAATCTGCTCAGTTCCACTGTCATTATCGCACGACTTATCTGAAGATTAGACAAAAGAGATCCTCGAATTCATGAAAAGGTATCGCAGCGACATCTTTTTGGTTCGACAGGTCGAGACAAGGAGGTTGTAGCTGCAACATATTTACAGGACTTTACTGCGGTTTCGTTGTGATCTTCCTTGAACCTTGTTCTGTCGATCTGACTAGGAGCAACAACGTTCACCCTAGCATATGGATATATCTTTGGCACACCTTGCAGTATTATTTATGACATTACTGCTCAGCTGCATTATTAATTGTGGCGTGGTTACTGTCCAAATTCCATTGTCAAATCCGCGATCTAGACGTCATGAATTCAAGTGAAACAGGGCTTTATACAGCCTTATCTGAATTTCTATAGCTGAATTTGCAAAAATACTTGATGTTCGCCCTCGTTTCCGTTTGATATTGACATTCGGCAACAATCTTCGGCAAAAATCTTCGGCAACAATCTGTTTCTTGGATCTGCGTGATATTCGTTGAGATCTGGCAGGTTCTGATTTGCAATTTCAATCGTGACGAATATCTACACAAGGTGCAGGACCTCTGTCTGAAAGGATCTTCGAATGTCTGAAGGCGATCTAATTTCTCTTCTACTGCCGTGAATGCGCAGTCCTAGCTGCGGCCGTTGCGTCGATCGTGCTGCCGTGAACGTACGGGCTTTGGAGACTGAAAGATTTCAGCACGTTGTGACCAAAATAGTTCATGTTTCTCATTGCACGGGCATTTCTAGCTTCAAGAAAAAAACTCTCGCAATGCGCTCATTTATTACAATTGACTCAGATCAACTGCCATTCTAAATCACAGACACTTCTTACACTTGAGCATATCCTCCACCGCGATGACACGGCCCGATCCGCTGGGCTAGACCAAAATAGGAAACCCCGGTAAGAACGAAGACTTACGAAAGCCGTTAAAGGAAATTATTTCGCCCAGCAGGAGACCCATCATCGTCCTCTCATCGTCGACAACAAAGATGAACTTCCCTGGTACAGGCGGCAGCAGTGCATCGCCTCTTGGCGTTATGGGCGGAGGCATGGCTGGGGGCATGACCGCACAGCAGATACAGGAAGCGCAAATGATCAAGACGGTTCGTACATATTTGTGTTGCGCACCCATTAGGTCCAAGCAAAGCAGCTAACAATTTGTCACAACAGATGCAAGCCGTGATGGAATCCTGCCCTGGCAAAACCGTCATGTCCGGAGTTATGGGCTTCGCGCTTGGTGGCGCCTTCGGCCTCTTCATGTCCTCGATGCGATACGACACGCCGCTTTCCACCACACTTCCCGGCACAAACACAGCCATAGCCGACCTTCCCATACGACAGCAGCTGAAACATGGCCTGAAAGACATGGGGAAGCAGTCGTTTTCGTCGGCAAAAAATTTCGGCTTGATCGGTGCTGTGTTCACGGCGTCGGAATGCACAATTGAGGGCCTGAGAGCAAAGAACGATCTGTGGAACGGCGTAGCGGGCGGGTGCATCACAGGAGGTGCTCTGGCAATGAAAGCAGGACCGCAAGCAGCGGCTGTTGGGTGTGCAGGCTTCGCAGCATTCAGCGCGGCAATAGACGCATATATGCGGATGCCAGAGGATGAGAAGAGGATGCCTGTTGTTTAAAAAGCTTTATTGTCTAGAGATTCACATGTATTACCAAGACGCTTTGGGTTCTATATATTGCATAGATGGATGGCGTACGGACAAGGCAGTATCTTCACTACTTGCATAGGAAGGAGTTTGTGTGGCTACTTGATCAAGGGGAGACCAGATGGTGTTCTTGTGCAGATTGAACAATCAAGCAAACGTCTCAAGAACTGAATAGGCAAGCATAATGTGAAGACTAGCTGGAATTGTCACGCGAAAAGCCACCGTGTTCAGCAGGTTTTGCTAAGTATTGCTCTTAAATGCCATCAACTTCGACTGCAGACTATGCTGATAGATAGTATGGGTCACGAAGGTTTCCACCCCACGATAGGCCAAAGTAAGCCACAAAGTTCATTTACTCGAGTTTAGGTTCTCTTGCCAGCCAGAAAAGTGACTCAATTCCTTTCGGCATCGAATTGATCTAATCGCCATTATTAATTCAAATCAAGGGTGCTCTCTATTTCTATGATTTTCCATTCCATCCGTTCATTTCAATACCCACACTGTTGGGTCTGTCTGGCTGAGCATCCATGCTCATTTTCGCTTTGATAACACCGTCATGACTAGCCATGACTGGCTCACCATCGCCAAACATGTAATACTGAACTCCAAGATAGCAATCACACATTGCCTGGAACACACCACAGAGTTTGAACGCCCAGGGCACATCCGAGCTATCCTTCACGAAGAAAAAGACCATCTTGAACGCATCTCCAATGAGCCAATTTGCCAAAACAGAGAGTCTGAAGCCCTTGCAGCACCTTCTCCGCTGATTTGCCATAATCTGAGGTAGGGGAAGCGTCGCTTCGATCGCCAGCGCCGTATAGCCGAGCAAGGTAGTCCAGCTGGAATAGAGGCTCTCGTTGCGATTGAACAACAGCTGGCCCACAAATAAGGCCAGCGTGAAATACGCCAAGAATTGCCAGTACACCTTTGCATTTCGCCACTGCCAGAATTGGTACGGTCTGTTCTCAAAGATTGTGCCTATACGTGCTGCGGTGTCCATGAAAGGCGTATGATGGATCTGCAGGGGAGGGCGATGTGTTAGGGCAACGTGCAGAAGCAGAATCTGCATGAGGATCATGACAACGGCTTGTACGAGGAGAGCAATGTCGTAGCGCGCCCCTAGCCAGTAGTACACCTTGAGAATAGAGGCGAGGAGCATGATGAGCGGTATGTCGAGAGAGAAACCGGAGCTTGTCCGCGTGTTGTGGATGGAGTAGATCTGGTCAGCATATGAGGTAATGGGCGAAGTTATGAGACTACACGATCTCTCATCAGAATGGCTGCATGACCGTGTGAAGAGTACCCAGCCAAACTTACAAGATGGGCGCAATGTGGTCGACAAGCCATCTAAAGAGACCCATTCTGGTCAGAGAATGCGACGTCCAGCCAGCGGACGCGAAATGTCTCACGGACAGGGAGAAGGCTAAATGACGAGACAGGGACGTAGTAACGGCTGGGTCATTGCAGGCCAGACGGCTGTGGGACGATGGAGTTCCGGCACGTCGCGGAGACGGGTTTGGTGTTTTGGAAGTAACAAACTTTCACTGCGTGTGCTGCTTACATCAGAGAGGAAACGGAGCGCGCGCGACCACCCAAAAGGGGGAGCAACGCGCCATCACCGCCGTCGTCGTGTGCGCCGTCTCCACTCTCTTGCTCTCACCAGACGGGCCATGTGTCCCGGCAGCCAGAACGCCTCTCATGCTTGAATGCAATCGCGTCTTCACGCCACAGGTTCTCATTCTTGTATCGGCGCAAGCGCAGTCAGCCCTGCGTGCTACGTCCAAGCTCTCGTATCGATCGCCGACAGCCGCGGTGGACTGAGGACAGGTCAGCGACCCCACTCGCCTTCCGGACGAGAGCAGAGAAATCCAATCCACTCCTTCATGCAGAGAAGCTCCGAGAGCATGCGTTTTCGAACGATCCTATTGATTCCCTCACCGCTCCCGTTATGCGTCTTTTGCGCCAGCAAATCGCGACGTCTGCCGGGCTGGAATGCACGTCAAGAACGGGGTCCTGAACACCAGAAACATACGCCACTCAAATCTAACCACGATGGATTGTTTTTTCAAAACTCTTGACTCTCTTTCCCATTCTATGTTTCTCAAATTGGCCGCCCTAATTTTCCTTCCCGAAGCTTCCGCCCTTCTGTGACTGGTCCTGCAACGGAGGCGCACTTGGACTGGTCGTCTCTACCCTGGTGCTACCTCCTGAGGCCCAAGCATCCAGCTGATGTGTACATTTGGCTGCCGGTTCCGTACCGCCTTTTGTACACCCCTCATATCAGCAAAACCCACCAAAAAACCCACCCTCTCGTGTTCGTTTGTTGAGTGAGTGCAAGACACAGACGGATGGATACCGACAGCCAGCCTCCTTGCCAGCCGGTAAAAAGCAAATCTGCTCAAACTGTGCAAGTATTAAAGAACCTCACTTTCTTAATCCTCAAGTTTCCGTAGTCGTCGTTTCTTTTCTTTCTCAGCTCTCGAACTTTGTCAGAGCAATCGTTTTGTTGGGCAAAGCCGAAGTCAAACACCTCACTATGCCACAACGCACAAAGTCTGGCCAATCTTTACACCTATTACGAGATCCATCACCGAGCCCCGAGCCTAATCCTGTCCCTCCTCCGTCACCATCGTGATTCATTCAACGTTTCATTTATCACCTTGTGCGGCTGTCCAATCGACATGAAGGTCGGTCTTAACGATCTAGCCCGTTGTACTTGAGAAGAAAAAACATTAATCAGCTAAACGGCAATTGGCCAGATCCCTCTGTAGAGGTCCACTCGATAGCCATCAGGCCGTAATATTCACAAAAACGTGCATTAAGCCTGGAACAAAAGCACTGAACTTTACGCATATAGCGGCGATGTCGAGAATTCTTGACACTGATTAAAGCACTTCGGAAAGAAAAAATACATGCATCGAATGGTAGACAGTGGTATCTAACTTCCTCGAGATGAGCGTGATTGTTCTGACGACGATTAATTCACAATGTACTATCTCGAACTTCGCTCTTTATAAAATAATGACTTCTAGATCACACAGCTGTGAAGCAGTCTCACTTTACTCCTTGATGCTCTCACTTTCATTCTAAGGTTACACGGCCGACCAAGCTCACTGCAGCAGGATTCACCTCTCACCAAAACCGTACAATACATGTTCCTACGCCAAGGTTCTTTGAGCTGTTTTCATCAAACTACCATTCCTTCAGCTCTAGTTTGGCATGAAGACAATGGAGCATATCTTTGTGCACACAGCAGCTTTATTATATTGTCCAACATGCCGTCGTGTTTTCCTTGCATCACCTCCCGTTTGCGAGTACCACGTTTCATGTTTGCGTGCCTGGCAAGAGTAGTCTCCACTGCAAGACAACAGCGAAGTGTGATCGGTTTCTCCGGCGCGCCACCTGCTCCAGATGGATCTTGGTGCAGAAAGGGCGACTGATCACGAACCTTTGAACATTGTTGTCCTCGGTTCCTCGTTTGCCGGATTAGCGGTTGCCCACAAGTTTTTACGAAACACGATCGAAGAGATCGGCGTCACCCGTAGTGCTCCGCGCTATAAACTTGTTCTCGTCGGGCCTTCAACATGTCTATACTGGAACATTGGTGCTCCCCGCGCGATTGTTGACGCAACGCGTCTTCCCATTGACAAGGTTTTCATTCCTTTCCTGCCACTATTCCAAGACTATCAGAGAACTCGGTTCCAATACATTCAAGGCAAAGCCACGTCCATCGATTTTCCGTCCCGTACCGTCATTGTCGAAGATGTCGACACAACGTCGTGGTCGTCGCAAGCTTCACGTACCGAAGGTGAGAAGCGAACGTCTGGAGTAGCCACCAAACGAATGGTTCAATTCCATGCTCTGGTGATCGCAACGGGATCGTCAGCTGACTCTCCGCTACTATCGCTTCATGGGCCTCACGAAAAGACTGTCAAGGAACTGCAGGCCTTTCACGAGCGTGTCGCATATGCCTCAAGCATCATCATTGCTGGGGGTGGCCCCTCGGGAATTGAGTGCGCCGGCCAACTTGCCACGTGGGGAAAGAAAGACAAGAAGGCAAAGTCGTTGCATGCAATGACGAGCTCTGGATCTGACTCGGTAGAATTTGAAGAAGCGAGTTCTTGGAGGAGGCTACGCAAACCGACACCTGAGGACGGAAACGAGGGCGAAGCTCGACCTTCGTCGGCCCCGGTTGCGCGGTCCTCAAACGCTCGCAAGACCATCATTCTGATCTCCGGACATGATCGGCTCTTGCCACGCCTCCCGCCAGAGTACGGCGCGCAAGCAGAGGCCAAACTGAAGAAGCTTGGCGTGAGCATCATTCACAACTACCGCGTCGAGCGAGCAGTCGAGACAGGCTCTGGCAGCATACGCTGCATCCTGGACGACGAATACGCCATATCCTGCGACGTCTTCCTCCCTGCGACTGGCCTGCATCCGAACACGGACTTCATGCCCCCGGACATGCTCACCGCGTCCGGGTACATCGACGCCGACCCCCAGTCGCTGCGGGTCCCGAACGTGGAGCGCGTCTACGCCATCGGCGACTGCGCCAGCCACTCGAAGAACAGCATCCAAGACGTGTACGACTCCCTGCCCGTCGTCCTGCAGAATCTGAAGGTGGACTTGCTGGCCTACGAGTACAGGAGGGAGCATCCGTTCGGGGGCCAGGGCGTGGAGGCCAAGCTTGAGGCTTTGGAGGACTTTGCCTACGTGCAGAACCCCACCGACTCTCAGCTCATGCCGATCAGCAGGTTCGGAGGCGTGGGCATCCTGTTCGGCATCAAGCTGCCCAGCTTTATGGTGTGGCTTATGAAAGGGCGGGATTACAAGATAGCGAGGGCCAAGTTGGCTGCCGGCGCCGGCAAAAATCCTTACACCATCATCTGACGAGGACGCGGCGTTTGATCTGCCAAATTTTGTCCGTCCTCGCAATTTGAATTTGAGCCATGAGCGTGTATTCATTTTTGAGTCCATGTTTTGAAAGCATCACGGTCCTTACCGGTTCTACCACATCACGACCCCGCGGGAGACAAAGACAGCTAGGAATGGCGTCGATAATATCATGAACGAATCTGTTATTCACACCTATCCTGTCGTGCTGCTGCACGTTTATAGCTATTAATCATTCACTTGTGTGTACGGCAAGCAATTCATATTCACAGAATTCAGTATCTAGACACGTTCGCGTCGTGTCGTAGCTATGCGTGACCTAAACCAAAAGTTTCCTGACCCCCTTTCACGGCATTAATGCCCGTCCCTTCGATTTATTCACTCTAAACTGATCACTGGCCGTCATCACCATCATTGTGATCTCGGTAGACCCCAACATTGTCTTCTCCACTTGAAGTCTGAGACTCCAGGATATATTGCAAAGCATGGTTCGACTGATAACCATTTGAGTCCGTGTTAAGATGCGAAGCAGTCCGGGTTGCTCCAAAACATCGAGTTTCTTTAGATCATGCTTCCCTAAGTTTTCAATATGCGTTCTGTCACTGGGGTTCGCTACCCCAGTAGTGGATTGTGCTGGGTGATCTCGCTTGGCTGCTGAGCTAATGGGTGCTTGCTCTTACAAAGGAAGTGGCCTATCGCTTTGCACTTCCTCGGAAGGTTTCGACTCTGGTGACCACTGCTTTGTGGGAGCTGAGATGGTAGCGGCTTTTTCTTGCCCTGCAGGCAATGAAGACACTTTTTGGGCGGAAAGAGGGGCCAATGTGTTTGAAATTGAAGCCTTAGCTCGTGCCTTTGCCGCTCTCCTCGCCGCCGCTTTGGCGGCTCTAGCCTCTTGTTGTTGCTTGGCCAATTCCTGAAGCATACCCCGCATCTGTGCCCTCATTTTTGTAGGCTGCATCTCCGGCCAGTCCACATGCAGATCAAACTCTCTGGAGAGCAGCTTCCGGCCGAATTCTTGAGGGTCTTCCATGAATTTGTCAAGATAGCCAAGGACATAAATACCGCAGTCATAGTAATTGTTCTGCTGAGGGATGCCTGCTCTTGCCGTCATGCTCTTAATGTTATCCCGATCAATATTCATGTCCCGCTTCTGTTTGGCCTCGGCAACCAAGTACTCTTTGAGTGCGGCAACTGTTCTGGGATGCGCCGTTCCCATCGGGTCCATGATCACTATCATGGGCTGAGCGGTGTTGTATCTTCGGAGTGGAGGAGCTGACTTTCGTCTGCCCTTTTTCTGCCTATTTCCGGATGAGGGAGTGGCGTTTCCGAAAAGGCCGTCCGACATTTGAGACGTGTTAATCTGAGAATTCTCCACTTGACTTGACCCTTGGCTGTCAGGGGCGGACGGTCTGACTGATTTGGATAGGACTTCATCCAAATCAAAAGTCCTCTCGCTTTCAACCACGATCTCAGCGGTCTTCGATCCACGTCCTGCCTCGCGGTTTTCTTTCTGCGATATGGGAGAGCCTGTCTTCATTCCAACAGATCGGTTGGCTGGTTCGTTAGGAGTTGATCTTGAAGAATTGCCAGCTCCGATCGCGTCGACTCTCGGCTCTTCCGCCTCTGTGCCATCCACTTCAACAACCTCCGAAGTACTCTCATCAGGAATTCGAGCATCTGGCGAGTCCAACAACTTGACAGATTGTGAGGAGCTTTTCTTGTCATCAGCTTGAGCTTCTAAGCCTATATGCAAGTCTTTCTCTATTGCATTCTCGACTCTTGGTAGCAGGTTGGGCAAGTTGCAAATGATCGCCAGATACCAATGCATCGCTTCGTTGACAGGCACAATGACGAAATCGTAGCTGAAAATATCGTCCTTCGCAGTCCAACGCTCGACAGCGGAAAAGTTGATGCTAGAGCCTGCTCGTTGAAGTCTTGAGAGTGAGGACGTGTCGGAAAGAACTGTGTAGAAGAATGTATTGAAGAAGTACGCGGTATGCGGCTTGAGCTTGTCCTTCCGATTCTCTTGAAGCCAACGAATGTAGAACTCAAGAAGGTTGTCGTTAAGGAGTTCTCCCTCATCCAGGCGTTCGAGATCTGCAAAGTTCACAGTGGCACGTTTCTTGCCAACTTCTGGGTACACAAGTGGTTGTTCCCATGGGCGACCTAAACCGTGCGTCTTTGAGTAACGCTCGAAGTGCGGTTCAGACGAAGGCGATGTTGCTTTTTGTGTTCTCATGGACGTTCTCGTCGATCTAAGAGCTGAAGGCAAAATAACGTCATTGCTAGCATCGAGCCTAGTACTCCGTCGTTCCGCCGGCTCTAGGGCTGAAGCCATTGTAGTCTGGTTATTTGATGCTTCATTTGCCTTCATTTGAGAGATAAGCGTACGTCGTGAGCGTGGTCGGCTATCTTCAACAGCAGCATGTTTCGCTTGGCCCATGGCTAGGGTATTTCTTTCAACACGCTTCGCTAATACTTCTTGCTCCACGCCATCATCAATAACTTCGATAGAAGGCTGCTTTGGTGCGTCTCGCTTTCCAAACACACCCTTCATCCATGCGCTGCTCCCGCATCAGTAATTTAAATCAAGCGCAGAAGTTGAAATTTTTCTTACGCTGTTTTGTTCTTTAACTCATCCTTGATCGTCGTCAAATCTTTCACGGCTTCCAGGAACTGATTCTGCACGTCATGGTCGTGGAACTCTATGTCGACTCGGTCTGTGCCACCAAGCTCTAGTCGCATGATTGAAGACTGTGGATCAGTCGAGTACACTACCTTGCGGGTGTTCCGCAAATCCAAACTGCATCCAGGAGTGACTGGTTTTCCGTTCTGATCGAGCAGCACAGCGTTATGGTAAGAATCGCCAGCATCGATCTGAAGCTGCATGAATTCGAAATTTTCCCATACAACGCCATTGGCATCCACCAATTTTGCAACACTGAAACTTTTCTGCTCATGTGGCCTTTGTTTGCCGCTCAGCCGCTTCAAAGCTGCCGTTGGTTTCCGTGTTGAAGATTTCTCCGGAAGAAATGAGCCTGGCATGCTGCCGTTGCCGTGCAGCTCATCCTCTTGGTCAGTGTCTTCCGATTTCTGCTGCGGTGAGCTGGGCCAACGTTTCGGAGGGCCTTTCCTGGAAGGACTTCTCGTAGGGCTTTGTCTTCTAGCAGATTGGATCAATTCACGGGCCTCTCCACGACTACTATGATCAAGCAATTGAGCCTGCTTCTTTGAATCGAGACCATGAGCGGTGCTTCTTTTTGGCCCTAGAACATTTAGAACCTGTGACTTAAGGATGGTTGAAGGTTCCACATCTTCATCTTCGATCTCAAAATTCCGCAAAATCCTTGGCTTCTTAGGATTCCTCACTCGGTCGTGCATACGGTAGAATTCGCTCAAGCCGGTCGCTTGGTTGATCTTCGTTCTGCACTGAGCCTCTGTGGCCACCTCGGCCCCATCAAACGGTCTCTTCGACGGCCGCTCGTACGTTCCAACACTCTGTCGGTTAGTGCTTTCGTCGTCTGAAATCTCGAGAACCTCCCGACCAATGTCCGGTTTCCTTGCAGATGAGGAAGTGTAATTAGCCGGCTTGCTAGCTTGAATCATTACCGTATCGAAATTTCGTATCGTTGGCTGCTGTCTAGCGGGACGCTCAAGCAATCTGTCAAGTTGTCTAGATTCCTGGGCTCCGCTAACTTCCCAAGGACTTAGCAGGCGGGAAGACACGACGCTGCCAATTCGCCTCGTTTGAGGAGCGGTATGCCCTGAAGCCTTAGACACACGAGTAACCTCTACGTCGGCAGTTTTGCCGCCCATTTGCGAGCCTTTCCCGTCGTCTCTTTGCTCTGATTCGTTCAGCCTCTGTCTCTTGGTTGGGCGATCGTCCTCCGTAAAGTCATTCGCGTCTTTTCTAACGTTTTCACCCCTCGAAATCTCAACCGCGAGCTCATTTCGATGTGCACCCGTGCCTTTCCCCCCAAAGCTATTTGTTTGAAACGCTTTACCTTGATGCTTGGTGTGAGAAATGGTATCCCTTGGCAGAAAAGCGCCGCCGCTGCCAGGCTTCCGCCCGCTCATCGGCACCGTCCTCAACTTGTTGTCAGGTCCCGGGCGCGAATGCGGTCTTGTATCCGTTTGGGTGCCAGCATATGGTATTTCAATCCGCACAGCATCGTCCGGGGCGCGAAAATTTCCCAGCAAACGAAGCTCGTCCTTTTTCTCCGCCTTGCGCTGGTGGGTCATGGAGGCACTCTCTGTTTTCAGGATCCTGGATGGCGGTTCGGGATATGGGTCGTCTATTCTCTCACGGAGTTTCTTTGTATTGTACGTAGTAGGTCTGGAGGGCAAGGGAGGTGGCCTAATGTTGGGTGCTGAGCTCTTGCCGGCATCGTTATCCTGCGAAGAAAAAAGATGTACGTTAGCCATTTTGACCGCTTAGCAACGAGTGCGCGTTGAAGGGCACACCTCTGTGAGATCGACTGGCGCGCTCGAGCTTCGCAGAAAATCACCTTCGTCGTTTCCTTTTCCAAGAAATTCAGACACCGAGTCGACGATCTTGCGGTACATGAACGCTCGAGCCTTTTTCAGCGCTGGCGGCGGTGAGCGCTTGTCCCCTACGCAGACACGATCATGTAAGGAATCACCGTTTGAACAGGTTGTAAGGTAGAGTCAAAAGGCATGTTCTCCGTGATCGCGCAGACTACGCGGACTGAAAGATGCTGATCGAACAAAGAGGCCGCCTGCTCCAAATGTTGAAGGCTTGTGGAGCTCGCACCAAACACCAAGGCCTTGGGCTTGGTGACGAACGTGGGGGGAGCACGCGAGATGAGATTTCACGGACAAAACACGCGTTTCGTCCTAATTTTACACCTGTATGAGGGTCACTCGTCACTCTCGCTTCGGAACACATCTCGCATCTAGCCTTAATTTCATTTATAAACCCGTTGTGCACGGATATTCTCGTTCAGAGACGACCAAAACAGTTTCCTCAATATCACACGCTGCAGCAATAATTGTACATGACCTTTTTCAGACAGCCACAATCCCCCCCCAGACTCCAGGCAGCGCAGACAGAGAAGCCGATGGCGATGATCCAAAAGGATGTCCTGGTGATCTCTCTCTTTCTCTACGCATTTGCAGACACAAGAAAGCAAGCGTTGACCTATACCTATTCCATCATATCCTTCCATGTTTTTCTGGCTCAGGACCTAATGATGCTGGATAAACCCACCCAAATGCCGGAAAAGTGATCATTTGTTTTTTCGAGTCGTGAAGGCTGCCTCAGAGCAATAAGGACAGGATTCACGGCACAAAACGTGAGAAGGAGAAATCGCAAAGACTGGTACAGGAAGTCCACGCTAAGCACGCTCAAAGGACAAAACCTTCGCAATGCAAAAAAATGAAATGGGGGCTGAAAAGTACGCTGCCTAGGCGCTCGACTTATCCCTAGCTGTGTGGCCGTCGTCGCTAGTAACTGTGACACGCCGTGGTTTCTCACGTGCCTGGTCAATTGCACTGCGCTGAGAGATGCTGTCGTCGTGACTTTTCCACACGATGACGGTATCTGGTGGCAGGTGCAAGACATGCTTGATGGTATCCCTATGTCGCAGTTTAGCACTTGGTTTACGAGTTCCCCTATGCGAGGCTTACATACCTGATCTTGACGTTCCTGCCGCCGTCGTTCTTTGTCCATACGCTCACAACGTCCTCCTGAGCACGGACACTGACGACAGCACCGCACACCTCGTCGCTAGCCTCCATGAACTGATCGCCCACCATAGCCAGTAACAGATCCTCCCAATATCGATCCGCCACCCCTTTCTTAAGTCTCAATATCCACTTGCCACCCTTCTTGTTCGCCTCGTCCTCCCAGACAGGTCGTATGCCTTCACGAAAGAAATGATAGTCCGAAACATGCGGCAGCATTGACGGTCGCTTGCAGTGCACGTACACGGCCCAAAAGTTAGGTATAGTCTCTATGCGGCACATGGGTTTGATCGACTCCTCATAGTCCATGTTCTTCGAGGTTGGGGGCCGATAGTAGATGATCCAGCTGTATCGCAAGGGGTACTGTTTTGGCGGGTCTGCCAACGACGCCCTCTGCAGCGCGCCGGTCTCCTCCTTTGCCTCCGCTTTTGATACAGTCGGCGTCTTCAGCGTCGATGCTGCCCGGTTCGGCGGTCGCTCCTTCGCATTCTCCTTGCTTGCTGCCGAGGGTACGCTCGCAGTAGATGACGACTTGCTACCCCATTCAAACGCAGTGCCAGGAGTCTTTGGGGTCTTGTTTGCCGAGCCAAAAGATGCAAAGGCACCTGTACCCAACCCAAAGGCGGAGGTCGCGCCACTTGACGGAGAAGCAACGCCGGACGCGCTCAGCGGTGTGTTGAAGGGATTGCGGTTGCCGTGAGAGCTGTCCCCGCCGAAGCGCGGTTTCGTAGCCGAGAGAATTCTGGTCGAGGTATCCTTTGACGGGTCGTCGTTTGTGGATAGTGAGAGCTTACTGTTTCTATGGACAACGGTTAGCGTTTGGTAGTTGCTGCTACCCGAGGCCAAGCACATACGCTGAGCGACGAGTCCAGAGGTTCTCTCGGTCTCTGTCCATAGCCTGCAGTCAAAGAAGAAGCGAAGTGAGGCGCGCGTGGGGAGAACGAGCGGCGTCAAGCAATAAAAGCTTGCGGCAGAGACGGCGGCGCAACTTGGGAGACCACAAGCGAACGGTAGAGGTGGGTATCTATGCTTGTTCGGATCTTCTTGGAGGATGAATGGCCGTTACAATGCAGTGCTGAGTCGTAAAATGGTAATTGGGGCTTGTTAACGCTGATGCGGTGATAAATTGTGTCTTGTTTCCTGTCCGCCGTCGAGGGTGGCTGCAAAAGACACATGCCCGAAGAGGAACAGCGCCTTGGCAGGACTCAGCGCGCCACCCCGTTTTCCCTTGCCTGTCACTGAATCCACACCCTCTTTTCTTTTTCCTTCTTTCTACTCCAAGACACATCTCACAAATCCAGTTGCCTACCAACAAGCCCACTTCCACTTGGTCGGCTACTTTCGTATCATCACTGTGTCGAGAGTGAATTCACCTCTTCTAAAACCGTCGCTATGAGGGTCCCTTCCCGCGAGGGTTGCGAGGCTTCATGACCTGGTGACGACCTGACAGTAGGAACATATCATCTTCTCCGAACTATTCGTGCCACGCCCCGATCAGGATGAGGTAAGCCATCGAGTCTTCCATTGCTCCCATCCACTTCTCTCACGAGTTTTGTTTTGATGAATGCAAAAAGAGCTCTGGTAATCTTATGTTTGCGCCCAGCAGCTTGGTCTTTCACTCGCGCGTTGGGTCTGATGAGAGAAGGCAAAGTCTGAACATCGTCCTGCAGCGCCACATGGTTTCGCGATAGCTCGTTCTAACGAGCAAGTTGACTGACGAGTGCTGCAGACCTTTGATGAAGACGAGTTCCGTCAATCCTTGTGTAGATACCTATGTTAATTTACAACCTCGACTCTACTGTGACTTGCATACAGAGCCATGCGTTTGGTGCAAAATGCCGCAGTATATTAACTGCCGCGGTTTGTCTTACTACCAAACAGGTAGCAAAATTACGATGGACTCAACGCGTTCTGAATCGTTAGTAATTCTGGCAAAGACGATCGAGATTCGGTTGTCCCATGTCTACAGCTTTCGCTAGACACTGTTAGCAATTCGTGCCGTGTGGAGAGAGTGGTCATGTGTTCGGGCGTGTGTTTTGTTAATACGGCCCTCTGAAGCCAGAGAAAGGCCGATTTCGCCAATGTCGCGACGCGATTGTTTAGAGAGAGCGAACGCCTTCAGCCATGGACAAATCCTGGGGAGGTGATGCGCATGCAAATCGTTGTATCCATTTGGTACACGATCAACGCCCGTTCCCGCCAGATGTTTCACCCCGTTTCTGTCATCGAAGACAATTCTTCTTGTGCTCCAAGAAGTACGTCGTCGTCAAGGCTCCATCACCCTCTCACTGGGGTTTGACCCGTCGATTGTTGTAGAGGATCAACCTGTAAGTTGCGCAGATCAGGCTCTTTGTGGTTCTTTGTTGGTTGCCCTGACAGCATCGGAACCGTGAGAGCCGCAACAAAAGGTCGTGTCTTTCTCACGCGATCGCAAAAATTGTCTTCTTCAAATTGATTCCTTTGCTACATAAGTTAGCCGATGCAAGATCTGCTTCCAAGAGTCAAACGGCTCAATGGTCTGTATGTACAATTCACGTCCCGGGTTGTTGATCTTGTGCTAACCAGCAATTAGAGTGGTATGATTCTCGCTTTGGGTTCTGCCCACAAAGTTGCGAGAGGCCCCGCGTTCGAATCGCGGTTGAGCCCGTTTCATTTTTTTTTTTCCTTTTGTTCCCTCTCGCCCTTTCCCTTTCTTGTGTTGCCTAAGCGCTTGCTCCTCAGCTAACCTCGTCAACTTTGACTCATTCCTACTGCTTTTTTTTTTGACGCTTTCTAGTATTCCACCAGAGACTACGGAAGTAGGCATCGTGTATATTTGCTTTTCCTCAACCAGATTTCAAATCGCACCCAGACTTCTCACATTATCAAAACGCGTCACACCGTCAGCATGCACTGGATAAATCTCGCTTGAAATTGGATGAATATCTTAGTTTCCAAATTTAAGAATAGTTTTTGTAGCTCTGTTACATAACACGCTTCCACACCATGAACGACGGTTGTGGTCGTTTCTTCAGACATCTCGCGCAATAATAAATCAGTGGTCAACTAGTCGATAGACAAAACGAGTCAAACACCAACCGCTGTTCTTTCTTCGACGCGTGCCAATTGCGCATGGCCGGCAATATTCTGACGGGGGAAGTTTTGAGATGCCTTAACCGTTTCTGGAAAGGAATTGTGAATACCCAACTCCTGCGACTTTGGAAACAAACATGGATCGCTTTTGTGTACTAAAAGAATCTACACACTTCAAAGTCGCTAAGTCTAGTGATTACAATCCGTACGGTGATGGTGAAAGTCCTGGGCTGTAGCCAACGATTTAAATATTTGGTCAGATCATAGGGAACGTGGAAACCAATATCGAAAATAATGTTAGGGCAAGGAGCCTTGACGAGCTGACGCGGCCGCCCGAGGACGTGATGAAGCAGCATAGTAAAATCCATAAAGTCCAGAGGTAATTGGTAGCTTAATGCGATGAATTTGTGAGATTTAAATTCATAGACATCGCCGTTCCGTTGTTCGTACGGCAGTGTGACATATTCTTGCGTAGGGGTGACGTTGATTATTCCACATTAGATAATAGGGTATGCTCACCCATCTTGAAAGCGATATTCTTTCGCTGATTGACATCGGTTCCTTAGGTGCATGGACATAAGAAATGGCATACGACGAATTACCCCAGTCCCCTTATGAAGAGCCGGAAACGCTCAACGAGAATCGCTATGCGCGCCGTCTCCGTCGCACAGTTTGGCTTTTAGCTTTGTCCAGCTTATTGAACATCGCTCTCGCTGGTTGGGCGGTACAGCGCTTTTGGAAGCCAAGTCGAAACTCGTACGAGAATGGATTCGAAACGGACTTGAGTAAGTCGATGTCGTGGACCTCTAGGTTCAATCTAACCTGTCCGCAAGAGGCAGTGAAGTCTTCAATAAGTCTAGTGAAGATGAGATTCGATGGTGGTGTGAAAATTGACAAGAATGGGACCTTTGTACAAGACCAGATTGTCGGAGGGAGGAAGTACACGGGCAAGCCATCTTTGGCTGTCGACCTCTCATGGTTCGAGCTCTTGTCTGGTAAGATTTGAGCCCAGTCCTCACCAACACCAATTCATGAGCCCTTTTCTAGGTCTAAATATTGATCTTTCCGGTGATGATGCGGACGGTTTAGCCGAACACACTCTACAATGGCCGGATTCCGATAAGTACTTCTCCGGGTAAGATGAGCGATTGCTCTTAATTTATCCCACATCGTTGACCAATTCTAAATCATTACGCAGCTTGGAGGTGTTCCATTCGTTGCATTGCCTGGTGAGCTCCTTAACATCTTACAACAACTTGACCCCTAACAGCTTGGGTAGAATCGTCTTCGCCAGGCCTTATATCCAGAACATTACTCTTATCTTTTCAAAGATCCAAAGGATCCGTCAAAAGAAGATCACATAGATCATTGTATCGAACATCTTAGACAAGCGATACAATGTCATGCGGATCTCACGCCTATGCACTGGGCTCGTGTTGACAATGCGGTTCTCCTAAAGACCGACACAGAACACACTTGCCGCGACTTCGACAGTATATGGAACTGGGCAAAAAGCAGAAGGGCAGATATCGATAATATTTGGCTCAAGAATGGCACGCTGCATATCGTGGATTGAAAATCAAATGCTGGCCACAGCTTCTTATGGAAATAATCTTGCAGCACGCAAGGTGCACTCTAGTTTTATATGTTGGGCGTGTCAATCACCTTGTCACAGATTCTTTACGCAGTTGAATCCGGGATCGTTTTATGGCCCGAGTAAAGCGTTGTAGCCATCCTGTGAGCGGGAAAAGAAGAGTCGACGAAGGATAGGTTTGCAAATCTAATCTACTCTTATCGAGAAGCCGTCGCTTTCGACTCCTGTGGCCTTGTTCTATAACGTATAATTCGATATATATTTTATCGCCATGAGTAGCGCACATAGAATAAAAATTGGACGCAAGATCAAAGCTTGCATGCTCGCCCCTTTCATAACCAGACCGTTAATTTCTGCGTAGACGAGGAAAGGTGATACTGGACATCTGATTGCTCGACATCCTCTGCGCATCTCTCGAGTAGTCTCGTTGCAAAGCCGTGGCGATGTGAGGCTGAAGCTATATTAGTAGGCGCCATCCTTTCTTTTATTAGAAGCTTTGAAGCAACCTTTCACTATCCTTTGATTTCCATGCTGGATACAACTTTCTCCATCCCCTTGAGGATATTCTTTTCGTTTGGTCCGATGTCAGAGGCTCAACGAGTAAGATGTGCTTTCCTGCAGATGAGGTTCAGATAGAGAGCCACGAAAAAATATTCTTCAATAGTTCCCTAGTGGCGCCAAAAGTTTTTAGCGAATATGCAAGTTGTCTCCGAGTTGAAGAGTGAAGACAAGTCGCATATTCTTACCACGGAAAGGATTGTTGGCACAAGGAACAAGAACTTCTTTATACTCCAAGAAACCTGCTGTCGTATATCTGCTTGAAGAAATGTTCTCGATAGTTAGCAGGACTAGTAAGGCTCTTATTCGCAAGGTGGAAAGCTCTGCAAGACTGGAAGGTTGGTCTCAGGAGAAATTGGATGCCTATATCTAGTCGTCCATTGGCCATGGCAGCAGGCTGAACAAGGGACAGGCTTGCGAGATTCATTGTTACGCTCAACCTGTTTAGTGAATACGAGGATTGCAGATCTGCAAATTCTCAGGTTTGCTTCGTGAAGGATCGACTCTCTTATCAGATTACTCCCAGGCTACAAAGACAAAGTGAATCAAAAAGAGAAATGAGATCGGTAAATATGGCTTATTCGACTATGGGGGCGGGAGAGTTCCAGACGTCGTTGGAATTGAGCATGCGCCGGATCACAGTAGTGACCTTTCAAAACAGCGTTCCCGCACCTTGGTTGGTGTGCCGCGTGGGTATTCAGTGGTAGCATGTACGGTCCGAATTTGGCCCAGTGGAGTTTTACGAAAATCCTCAACAAGATTCTTGCCAACGCATTTTTATGAATCGCTGGGGGCCTGACAACAACACATTCCATGTAAGGGAGAAAAAACTGGAAATTGTTTGATTCCCACAAATATTTGACGCACAAGTGCCACGTAGGGCAGTGGCGATACCCGCATCAAAAGATCGATACGAGGTGATACGTGTTGCCCCGTCAGGTACGGATAAGTGAGAAGTGACGAATTTGACTCATGGTCGCTATGTGCTGGCGTGAACCTCCTCGGACTGTGGACAAAGTGCGGGCGGTATGCAGCTTGAGCATGCGGCTGTTCACAAATGCAGGGACACCAGAGGCCAGGCCAACAGGCGTCTTTGGGCTGGTCCCACTCGAGTGTTTGTCCGGGCGGGATGCATTCTCCAGATTCATCAGCCATAGAGATGGCTTCAGGGCAGACGGGGCACGCAGAAACCCGTTGTTGCCGGGGAAAACTGCATCTTCTTCTCCCACGTTCGACGGGAGAGTGTGGCGTGTCGAATGCTTCTCCGTGATTCCACGAGCGCCTTGTGGAGTGACCCATGGTAATTGCCGTGTTCAAGCGCATGTGGATGCAGCTCGAGGACATCTGCACAAGCCATCTGGAACAAGGACAGGCGAAACGCAGAAACGATGCAGAAGACGCCGCACATAATGTAGGCATGTGTGATGGCAGCGGATGTGTGGAACAGAGGGCCAGGATTTGTCTCCCGGCAACATGACGTAACTTGAGCCTGCCGCAAAATCGCAGTTGCAGGCAGAAAAGTGGGGCCTTCGTGCAGAGGGTACAAACACCGCACCATACTCCGACACTGCTCCGTACGAACTCTCTCGACTCTCCGCCTCTCTCGACCACGCTGACGGCAGATCCCTTTTCACCGAAACGGTCAGATAGCCGTCGCAACGGCTGCCCTTGAAAAGCCCTCGCTTGCGCCACCCGCCGTCGTTGTAACACGTTCAAACCCGTTTCACGTGCCCCGCCATCTTTTTTGTCAACGCCTGAGGCTGTGGCACGACATTGACACACTTAGATCGACGGACATACGCATTGCATCCCTTGGGAAAATCTCAAGATGACTGCGGCGTCGCCTACGCAACAGCTTCACTCTCCTCATCACAGCCCCAACAAGCGTCCTAAAGGTGGGCGATAAACGCACACACGTGGTCAAGCCAGAGCTTACACAACGGAACAGGCATACTAAAAAACCCCAAGCCATATAATGGTGGTTCGGCACTCCCGTCTCCTGAGTCCCAGCAAAGACCTGGCCTAGAGCACAGGGAGTTGTCAGAGAAGGAGATCACACTTGCAAACACACTCTCCAATGCCGGGGGACGACGTCGCTCGTCTTCGACCCCGCGCGTTTTCTCGTCGCGCCGAACATCCAACTCGCACGACGGCGAAGAGAATAGCCCCCGCCTCAAGTGGGACGAAGCCAACTTGTACCTCACGGAGCAGCAGCGCGACAGCACCATGAAGATAACCGAGCCAAAAACGCCGTACGCCAAGCAATACGATCCGGCGGAAGATGAAGAAGAGATCGAGGCCATCAACGCTAGTGAGGTCGTTGTAGACGAGCTTGACCAGGCCAGAGGAAAAAAGGCACCCAGGGACGAGGACATCCCGGACATAGACATTGGCGAGCCGGAAAACCCCAGGCTGGAGCATGCGCGAACACCGGAGAGCGAGCGCAGGGTCATCGTCGACCCTGACCAGCATGACGAGGGGTTTCATGGAGAGGAACCGGAGAATTTGCCAGAGGCCGAAAAGGAGAAGCACGCCAAGTTCGAGGCGGCCCGTAGAAAGCACTACGAGATGAGGAACGTAAAGAATTTGTTAGGGTATGCCTCCCATGATACTCCGCATTGCGTCTTGTTTTCGACCTCCTGACTAACCTGGCGTGCATAGTCACCCCGAGCAACTCGACGAACTGGATGACGACGAACCGGTGCCTCCAATGCCGGCTCAAAACGGTGTGTGAACTAGAATCGTTTATTCTCCTCCTTTACCAGCGAAAAAAGGGGAGATACATTTCACGGTGCGACGATACAGCAGAAGACTGTCATTTGATTGATTTGTGCATATACCCGCTAATTCAAAGTTGCCTGAGAAGAGGCCTTTGTGACGTTGGATGGTACCTGGCCTTGGCTGATTGAACTATGAGCCTCTTTCTCAATTGAAATTCTCACCGCTAGCACTTCGTAACACTCGCTTCCATTCTACAACATCTCATTTACGTTGGCGACATGTAGATAGTTTCGTGGCAAGGAAGAATGGTTTTAATTTCCATATGTATATCAATCTTGGCTCTTCTCCTGTGTTACGAGAGAGCTTTTTGGCTTAAAACAATCCACGCTGATGCTATAAATTTACTTTGGGCATTTTTTTTTAAAGATCCTATCCATTCATAGATATATATATATATATATATATGCATTGAAGATCATATGCATTGAAGATCGTCATAACATCATCACACTTTTACGCCCCACACGCCTCTTCCTCCCGCTACGCCAACCCACTCTCCACCCTGCCCCGTCAGCATGCTCTGAGGAGCCCAGGACAGGTTGGAAACTTCGTAATCGCATGACCAGCTCGATGCGGGGCCCTTGAGGCTCACGTTCGAAGCCGACGAGCCATGCTGATTGTGCGACGTAGTGCCGTTGTGCATGTTAGACTCACCAGCGATAATGGCGCCGTTCTGGCTGTGAAGCAGGTCCCAGACGAGGACGAGAGAATCGTCGGCGCCGCTGGCGATCATGCCGCGTCGGGAAGGCGACCATTCTACCGCGTTGAGCGCAGCAGAGTGACCACGCAGCTCGAGCAAAGCTTGCCCAGGCTGACGGACGTCCAAAATGCGGATGATGTTGCTGTCTGCTGCGAAGGTCGCAAGAAGATGCGAGTCATGCGGTGAGGTGGCAAGTCTCAGGAGAGGTGGTGCCGCTGTTAATGTTTGTGGTGTACGTGTGGGAGACATCCGAGAAGGGGGAGTGTTAGCTGTGAATTCCGTCAGTTTCGTCTCGCGTAGATGGCGGTTAAGGGTTTTGTGGAGCTCATACTTTTGTCGCTCTCAGGCTTCTTCTCCGCAGGTTCGTAAATGATGGTGCTGTGTTCGAGGCTACGAAGGTCAAACATGCGCACGCTCCCATCTGCTCCGCAAGATACGAAGACATCTACGCTACCGGCACAGAACCGCACATCAAAGACTTCTTTGTCGTGCGCAATCAATTGCGTTTTAGCAGTGAGTGTTGGGATGTCCCAAATCGTGCAAGTGGTGTCTATACTACTCGTGATAATGAGCTTTGGCGAAAGCGTATTCCAATCCAGGGATGTGAGTGGTGCGGTATGTTCAGGTGTTTTCGAATTCGACAGAAGAGCCAACGGGGTAAGCTTAGGTGGCGCTTGTTCGCGCTGGTTAACGCTCGAAGACCTTGTGATGGTATTTGAGACGGTGGGCGAGGTGCTCTGGGGTAACGACCATAGTCTTAGATGGTCGCCCGATGTTGCAAGCAGGTCAGTAGACTGTTTCTGAGCGATCGGTGGCTCCCATAGAATGCGTGTCACGGGATAAGCACAAGTAGCCTCCGCTATGCGAGTATATTCCAACCCATAGCTGGGGGCTCCAGGCGCTACCGACTCTTGAGGCACAATCTGAGTGTCGAGGATGGTGATGTAATTATGGGGGTCCTCTAGATAACTTCCAATCGCCATCTTTCCCGCGCTGTTCCCTTGCGGTACGGGATACTTGCACCAGTCGAAGGCAAACACACTCCACGGTGCCAAGTAATTGCTATTCGTAGGCTGCTTGTCCATCAAGTCCCCGAAAAGCGTTGTGCCGGTAAGCTCATCATTTGGGAGGTTTGAATTTGCTCGGGGTCTGATCTGATCGAGCGCCAGCGGCGAATTCGTGTGGCCTACGGTTGGAGTTGTGGGAGAGTAATATTTCTGCTGCTGAGGGGTCTGAGGGAACTTTTGAGGATCTGAACCGGAGCTCGCGAAGGGGACATATCTGAAGTGGAGAGTTAGCGAAATGTATTGAACAACCACCCGATTCGATCATGAAAAAGCGTCAAAAGCATGGCGCATTCACACCGGCAACAATCGAGGACAGGGACAGCCCACGAATGCAATGGCGCAGCTGAGCTCTTGTAGGACACGTACTTTTGCTGGTCCAAGCCTGCTGGACTCGACCTAGAATGTGAGTGGGAATGCATGGTGTTTGAACGCGTCGGTAATGAATATTGCGACGCATTTGTATTGATCTGAGGCACAGCAGTTGGCGCCGTATACGCAGATGGCATGGGAACTGGTCGTCCTTGACCAGTGGCTCCAGGTTGAAGACTGCCAGGGACGCTGTTTGTAGAAGGCGGAGGGTTATTGTACATGGATCCTTGCGAGGATTGCTCTTGTATGCGCGATGATTGCTGGTAGGAAGGATGGTCCGCCATCCTGCCTATCGTGTCTGCCCGTCGAGAGCTGGCATGTGCTGACTGGGGCGGCGGAAGCGCTGCAGCATCAAACTGCTGCAGACTGGCCGAATTTGAAGGGAGGAACGCGTCAGTGCCCGCAGCAGTCGTGCCCAACGCCGCCGTGCGCAGATTACCGGTTGGGGCCCCTATGGAGCCCAGAGTTTGAGCTGCTTCTAGCAGGCCTTGCGCAGCACTCTGGTGGCCGGTGTTGTGGGAGGGTTGGCGATTGTGGTGGAAAGGCATACTGCAGGTCTAGACGCATACGGTCGTCATTGAGCCTCGTGTGCGACGCAGCCCAGAACTGTCGGACTTCAAGACAGGACCATGCAGGCACTGTATACCTTGCATTGGGAGTCTCTGGCTGGCCCAGGCATCTTACAATATACTCCATCGCCGTGGCATCTTGTGCTGCACGACAAGTGGTCGAGTCACGTGCGAGGAGACATTGCTGCCTCAGTACCTCATCTCGGACCAGGCCGCCAGAGCGGCTCGTTAGGCCACAAGGCATGGCACGGCGTCAAGGCCACAGCTGCGGTGCTGCCGGGCACGTGCGCTTGCTGCCATGGGATCGACGCTGCTGCTTCCTCACTTGGTTGCTCGCCCCTGCCTTGCGCGCAAGGTCTGGATCGCTCCTCCTCGCCCGGACCTGTAACCAAATCCTTCTGTGATTCGTTTTTCCACCGAGGGTCAGACCCGCTCGGCGACCTGTAACATTCGCGCTCATCTCTTCCTTTTCTTTTTTCCCTTCGGAAGCGTTCGATTTGGCCGGAAGTGCTCCCGGCGGACAGCCGCCATGGTCATGCCGCCACACGGCTTCGGCGTCTTGGCCGTAGGCACGCTCCATATATACATAAAACTGCGATGAAGAGCTCTCTTACAGTAGTTCTTCCTGCACGTCATCCGCGCCCACTTCCCTAGTGGAGCTTGCGCGACGATTCCATGCCTCTCACGGTATCGTGAGGCTCGCCGATTGCGTCTAGTCATGGAAGACTTCGGCGGCAACAAGCGCGAGCAGGCGCCAATTAATCCACAGCCTGAGCCTCGTCCGCCTCATCCTGATTTTCATTCTGACAGCAAAGTTAAAAAGAAGACAAGAGCATCTCGGCAACAAGTCGCCGTCGCTTGTCTGCCTTGCCAGAAGCGAAAATGTCGCTGTGACGGGAAAAGGCCGGTGTGCTCCACGTGCGTGACTCGTGGAAAGGATTGCGAGTACAACATTGACGAAGGCATGTCGCGCGTGGCACATTTAAAAGAGAAAAATAAAACGCTCGAAGAAACAAGCAAAGAATTGCAGGCAGTTATCGAGATTCTTCGAAAAGGCTCCGACAGCGACGCGGCGGCCGTACTTGCCCGCCTACGGGTAGGTCATTCCATAGCGTCGATTCTCAAGGAAGCGGAGACCAATGCGAGCTCATCGCGTTCAACTCAAGACAGTCCGAAGGAGAGAAGATCCGACTTACGGAGGGGCCTTGAAATTGACATCAGAACGGAGATACCCTCGGTTCTCAAGAACAGCAAGATCTTTAACCGTGACGATTGGACCCGATTAGGCCAATCAAGAGGTGCGACAACGTTTTTGTACTCGAGTGGACGTAAACACTCATCACAAGGTAAACAGGCCACATGGTCGCGGAGCTCTGCAACGTCTCACTCAGCCAACAATCCTCAATCTCAAGCTCCAGCTACAGCTCACCGCAGTCCTCCGCTCATGATCCAGTATAATGAGGCAGGAGCTCTCGGAGACGTCAAGCTACACAACTTTGGCAACCTGGATTTCTCCAGCGGAATTCGAGCAAATAATTACCCGTCAAGCATACAAAACCAGCAGGTCTCCAATCTCTTCACACCTCAGTGGGCGAAGATGATCGTTCCAATCATGCTGCCAGAGGGACATCCAATGAAGGCAATGCATGACTCAATGCTGGATATGTGGTCAGAAGGGCGACGCCTGCTCCAAGGAGGCGCATCTCTACACAGCATCGCTGGCTCTCATCCTCAATTGTCGGCTATCTTGAACGATCAAGACTACGAGCGAGCACCCATACTATCGCAGTGGGCTAGTCGGTTGGTCTACAGCATTAAAGAGTCGAATCGATATTTCGTCTGTTATGCAAGCATGTACGTGTTTTGGTGGGTTATGCGGTGGATGATAGCACCGTCACCGGAAACGTATTCGGCTATTCCAGAAGTTCTCCGGCCGTCGCCTACTCAGCTCTTTATGCCGCATCTACTTCCCATTGAGTTTTTTTCCTGGCCAGGTCTGCGAGACTATCTGGTTCGAGTGCCCGAGAAATTCGAGGAATGGGAATGGATGCTGGACATGAGCCAGAATGTTGCGTGTGAGTGCCCACTTCCCAAAGAACAGATCCTAGTTGTAAGCCCTATCGATGGCGAACTTGAGCTAAGTCCCGAAGCCTTGGCATGTGTCAGCGATGTTGACAAATGGAGTGTCAAGCCGAGCTTTCGGCAGTACTTTATGGATGCAGACAAATATATGAGAATCAGGTGGGATGATGAATAATACTTGGACAGCCTGTTTGGCTCATTCCGAACGCTGCAGGGTGCGGGTCGATTTAAAACGGACATTGCGCACTAAAGGCAGCGGTACAGAGAGGGACCAAATAAGAATATCGGCTGAGTTGTATACAATAATTTGCCTTCCATTGAGTCTTTGTCGGGAAAACTTGATGAGGCTGTCTTGGCAAACCTATTGTTTTCTACGTTCAAAACCAGGACCCCATGTCCCTTTGTGAAGCTCGCTTGTCTGAGTACGAAAGCCCTCGATTTGGCTTATCGAAGACAACAAGCGAGCGAGGTGCTGCTGTTGCTCTTCGGCGCGAAACAAAGGGGCATCCGAAATGATTCGATATCCGCAGAAAGCACTCTCTCATCCTTCGTACACTTCGAAGCGCTTTTAAACCCCTGGTAAAAATAACCGAGGATCTGCGTTAGGGTTGTATGCCTTCACGTAGAAGATGTCTTGCTGGAGTGCGGCTTATGTACAAACGATACTATCAAAGGCTTGTGGGGGCAAGATAGAGAATCTTCACAGCGATGAACCTGTGTACCGATTGAACAAGTCAAAGCCATTCGTGGTAACGATCCGCGCTGTATTCGTAATGGGATTCATCATGAAGGATGCATCCCCGTCCGCTTATTCGCACTCAGCAGTACTCGGTCCTATCGTTGGAAGGATTCCGCGGTTCACCATGGAAATTAAACAACGCCACGATCTGCATGTTCTGTGGTTTGCTAAATCAGGCCGTTCTTATTTTGGAACCCTTACAGACTACCCCTGAATCCACGTGTGATCGCTCTGGACCTCTGTCCACGATCACGATCTCCATGATCTTCTTAATGATTTGAAAATAACTTCACAGACATAGTTCAGCGCGAAATTGGTGAAGTCGCTCTGTCAAACGCTCCTTTTTATGCCACCAAAAGCTTATGCACGAGAAACGACGCTTGTGGGTTTAGCTGCCGACCCCAGGCGCCACATTATCGTTTCTTGTCCTTTTTGCTGGCGCTTTCAGCAGCTTTGAAGACGCCTCAGCGTTTTTTTCTTTTCAGCCACCGTCTCGCCGTTGAGCTATAAAATTCCTGGGATACTTTTAACATGGCTTTGCGATTGGTGCCTGGCAGTGGATCCCTACGTCAAAGATATCACGACTCTGGCACCGAAATGTATTCGGCGCAGACGCCACCTCTTTTGCGTCGAGTGACCGCCTCGTTCTCGTATTCATTTTAAAGAAATCGTTCTGTGTAAATGCCGACGGCACAGGAGGTATTGATCTGGATCCGTTGGCGCTTGCAGCTTGCAGTATGGCGTGGTATACAACAGTACTGCGTGCTATGTGATTGTATCCAACTGATCCACTGCCATAAGCCCTTTTCGGACTGTTCGACTTTCACAATGCTCTCTCAATCCTTCTAAGGTTGAATTCTCACTTTCGTTTGACATAGTCGCTCTTTAACAGAAGTGGCCTTGTGGTTCCTTCGTCCACTCGTTTTGCTGCATGGTGCTCGGGGTTATCATTCTTTTAGATTTTCAGCATGGTTCCAGGAACAGTCTGTAGCTTTTATGGACTGACTCCGACTCTGGCCCCGGGCAACGTGATTCCTACATTTTACGTCGAGCCTACCAATGCTGCATCTTTCTCGGCCACTGGTGCCTTCAAGTCCGGAATCAGCACCTGTAGTTTTTACGAAGGCTCGACTACTGTTCAGGGACTATGGCCATGGGTTGTAACCTCGACGAGCACAGCTACCGTCACACCATACATTACGTGGACGGGTGCGAACAACAAGGGCTCCAGCGCGACCTGTTCGCCTTTGACACCCGCTCCATTCTCGGCAAACAAGTATACAACCTACGATGAGATCGAGTGCGCGTTGGCATGGAGCAAGATGTCCGGAACGTATACTCTTGCCTTCAGCGTCGATGCGAAAACAGGTCCAACGTCTGTCACAAGTGACAAGTTTGTTGTCTGGCCTGCAAGTCCAACACAGACGATCACGTCGAAAGACGTTTTGACAACAACAGTTACACTTCCGCCTGTGCCTGCGGCTACAGTTACTGAAAGCTGGGCGACTACAACGGTTACAACCACGAAGTCGGTTTCTCCTACACCGTCGAGCACTACGACACTTACTCCATTCAAGACTACGGAAACTTGGACCATCACTGAGACCCCATCGCCTTGGTCTACAAGTACGATCTCAACAACGTTGACGGTATCAACTTGGTCAAACGCTACAGCTGTCCCCTTAACCACTGTAACGACAACATCGTACGGGTGCACCACCACGTTGACTTCGACTTACACACCTCCGGTCCAAAACACTACGATAACCTCCACTTGGGTCTTGACGTCTACTAAGAACGCTACTGCTGTCCCATCTTCCACCACAACACTGACAGCATGGAGAGTGACGCACACCGACACAGCTTGGGCTCAAAAGACCACGACCACAATCTCAACGAAGACAACGACAACTGTATGGGGCTGTAGCAGCCCTTCTGGCTCGAAAGTAAGCGCCTCATCTTCTTCGAGTAGCTGGAGCAGTCCCGTCTCCTCGCACAGCAGTTCGGCAATTTCCTCCAGCTCGGCGTCGTCGGGATCTTGGCTTGGCTCACCTGTATGGTCAAGTTCGCAGACTTCATTCAAGAGTAGCAGCCCGTCTTCGACGTGGTCCAAGACCGCTTCATCCAGCGTCGTCTCGTCCTCGTGGTCCACTTCAAGTCCTCAACCAAGCAGCGGTAGTTCATGGTCGTCATATTCCAGCTCTTCGAAGATTAGCACCTCGTCATGGTGGTCACAGGCATCGTCAAAGTCAACCAGCTCCTCCTCTTCATGGTCACATTCAAGTTCTTCTAAGAGCAGCACCTCGTCTTCATGGGTTGCAAGTCCAACGAAGACAAGCACCACATCATCTGTTAGTTCAAGCTCTTCAAACAGTGGTAGCACCTGGTCTTCATGGGTTGCTAGCTCAACCAAGTCAAGCACTGCGTCATCATCTTCATCTAAGAGCAGCAGCACCTGGTCTTCATGGACTGCCAGTCCAACAAAGACAAGCACCACATCCTCCTCATCTGCTAGTTCAAGCTCAAAGAGCAGCAGCACGTGGTCTTCATGGGCTGCCAGTCCAACAAAGACAAGCACCATATCATCTGCTAGTTCAAGCTCTTCAAAGAGTGGTAGCACCTGGTCTTCATGGTTTGCTAGCTCAACCAAGTCAAGCACTGTGTCATCTTCATCTAAGAGCAGCAGCACCTGGTCTTCATGGGCTGCCAGTCCAACAAAGACAAGCACCACATCCTCATCCGCTAATTCGAGCTCCTCAAAGAGCAGCAGTACATGGTCTTCATGGGTTTCCAGTCCAACAAAGACAAGCACCACGTCTTCCTCATCTGCTAGTTTAAGCTCTTCAAAGAGCAGTAGTACGTGGTCTTCATGGGCTGCCAGTCC